CCCTTGAATTTTAGACGTAAAAATAGTGGCTTTTTCTCCACTGTTGCCAATTCATGTTTACGACTGTTGTAACCTATGTTGGGTTTAATGAACTTCTCTGGATATCTCTTCTCGCTTAGAATGTCTCAGATGACCTGGAGTTCTTTCTCTACACAATCTTCAGAACAAATCGATCTGGTCAGATTCTTACAATTAAGAGCGAGGTCCATTTGTTAAAGATTAATAATAAAAATAGTAGTAATAATAGTAAATCATATGTAGGACATCAATAGTTACAAATGTCAAATGACATAATTCAGTAATGAAAATGTTAGTCAGTGTAGGAATAGAATTTGGGCACTGTCATAATAATTCACCTCATATTAAATACGTTTCTTGGATATAACAAAGAGTGACACAGTATAACTGAGTAGATGATGTTTCTAGCCCAATATACTACTCATAGTAATATCATCGGAGTATTCCCAAAATTTCATAACTGGTTTTTTACATTTGCGTGGAATAAGGGAGTAGAATTAGTGTACATAAAGGAAGCTATGGAGTCGTGTGAATACACTGACATGTCATCCAGTGATTAAAACTGTATCATTCTGTGTTATATCAAATAATCTGTTCCCATGTGAAGAATTATATATTTTTTGAGTATTTCTTAAGTTATATTACTTAATGAAGATGACGGCTGAATGAAAACGTGAACTTGGTTTGGACATATATGATGGCTGAGAATGTGAATAATCCAGAACGCTTATTCTTTTGTACTAGTCATTTAAATTCCATTTAAATGAGATCAGAATCCTCATGGGCGATATGAATGCAAGCCGAACTGGGAGGAGATAACACAGGAAGAGAACTCATCATGGGTCGAAATGCTGTGGCTCGGAAAAATGAATGAGAACGGAGGATTATTGGCAGACTTCTGATCCTTCAGTGATTTGGTGATCGGAGGTGGCGTTTACAAACACAAGGATATACACCAAGCAATATGAAGATTTCGCTTGACAGACACACTATAAACCAGATAGATTTCACCTCAGTATTGCTCAAGGAAGTGGAGACGCAGCCAGTCTGCTGGACACAGTGTCGAGAAGAGGGAAGGATGTGGGCAGAACGGCTGATGCCAAAGCCAGCCAGAATCAGAAAGGCGAGCTACACTTTCAGCAACCTGAAACCAATTAGGAAATCTTCTGTAGTTTACTCACCCAGTATAAACAACACGATTCAGATTCTCAACTTCAATGTGAAGTCAGCCAGTTAATGCTTTTATATGGGTGAGAAACTTGCACTGCGTGTCACGAAAAGGATTTCCAACAGATTGCATACTTTCATCAACAACTACCTTCATTGAATTCATACTGAAGATCAAATGGCTAGCCAGGATGAATAAATAACAATAAACTCTGGCTGGGAAAAAACCAACAGGTGAGAGCCAGTTTCGTAACAAATATGTAGGAGAAGTGGATAGGGCATACATTGAAGAGGCCGTCGAATGAAATCGCGCTCAATGAAGGCTATCACTCGAGTGGAATCCCAATGGGAAGCGAAGAGTAGGTCATCGGTGAGATGGCAACACAAAGGAGACCGTGTATGGAGGAGGAGATGAGAGATTACTTGCAATCGTGTATTCAGCTGAAGAGAATGGCAGAAAATAGAAGAAAGTGGATGTGTGTTGTTGAAGCCCTATATTCCACCGGGAACGCAGGCTAATAACAATAATAATACATTTCTACTGAGTCAACTACTTTGGTGAATGAACCTGAGAAATCTTTCCTATGATTAAGTAGAATAGTAAGCATTACTTAGAGACATTTCATTCAAGATACCAGGTTGACCCTATAATTGGAAGTTTCTGCAGTAATATATGAAAATGTCATATTTTTACTAATCAATAGGGCTGTTTTTCTTCACGAACTTTTCCATGTCAAAATATATGATTAAAAATTATTTGGCTCACAATAATTTGTTGAGTCATTTTACGAGATTTAGGAAGCATTCTTTGAAGGTCAATGTCTGTAGCTGTTCAAAAAATATATTTTCGTAATGCTATTTGGAATTAGTTTACGACCTTTCTGTTATGCAGTATGCTGAGCACAACTCTGAGTGTATATCGGAAAAGGGAATATTGAAAATCATTTTAATTTATAAAAAATTGCGCTCTTATTTAAACAGTTTGTTTACTGGTGAAAAGTTTTTGTATCGAACGAAACGATGTCGCTGTTCTGAAAGTACTTTCTGTTAAATTTAAAGGTCATTAGTGAGTAGATTTTATTCAGACGCCCTAGAAACATGTCAGAAACACAGGGTATTGTGTTCTTCATGGTATAGAAACTTTCCATAACAATCACAATCCTAGATGATTAGTTCAATGGAACAATTCTTTAGACAGCACTATTGAGGCTACTGAGAAATATAAAGTAGTTTGTAAAGTCATGAAATACTTTTCTTGTATCTTACGCATAGAATAACCTAATTTGTAAATTTTTATGTTAACTATGTAACATTTGTTAGACGTGTGTTCATTAAATTAAACAAAATAATGTGACACTATTTGTGAGCCACATTGTTATTTAGAATTAATCTATTTTAATAAGTTTCACAGCTTGAATGAAAATATGTATAATTCAGAAGACAGAAAGTTATACAATTGTAAACAAATGAATGCATTTTATTTCGACTACCCTCTAGTTTTTATTCACATTTACCTAGTAAATAAGGCATAACAGTACTCAAACACCTTTCAGTTTAAAAGTTCCTCTAAAAATTCCATTTACAGTCGATTAGCTCGGGAGGTTTCGACAATGATTTCTCTTCTCTACACCTGGTATATATATTGATCTTCTTGTCACTAAATAATCAGGGATCCCTCCGTGTTTATTTCAACAAATTTTAATGCTTGATTTCAAGCTTAGGTGAAAAAATTGGCAGTGGTTTTGTAGAATTTAGTGAAGCTATGCAATAACTATCCTTAACAGTGCTGAATTTCTCCCATAAAACAAAATTCTTAAATTGTTCGCAACATAATAAACTCACCACTTTTCAGACCCATAATTCTCACAGTGAATTGCATAGTCATTCCTAATCAGTCCCTTAAGTAAATATTGCCTAAAAATTACTAATATCAGGACGAAATAAACTTTTGAAACTATGCAGGCCTAACTACAAGGATCAAAGTAAGTAGGACTGTATTCTCAGTCCACATTTACATTGACGTACAAGTTTGCCTCCATTCATGATTTAAACTGCCTTTGATATTTAGTGAAGCACCAATGGAAATAAACGGATAGACATTGGTAGGAAAAATTAAAGTGAATACAATCCAAAATTCCAAATAGGAATATACCTTGACTGGACAATAGTTAGTAACTAGTATCAAGTCCATTGTTTGTAGCAGACTGAATTCTGTCAGTCAAATTTCCAATGTAGCCATCATGCTAAGTGGCTTGTCATCACGGTGTATTCTCAACTGTTGTTATTAGATACCTGGAGGTGATTAGCATGAAGTGCTGGAATTGTTTCCTACAAGAGGTCAGTCATTAGCCAACAGAGCGCAGTAGTAACGTCTGTGACATGGGTTTGAATCTCAGAATGGACAATCAGTTCCTCTAAGATTGCAGATATATCTTGCTGGTTGATGAGTGCCAGCTAGCAAGAGACTATCTGAGTGCCTCTAAGCATCTAATAACAATAAGAATATACCATGGAGATCACTACTTTCTCAGACAATAAAAAACACATCTGTTCCTATGCTTGGTTCACCTGCTACCGACACAATTGAAAGTAATTCTCACACTTTGTATAGTATCCTGCCAAAAATGTCATCTTTAGGCAACATTTATGTCAGCAGGCTATATTTTACTGTACAAGGGTATAGATATTTGACTAGCTAACTTGTATACACCTTTTCGGAAGCTCTCGGTCTTTGTGATTTAATGTTATCCTCAATCTAAACAATTAAACTCACTATGGAATAGATACCGTCAATGGTGTAGTGAGTATAGTAAAACATTTTGGAATTAGATACATTGCCAGCTTATTATTTTTAAAGTTGATAGCGTGGAAAACAGTTTCCACTAAGCATATTACCTTACTAACACGTAATCAATTTTTATGTGTTTAAACTCATTTTGTCTTTACATCAATGAATTATCATCCAATCCCTACTAACTTTATAAAAATTGAATCCATCCAGTTTTTACTTAGCTGTGATGTACTAACAACCTATGCTATCAAGTAAATTTCAAGCAGTAAATACAGGTCACAGTAGCTTTAATAGGTTCGCGTAGTTAGCAAAGCCATTAGATTCATAACTTTCCTTGTGAAGTAAAACCTGATTAAGTCATTTCGGATAATAATGTAACATTCCCCAATGAAAATCAAGTAGTGATCAGAGAATATTTATACCTTATCGAAAATCTACCTCTTCCCTTAAGAAATATAGGAGTTACTGTATTGTGTTTATTAGTTTTGATACAAACTCATTTCCCTATTTACCATTAAATATGAGAAACACTATAATAAGGTCTCACTTATTATTTAACCGGCTAAAGGAAAAATGAATGGCAAAGACAAGAATTCTCTGGATTAGTTTGAAGTGGTTCTGTCTATATGAAATTAAGTGACCTTTGTCTTTCATATTCGTCTTGTGTATAACGCCTAAGAAGTTATCTTAGCAATATCCATCCCCTTTAAAGTTATTTGAGAAATTATATACGCTTAGGAACTTTCATTAACAGTTTTCCTCTAATTCAAAGGTTAGGCTGCTTTTTGACTGAGCAATTTGAAGAATTAAACACATAAATTATGCGTCTATTAGCTAAGCCTATGGATTTTGCAGCGATTTCGTGATATTTGCCTGCTCCAAATAATTGTGACTACGTGTTTTGTTTTAGTAATTACAGTCTATATTAAAGTGAATTTCCCGTATCACCTATTTTTAATAAAACTAAAGAAATAATAATTGTTATGTTTTTTTCTAAAAGTACTTTTTTCTATATCCCTTTTAGCTAGTACTTCAAACCGGTGCAGTTGTAATTCAGGTAATGCAAGGAGCTACTCTACTGCACATTGCCGTTTGGTATTCAGCTCATCGGATAATTGAACACATTTTAAAGGAGGATGCAGCCAACTTAATCGATTGTAAAACAATAGTAAGACAATGAATAAATTGTGTGTTTATTGAGAAAACTTAAAATCGTTACTGATTTGTTTTTGCTTTTTCATCAAATGATTATTTCTCATGAACTTAAGTAAATGCTTAAATTTAGAAACTATGATTAAAAGAAAAATCAAAAATTCTCATGTAGAATGAACAGTAGCGTTAGCGTGGATATTTTGAATAAAAACAACTGGCAGATTGTTAAAGTCCAGTTATTCCGTAAACCAACGACGGAATTCCCTCAGTTCTCTATCAGCCTCATTCAACAGCTATATGACAACGCGACATGTGAAGTGATCTACAATAGAAAACTCATTGAAGCCTTTGAAGTGAAGGCTGGAGTAAGACAAGGCTGTTTACCATCACCGATGGATTATGCGGAAGACTGTGCATAAGAGCGAAGAGATAGGAATACGGTGGACCGACAATGAGACACTAGGAGATCTGGACGTCGTGGACTGTCTATCTCTCATGTCACACAAACTCGAAGATGTACGGGTAAAAACCAACAAGTTATCAGAAGAAGTGGCAAAAATAGGATTTTGCTTGTTAACACAGAGAAAATGGACGTTATAAAGATGACAAGCCGATCAACAACAATAAGCGCAAATCCCTATCAACTGTATAAATCTAAAAGAGGTGACTCCATTCACTTATCTAAGGACTGTCGTGTAAGCTACAGCTAACTCCACAAATAAGGATATGAAAGCTAGAATCAGAAAGACAGGACAGATCTGCGTCACTCTGAAGTCATTTTGTAAATCAACAGCAATCAATGTAGACAACAAAATTCGAATTTTCAAAATCAATGTGAAGTCAGTCAATTCTTCTGTATAGGCCAGAAACTTGATACACCCATCACGGAAGGTATTTTCAACTCTCCACCGCAGACTTTGTGCGTCAGTGGTACAGAGGTTGAATGCAAGCCAACCACGCAGGTGGCCTGGGGTTCCATCCCCTGCCAGTGCACCTCCTTACCTCGCTAAACTAGTAATAAGACTGGTAAAGAAGAAAGGTTGGATATGAGGCTAGCAACCCTATCCCTCAAAAATAAATACCATAGCTACTGAAACTTCAAACCTCTAGCTTAAAGCTATATGTTCTACTGGGAACGTAAACGGATAATAGAACTTCAGACTTTAATCAATATCTGTCTTTGATGGCTCCATACTGAGGGTGGGGTGGCCATCCATTATCAAGAAGAAACTCTGGGAATGAACCAACCAGGAACCTTTTGCTCAAGAAATATTCCAAAGGAAATGGAAATGGATAGAACATGCGCTGAGGAGACACCTGGGTGACATTATGCGCCGAGCTTTCTCTTGGGTAAAGCACGAATGGGAGATGATGAGTTGGGTGTGTTTTCGAAAGTCACGTGTAGCAGATCGTGTAAAGGTGGAGATGGAGGTCTATGGGCACCTATGAGTTCCGATAAGCAGGACCGCGAAGAGCAGCAAAAATGGAGATTCTCTGTAGAAGCCCTGTTTTCCACTCGAAATCTAAGGGAATAATATGTAATATTCCGAAAACTGCTTGTATAGAAGTACCATAATTTTGAGTACCAATTAAGTTAATAATAATTACTAAATTAGTGATTTGTAAACCATGATAGACATTAGATTCTGAGCTGAAAAATAATGAAATTTTCAGTCAAACAGCTGCTCATCTACACACTGTCTATTGCCTACACACCACCTATAGTGTAGTTATCACTCAAGAACCGAATACGAAACCTGATTGACAGGCTATTCTAGTGTTGTTGCCACCCACATATCGATTATGGTCAGTAAATGAATCATACATTGGAAAATACTACTTGTTGTGTCTACCAACTGTTTTGACTGTTAACTTTCGATTAAAGTAATATCGATTTTTAGTGAAGAAAAAGCAATCACTGCTCAATTCATATATTTATCTGTGTACTTGTGTGCTCATATTCATTTATTAACAATCTATGACATTTTTAATAAAAAAAAAGCCATTAAACATAAGTGATACTCTCATCTATTTTGAAGTGGTCACCGTAACAGTGAATTTCAAAATAACACAGGTAGTAAGGGTTAATAGAATATTGGTAGGATGTTCTCGGTTATTTTTCACTGGAATCACAGATACATAAATACACGGATACAGAGTGAGTATTTGAGGAGAAATGCAAGTTATTCTATTGAAGGTGGATGATAGTTTTAATAGCAGAAATATTTCATCGTTGTGAAACATAATTAGTCCTAAATAAAGCCGGCCAGTAATCAGTTATTGTTTATTATTGTTTCCTAGGGTTCCAAGTGGAATATAAGCCTTCAAAAACACAAATCCACTTCTTCTATTTTCTGCCATCCTCTTTCGCTGATTCCACAATTGCCAATAATCTCTCATCTCCTCTTCCACACACGGTCTCCTTTGTGTCACAATCTCACCGACGACCCACTTGTCACTTCTCATTGGGATTTTACTCTAGTGATGGCCTACATTGCGCGCAGTGTCGTTCGATGGCCTCCTCAATGTATACCCATTCATTTCCATTTTCTCCTGCATATTTGTTGAATGGCAGGTTCTTGGCCAGTTCGTTTGCAGAGTTTCTTGTTGATAATCCTTTCTGACTAGCTGGCCATTTGATCATCAGTGTGGAGGCAGCAAAGGCAGCTCTTGATAAAAGTCTGAAACCTGTCAGAAATCCTTTTCTCGACACTCAGTGCAAGTTTCTGACCTGTATAGAAGAAATGTCTGACTTGACATAGGTGCTGAAAATACGAATCTTGTTCTTAGTGCTGAGTGAGGAAGATTTCCAAATTGGTTTCAGGTTGATGAAGATGTAGCTCACTTTTCTGATTCTGGCCGGCCTTAGCATCTTCATATCTTCCCCCTGTAGTTGAAACAGCGCTTTCTAGATGAGTGAAAAAACTAGCCTCTTTTACGTTTTTACCGTTGATGGTGACTGGCGTTGGTTGTGGGTCAGCCGGTTGTCCCCATCACCTCCGTCTTCTCCATATTCACCTGGAGCACTCACTGTCTTTGCTGCTTGCCTTGCCTCTTTAGCCAGTTTGTTGGTTTTCGCCTGCACTTTCTCGAGTATATGAGACATTAAACATATATCATCCACAGGCGAAATGCAGACCTACTGGAGTCTCTTTATCAGTGGTCCAGCCTATTCCTGTCTTTTCACTCCCTGTGCACAATCTGATGCATAATCAAGTCCACCAGAGTTATGAATATCAATGGTGATAAAAGGCAGCCTTGTTCAACTCCTGAATTCTTCACAAACGCCTCAATGTGTTTCCGATTGTGGATCAGCTGACACGAGGTAGTGTCATATAGCCAGCTGTTGAACGAGGTATTGAACACACCACAAATTATTTCTCGGTCAAAGCTGTCTGTTGAAGGCCTATTCGAACTAAATGAATGGAGTTGAGGTAGAGAGAGGTTTGACTGCTATTATATGCTTCTTTCTATGATGACGATGCGTAAAGTTGTGATCTGATCAGCCTATGATTCGCCTTTCCTGAATCCAGCTTGTTACGGTGGGCGGCGGATTTCTGTATCCGAGGCATCCTTTATTTTCTCCAAGATGATGTGAATTTGCATTCTACTTGGCGTGGACAAGAGCGTTATCAGACGCCAGTTCTTCCAGAGGCCTAAATAGGCGGTACTTCTTTGGGAGCTTGACGAGGTAGCTAGGCTTTCTTCCAGTCATCATGTACCTTTTCTTCCTTACAAACATCTTGCAATAATGGCGTCCGCATATCTGCTGCAGTGATAAATAGTAGCTGAAAAAACCATTCATGTTCGAAGCAGAAGATCGTTATCTAAGTAATCGTTGTAACAGCAGAGGTCTGTTGTGAAACACAGAACAACATGATTACAAATGTGATTGACTTTATGCCTCTGGAAACAGTCTCTAGCTTCATAAGTTACAGAAACACTAAATAATCAGTCTATAGTGCACAAATCTATGCCTTATGTACTTCGACTCTGAGTAAAAAAATTTAAGACAAAGTGGATCATCTCGAGTCAATATTCATGATGATTTTGTTACGATAATGTTTGAAGAACCGTAAAAATTCAGAATTCGTTGCCTTTTGTTCATTGTTGGTATTTACACAAATAAAATCATTAGTAAACCTCTAGGGATGTTCAATAAAGGATAGTTAAAGTGAAGAATATTGATCAATTTTGTTTAACTATTTGACCATAAGAATTTCATTGTATCCAACCTTACCATTCTATGAACTCAAATATTTTGATATTATATATATATATATGTCTCTACAGAAGTGAACAAAATTTTCAAAAACACTAATTGATACAAAGCTTTTTCATGCTGTTTTATTACAAGAATTAACTGTTTAAAGAATGCGAAAATATCACAAGAGTCTTAAAAATGTTTGCATTTAGTAAAATGTTTTTCTAAGGACCTGATTTGTTTCAAATTTTAGAAGAGACTGATGTCAGTTAGAGAACCACTGAAAACTAAAGGAGTACTGGACAAGTGTTTTGTCCTAGTGCTTGAAACTCTTCATCAGCACGCAGCCGTCAGGGTTCGGACCCAGGGCATTCTGGTTGCAAGACAAGCTAGTGGATTATTCATCCATTAGGACTTTATTCAGTGGCCCATGAATTTTAACTTCTACTCATTTGTGATTTTAGCGCGACCTATAATCAATATCAGGGGCGATTATTTTTCCTCCCTACAGACCCCATCAGTCACAATTTCTCACCAGGACTCCGAAAGGTCTCGGATTCGAGTTCCAGGGGATGAGTACTGCCGGTCAGTCCCAAGCTAAGAAGAAACAGATGTCCAGTACTCCCTGATATCAATGCGTAGTCAAACTTGACACAAATGTCTTTCTTTTTTGACACAGTCAAGTCTCAATAATTTCTTTATGAAATGGTGGCCACGTTAGTGCAGACAAGATAACAACGACCTTAAAATGACAGGGACATTATAAGTTTCAGTTTCCCCTAAGTGTATGTTTCACACACCACGAAGACGGTTGCATACAGGCAACGGACTATCAGCAAAAATTGGCTGACGACCACTCATATCAAAAGATGTTTGTATACAAACTAACTAATGCTGACTGACTTTTACAGATATGAGAAACAACATCAATTAAAGCTGAAAGCAACTCAAATGACAATACTAAATAAGCCTGCCGAAAGATTATCAATAACATCGACAAATAATCACAGTGAAACGTCACTTCTATGCTTTAGCTTACAACTGACAATAAGAAAACTTAAACATACTACAGAATGCATGAAGACAGAAGCTTAAAAAAAAAAGTAACCAGAATACTTCATTAGTTCTGTAGGTCTTAGGTAGTAATTGGGCAGTTTCAAATGATGAAACGTAGTCATCAGTATAAAATCAACGACTTATTTAATAATAATGATTTTTTCTCATTAATACCTGGTTCTATATTTGTCGATACTTTTCCATGTAGATTATTTTTATTCATCTGTTGAGTACAACAATCAGATGAAAATAAAAGCGAAATTAAGGAATTTAATCGTTCACTATTTAGTGTAAAAAGCTCTATTGCTTTATGATAATAGTATGCATTATACCAACTGTATTTGTTTTCTTTTTGTGCCTAGGAAGGTTTTACTCCATTGCACGTTGCTGCTGGCGTTGGGGATTTCATAGCAGTTGAAATGTTATGTAAAGCTGGAGCTAATCTTGAAATTACGGATACAGTAAGTAATGTAAAATTATAAAATTAACAAGTTATAAAGTATGCCTTATGCAAACCAAGTTTTTCAGATAATGATAATGATTTGTAGCTTGGATGGATGTAATTCTTATGGTTGTTGTCCTCTCTAAGATCTGTTATTTAATTGTGGAACTTATATTGTCTTCAAGGTCAAGTGAACTTTTGGAATTCTCTACAAATAATGTCCTTACATCTTCTGATAAACTTGAAAATGATCGATCGACCTTCTCTTGAAATTTCCATAGAATTGTATCCATTTGCATTTACAGTGATTGTTTAGTTGACACAATCTTTGATCTTTTGTTCGTGTGAATTAGTTTTCACTCTGCCGTATAATATAAGCAGATCTACGTAATTAAAACATAGAATTATTCATAGGTGATGTGCAGCATCATTATCATAATGTGGAGATCATTGTTTGATTTGTTCCAGCCATCTTCACACCAAACCTCTTATTGTGCTTCTTCTTGAAAACAGTAATAATAGTAATCATACTAAAGCTTTATTTTAAACAATATATGAACACGTAGTACAGTAACTTTCAGAGTATTTAGTTCCAAAATACTTTATCCTTGTATAAGATTTAAAAAATGCAAAGTAATATTCTGAAATATATCATGTGACATAGTGTTGTTGTCTCACATGAAGAAAGAATCAAATCTGTGTATTTTTCCTTCATTTCCTCCAACATTTGAACAGCATTTTGTTAAAAGCTAATCAAATAGCCCAGTAAATTAAGCAGGTCAGCCGGTTTTATATGAAATCAGTGAAGTTCCGATCCACAGTGGACGTTTGATGATTTATGAAATCTGAGAGAGAGAAATCATGCAATTATTATTATTATTATTAATTCCTTTACGTTCCCAGTGAAACATAGAACTTCAAGCTAGAAGCTAGAAATTTCTGTAGCAGTGGTGATTATTTTTACAGGACGGGGTTTCTAGACCCATGCCCAACCTTTCTTCTTTACCAGTCTTATTAATGGATTGGTGAGATAAAGGAGTGCGTCGGCCGAGGATGGAACCTCGAATCACATGCATACATAGTTGGTGAGCATTCTACCGCTGTGCCACTGACGCACGAGTTTCAAAAGTAATTGAATATATGTATATATATCATATATTTAACCACATCTGATTATCCTTTTATTCCTTTCAGCATGGTAGAAATGCACTGCATCATGGTATAGTTAGTGATCCGCAAACAGCTGCTCTACTCTGTTCCTACAATAAAGACCTTGTCATTGTTTCAGATTCTGTAAGTCATTTACATTTTTATATGAAGTATGAAAATGTATAGATATCTTTAATGTTATGAGTGACAGAAATGAATAACTACAGGCAATTAGGGAAATTTATTTACCTACGTGAGCTCACTTGAAAAACGGATAAATTCCTTGTCAGACTATACATATATATATATATATATATATATATATATATCATAAATTCTATTTCGAGACAGTGACCTTGATTTCTTTTATTGAAGCCAAAATCGCATAGTAAGCCGAATCTTATCGAAAGCTCAACGAGTTTGGAATTATGAACATACTAATTTAAAAAAGGAATAATTTTCCCTTTGTTAACTAACTGTTAAAGATTATGTCTATTTGTTCTTATTTATCCTTTGGAAACATTTCCAGTGCTACAAGGTTTTAATATCCGTAATGTCCTTTTAAAATATCCAAATGAATTCACATTCTTTGGATGAAAGTCTTACGCTTACAACAGTATTACATCCCTTGGATAGGATAATAAGAGGTACAATTATTACAGTGTTCAAAAAATTGTTCTCTTCTTCTGGTGGCACCTACTCAGTACTCCTCATTAATGTTACTAATCAAGAAAGTTAATTTCACGACAAAAATGATAAGATCTTCCTATACTGAAATATGACCCATCAGATCAAAACAGACTGTCTATATAGTAAAGTGTATTCATCACAACTGAAAGGTACCCATTCAAGTTCTTCAGCTTTACAGAATAAAAAGTGTGATATTCTATTCAGTATGGATAACACAGAATTTCTAGCTGACAACACAATTCGTTTTGTGATGATATATTATTATTATATCCTTTTATTCCTAGAGTAACATAGGGCTTTAGCTGCGCGTCTCTATTGCCTTCTCCTTCCTGACAACTTTTCCACTCCGCTCCAGGTCTGCCCACATGCTTCCATCCCCTCCTCACATGACCTCCTCCAAGTCACCCCACCGTTGGACGACTAACTCGCCACTTCCCTTTCGGGTTCCACTCGAGCAGTGGCTTGTCTAGTGATGTCACTTGATAGTTTCCTAAGCGTATGGCCAATCCATCTCCATTTCTTCCTGCCTATTTGTTTCACAATTCCTTCCTGCTTGGTTGGTTTACTCCCAGAGATCTTTGTTGCTGATCCTTTCTGGCCGGCCATCTGATCTTGAGCGAAGTATTGAGCGAAGACAACTGTTAATGAAGGTCTAAAGTTTGTTTGAGATGCTCTTTATGACGCGCTGGCCAAGTCTCTGATCCGTATAGTGAGTAGCACTGACTGACTCCACATCGGAGTTGAAAATCCGGATCTTAATTCTTAAGGCTGAGTGCTGTTGACCTTCACACAGACTTTAGCGTAATGAAAGCCTGTCTTGCTTTTCTGATTCTGGCTTTGATATCCTCGTCAGTTCCGCTGACCTGTAGTTGAAACGATACTTCCCAGGTAGGTAGGTAGGTGAAGGAGGTTGTTTCTTTCAGGTTCCTTCCATTTATGTTGACTGTCGTCTGTTGTTGTTGTTGCTGTTGGTGTTGGCCAAGAATCTTCATCACCTCTGTTTTATCTATGTTCACTTGAAGTCCTATCATCTCTGGATGCTTTTTCGGCCAGCTTGTTGCTTTTCACTTGCATATCTTTCAGTTTGTGGGAAATCAGACATATATCATCGGTTAAGTCCAGATCCTCCATGTTTTTGTGTGAGTCCATTTTATGCCTGTTTCCTGATTGCCCGTTGTCCGTCACATTATCCAGTCTACTACAATCAGGAAGATCATTGGCGATAATAGACAGCCTTGCCTCACTCTCGTCCTCACTTCGAAGGCTTCCGTAAGTTTCCCGTTGTGGATTACTTGGCATGCAGTGCAGCATTGTCGTACAACTGTTGGATGAGATGCATAAATGTCGCTGGCACCCCGTAGTAGCGAAGTAGTTGCCAAATGACTTCTCGATCGACGCTGTCGAAGACCTTTTCAAAGTCGATGAAGTTGAGATAGAGAGCTGACTGCTATTCCAAGCTCTGCTCAATGAAGATACGTATTGTGGCGATTTGATCAATACATGACTTGTTTCTCCTGAATCCAGCTTGTTCCGGTCGGAGTTTTTCATCTAGGGCTTGTTTGATTCTCTCCAGGATGATGCGGCTTAGTATTTTGCTTGGGATGGACAGGAGCATATATACTATTTAAGAATTAAATATATTTATTAATTTTAAACACTTTAAATATTTCACACAAACAAAAATATTAACACCGTAAAATAGTTACACTTATTTATTGTGTATCCCTTACATTCATTTTTCATTCATTTAGAAATATCAAACTCCTGTCCATTATGCCATGGATCCAACACGTTCAGCCTGCTACGAATTTTTGTCTTTATTGTATACAAAAATTATGAGTACTGAAGAAGAACAGATAGGTAAAGCAGAAGAAACTATGGACGATAATGTGCGTAAACTTGTTATTTTGGAGGAACTTGTTATTATTATTTTTATTGCTGCAAAGTACTGTCTACTGTCATTTGTAAGAAATCGTGTACCGGATATAAGCACAAAGATGTCGACGACTGGCGGATTTTTAAAACTCTTTAGCCACTAGATTATTACCGATTGTGAACCGGTTAACAGGTTCATATTGGTAACCCATGATGATGTACTGAATGTGTACTGCTGTCATATTTTGCACTAGGACAAAAAGACACCTTCGGTGCAGCTTTATTTTTCAGCCATTTCCTTATTGATGTTAGCTTGTGACTAAATCTACTCCGAAAGGAACATAAACACTTACTACATCTATTTTGATTCTATTTTAAATAATAGATTGCAATGAATACTTTCACTTAGTACTTAGAATTTTATTTTGGTAAACGGTGACTAACAATGGAATCCATGATGAGCATTTCGTCCAACTTAGGACTCGTCATCCAAATATATCCGCTATTCCCTATGAGTGATGGCGTTCCATATAAGACTGAAGTCCGGTATTCATCGTTTCAAATGCTGAAGCCTTTACTAATGATAAGTTCTAAATAAGAAGAAATGCACATCCTGGATCCCAGTGACATTCATCATACACCAAATAACATCTTGTTCATTCTTAGACAGAGTCAAGGTGCATGTACTAGGAGCTGACTTTTCGGTATAATATAATCAATCAACGGTAAATAAAAGATTAATATAAACAAATACATGTAATTTTATTTGACCCACAATGCAAAACTATGTCAAGTAATATTAAGAATATTGTACTGGAAAAAATACAACACCGATTACATTAATTAGTTTAGCTCTAATCATCAGTGGTCTTAAAGAACTTATTATCATTTTCAACAACGACTTCTACACTCTAAGTATATTTCATTGAATTTATTATGTAATATAAAGAGTTTATTCATCGCCTATCTGAGACAGAATGTGATTCAGAAAGGCGATTAAAAATCTAATAGTGAAAAGAAGGCATAAATATTAACAAACGATGCAAAATTACTAATATATAATTAACTGCAGCCCTGAACCACATGGGGTTGGAATCTCAGCGAATACATGGGTTCCTTCAAGTTTGCAGATATGCTTTTCTGACGAGTGCCAACAAGCATGAAGTCTAAGTCCAAGACATTCTTCGAATTGTTTACAACCATCTAACAGTATTGCATCTTAATTAAATTTTAGATTTTCCCGTTGACTGATTGGACTGAAGTGGATAGTGACTAGCAGTGGAATCCAGGATGAGCATTTAGTCCTATTTGGGACTCATCAGCTTTGGCGTTTGAAACTATGGGTACTGGGTTTGAGCCTCGGTGGGAACCACATCACTCACTGAGAAATGCAGTCGCATCCAGATGACGAGTCCCAAATAGGACCAAATGTACATCCTGGATTCCACTGCTGGTCACCATCCACCAATTAAATATTGCATCTTTTCTAGGCTTGTAAATGATAAACCAAATGACAAAAGATCACCTTGAAAATGTTGGTCATAACATAAATTTGTGAGAGAAAATCTTCACCTTTAAAAGTTTTCATGTTTAATGGAAAAGACAAGTATTGAATTAATTTTCAAGTATTGGTTTTTGTAGGGGATTTTTTGTTTGATTGGCTGGAGGATTTCATCATGAACTGACAGCAGCACTGGACAGGTTTTCCAAGGGTTCTCTAACTGATGTCAGCTCATGATGAAATCCTTCAACCGATCAACTGAAATTCCTACAATATCAATGGGATGCTCACTAGAGACTGGCTCTGCTCAAGTGGGTAGTTTCATGGGGCTCTTTTGGGTCGCGCTATGTCATGAATTGGCAGAAGTTAGAATTTATGCACTGGTCATTGGATCGAGTCCTAGTGGCTTAATGGTCTACGAGCTCACTAGCCTTGTAATCAGAAGGTCCTGGTATTCGAACCGTGGCGATTCGTGCGTGCTTCCGAAGAGTCCCGAACTGGGACGAAACAGCTGTCTAGTACTCCCGCGTTTTTCAGTGGTTCTCTAACCAATGTCAGCCCATGGTGAAATCCTCCAACCAATCAATCAAATCTCTACAAACCAATAATAAAAAATTAATTCTGTTTTAACGATTGCATTTATTTCACAAACTGAAATAGTCTTACCTCATTCCTCCTTGTTATCCAGAAAAAAACGTGCATAACATGGATTCCACTGAATATTAAAACTCCTGTCTGCGTAAATCCATCGAAAAATCCTGTGTAAGTCTAACGTTTGAATGCCTCATTTATGCAATAAACACTTTATTTTGCCGAATTATTTAAAAAACATTTTTTTATTGAATAAACAAATGTTTAAGACACTAATTTTTTCAATCTATATTTCATGTAAACACAAGTCGTGCTTATTAGGTGTGCATCTAGAGAAAAAAACAACAGCTGAAATTGCTCAATAAACACTTTTTAACTATAATAAATTCATTATTTTATACATTTATTCCTCTTTATGAATTTTAATCAAGCAAAACAGCGTTTTGTTCAAGATAAGCTGGTAATATCACATTTATCTCACCAGCTCCTCATCAGATGCAAGCAGCATGAAGAAATTACTAAATTTATGTACAAAACAACCTTAAACTACCAGCAAACGTGACATAATGTCAGTTGGAAGGAGATTTCGAACTCAATAAACAGTGAGAGGTGGGGGGGAATTAAACCTATGTAGTAATAATAATAATAATAATGGTAAAGCCTTATTTAAGACAGTATGCGAATATACGGTACAAAAATTTTCAGCGTCTTTAGTTCCAAAGTACTTTTTTTCTCAACAAGGGATTCACATGTAAAGTAATAGTCTGAAGTATATCTTCATTTCGTTGAAGAATTGTACAGCGTTTACTTGGGAACAAGTTAAATCATCGCGCAAGTTTATGTATAGGTTATTTGATATAACTGCATGATTAAAACAATGATAAATCCAGATGAAATTTAGCATTTTTGAGGAAAGTAATTTCGGTAGCCCAATGATTTAAGCAGGCCGCCTTAATGTAGCTTATACACCGAAGATTGAAATTTAAATCAGAAATGAAAGCTTAGTTACAATGGCGATAGAGTTGCATATTGAAGACAAGAAGTCAATAAGTTTATGAATAACTATAAGTCGAGTAACGATATGGTGAGTTCAACTCAGGTCACAGAAACAAAAAGAAAAGAAAAATATCTGGTGACGAAAGAGGAGAAGCTGAAGTCAAAAAAAAAAATGAGTTATCCAATAAATGAGACAGTAAAGACGTTCAGTTACCACGGTTGGTTAACGTTTCTTTCTGGAAACGTTATTCTAGTTTCTGGCGTTCGATAGGAAGCACTTCTTGTCTTTATTATGCAACTGCATAGCCATTGTAACTAAGCTTTCATTTCTGAGTTAAATTTGAATCTTCGATGTATGAGCTACATAGGTGTAATTCTACCCCCCCCCCTCCCCGGCGTCACTGTTTATTGAGTTTGAAATCTCCTTCCAACTGAATTCATATCATGTTTGCTGGTAATTTAAGGTTGTTCTGTACATAAATCTAATAATTTCTTCATGTTGTTCCCAGCTGATGAGAAGCCTGTGAAATAAATGAGATATTACTATCTCGTTTAGAACAGGCAGTTGTTTTCACACCATTCAAAATACCTACATTACCCCTATCTACCTAACTCAATGGGTTCGCCTGTTGAAATAACTTCACAAGCCTATTGAAGAAATAAGCTTTTAATTTGCAGTGACTTTCGATAAATTCATTTTAAAAAATATATATAATTTATCAGTTATTACAAGAATTCAACTCAGTATACTTTTAACCATAAAAATCCCCTGCGTAGTATGGTAGGTGATTAGTGATTCGCATGTAATAGTACCCACGCAAATAAAATACCTTCCAATTTCTCAGTCATATCAAAATGATTTATGTGTGCATGTGATTTCCACATAAAACGTTTACAAACTGACGACAAATTTTGAAGTGTTTAGCAAAATAGTGGTGTGATAAAAAAAAATGTTGATTCATAAGGCGAAAATTTTGTAAATTATTTAGAAATTGCTACTAACTACACACGTAAAGCATTCGTTGCTTCTATTCCATTGCAAATACACCTATTGGAGTGGAAGACTGGAAGCTGTGATGCACTCTAAATGATTTTTAATGCGCGACTCTGAACTGTGGAATGATTCTGACCCTTTTGGTAGTCATTCGTAATGTGCGTCTGAGAGAATTGTGAAAACTGGCAAAAACAATGTTCCTGATTTATGTCAAAGTGGACTAGTCTAGCGACACTAAAAGTGATAACAGAGAATGTGATGCATTTACTGATCACTATGGAGCAATGAAAAGCATTACGTTTGGTTCATAGCATCAATTTACCTCTATTGGTCAGCTTCTCAGTTTAATCAGCAAACTGGAAAACTCTTAATCTTCATTCAATTTGGACTGAGATCAAATGGTTAAAGGCAGGTAGCAACTAAAGTTTTTCGCTGTTTTCAAGGTTAAATACTCAAGGCAAACAGGTCTGACTACAAAACTAGACAACGCTTGTCCATATCTTTGAGATAACATCAGTTCAACCGAAGTTGAAGGTATAACTTGCTGACGAGCATTATTACGAACGAGACTTAAACAGGGAGTATTTTTTTTATTGTATGTAATCATAAAACAAAGACAGCCATAAGACATGGATGTCAAATGTTTCTAGTTATTCTATTTTATGATTCTCAAAGTACTGTAAAAATTCGTATGTTAATAAAAGGTTGCTGAATTTTACCTAGTGCGATCTTTCATTATTTTCTTCTTTTACTGGAATAGTGAACGTCTTTCAAAGTTGATCACGATCTAAATTCAGTTAGAGAACCATTAAAAATAGCTATGTCATCCTTGTTTGGAACTCTTGAGGAGTAAACATCCGTCTCCTCACTAGAGATTGAACCCAGATGGCTTCATTTATCATTTAGTCAATGGGATAAAATCCAATGTCCCACTGTGGTGATGTGATACAAACAATGGGTTCCAACGGAATATTATTCTTACACATTCCCCCAGCTCACTAATGCATTAGCAACACAGTAATATACGCATTTGAAAATTCTGTTTCATGTCTATTAATGTAAACCAAAATCACACTTTCAGTGATTGGTTAAAGAATATATATATATATATATATAAAGAATATCAATAGGCAGGAAGAAATGGAGATGAATTGGATGGCCATACTCTGAGGAAACCATCAAGTGACATCACTAGACAAGCCATTGCTCGAGTGGAACCCGAAAGGGAAGTGGCGAGTTGGTCGTTAGTGCAAGGGTGACTTGGAGGAGGTCATGTGAAGAGGAGATGGAAGCATGTGGGAAGACTTGGAGCGGAGTGAAAAAGTTGGCAGAAAACAGAAGGCAATGGAGACGCGTGGCTGAAGCCCTATGTCCCTCTAGGAATTAAAGGATATAATAACAATAAATAACAATATATAAGTGGCGGTTTGATCAATGGCAAATATACCTTGGCCTCCGTATCTTGCCTTTTGCTGTTACACCATGAATTCTAACTTTTGTCAATTAGTAAAATATGTACAGCGCGACAGCCAGCCAGTTTTTATCAGTGAATATTTTTCGTTACATCCAAATTGATGAACTGTGCGAATTGCCACACTATAACTTTAGGCGAATAAACCTCGTAGTCAGTTTCTGGTGAGCACTAGATTATTAATTTACAAGTTTCTGGTCATGGTGATTTAACTGCTTGACCTTCCAGTGCTTCCTGGTTTTCAATGGTTCTCAAAGTGAATTCATTTCTTGATCATTATTAAAACTATTCAAATCTCTGCATATCAAATCATAAAAATTAAGTCTTTCACATTAGTTTATTTGGACAGTAGATTTCATTTTAGGTCAGAAAACTATTAAAAGACAACTATAATTCTATTATATATATATATAACTACTGTGTTCATTACATGTCCCAATATCTGAAGTCTTGTAAATACACTGTATAGTTAGTAATACACAATATTGTTCAGAAAACAGATAGTACCTCAACTAGTATTTTACTGGGTGGAGATCTTCTTATGCTTGATTGGTTGAAGGATTTCATTATGGGATGACGTCAGTCAGATAACCATTGGAAAATCTAGGAGTACTGGACATCTGTTTCGTTCTATTTCGGGACTCTTCATCAGTACGCACCCATCGGGGTTCGAACCCACGACTTTCTGGGTACAAGGCGAGCTCGTATACCATTCAGCCACTGGCAGAAGTTAGAATTAAAGGGCCATTGGATCGAGTCCCAGTGGCTTAATGTTCTACGAGCTCGCTAGCCTTGTAACCAGAAGGTCCTGACTTCGTACCGTGGCGGTGGGTGCCTACTGATGAAGAGTCCCAAGCTCTCCAGTACTCTCAGGTTTTCCAATGGCTCTCTAACTGATGTCAGCTCATGATAAAACCCTGTAACAAAACAGGAAATTGCTAACTAGGCTCATCTACGGTATATATATGAAGCGTATGCAGTGAAAATAGTCATCAGTCTGCTGCAGTCTCTAGTTAAATTACTACACACTTAACAGTAAAGCACATTAGTTCGCTGGAAAAGTTGAGAATTTCCTATATCACAAATTCACAGAAGCTAGAAATAGATGACTAGTGGATTGCAAGCTAGTTTATGAATAATCACATGCTTGTATCGTACACTGACAGTTTTAAGATAGATTGCTTTCAGGCAAAACTGAAGAGTTGCACATTAGAACTAAACGACTGTCGAGCATTACTTGGTCTTTATATTATCATATTAAAATTATTCCTTTGGGTTCTGAGTGTAGCATGGGGCTTCAGCAGCACACCTTCACTTCATCCTGTACTCTTCTATCCTCTTCGACTGGCCCCACGATTGCCTATTGTCTCCCAACTCCTCCATTTCATCCTTGGACGCCCAACTTATTGCATGCCACATAAGTTCCACTTCAGCAGTGAGCTGGCGTGTTATCTCATTCAGCTGTCTCCTGTGGCACAGTGGTTAGGACTCCCACCGACCATGCACATGGTCCGAGGTTCGATCCCCTGCCGACACACACCCGGTATCTATGGCCGGCCTGCAAAATTTGGGCTACCGATATCACATGCTGAAAATTCCATACTTGTACCGAAAATACGGTGTGGAATCAAGCTGTAATAAAAAAAATCAAATCCTTGGCGTTTTTCTGATCCATCTCTATTCTCTTCGGAATATTTCCTGAGCTATAGGTTCTTGATTGGTTTGTTCCAATAGTTCCGTATTGTTAATGCTTTCTGAATTGCCATCTTATCTTCAGTATGAAGCCAGAGAAGGTGGCAGCCGTTGATAAAATTCTGAAATGACCTGTCGGAAATACTTCTCGTGACTGTTGCACCAAGCCTCTGACCCATATAGAAGAAAAAACTGACGTCACATTGTCGTTGAAAATTCGAATTTTGTTCTTTGTGCTGCTGAGTACAGAAAATTTTGAAACTGATTTCGGAGTTTTTGACGTGGAGTTAGCTGTAGTGGGAACGATGTTGCCTAGATCATTCAAGGAAGTGACCTTTTATAAATTTATTCTGTTGATAGTTATTTGTTCTTCTTGCTGTTTGTGGATTATTTTCATCAACTAAGTTCTCCACATGTTCATTTAAATTCTTGTCTTTGCTGCCAGCCATATCTGCCAAACATTTAACTTTCGCTTGTAAGTTCTCGAAGTTATATGACACTAGATATAATAAGTCATCGAAGTCTAGGTCTTCTAGATTTTTCTTATTAGTCGTCCAGAGTATTCCTATTTTCTCACTCCTAACGCACAGTCTGAAGCTTAATCCAGTCCAACACAATTAGGAATATTCATGGTAATAACAGGCAGTGTTTTCTTTCCCCTGATTTCTTTTCAAACGCCTCGTTGAGTTTTTGATTGAGGATGAAGTGACAGGAGGAATTGTCATATAGCCAGCTGTTGAATGAGGTTGATAAAGAGTTGGGCACTGCCCACCATAATGTTGAAGTAATTTCCAGATCACGTATCAGTCAATGCTGTCAAAGGCCCTTTCCCTTTCGAAGAAGTTGGCTAATGACAAAATTTTCTTTAAAATCATTTAAAACAGATTTCATTAAGGAAAAAAGTGAGGAACAAATGCTATTCTTGTTAATGAAATTTCTGAGAAGAAAGTGAAAATAACATTTATCTGTCAATTGCCTTTAGCATTTTAACAAAAATAATTTCGTCATTTCAAACTGTCTTACAACATTTTAGTGGACGTAATTGGTTCAGAAATTCAAAATACGCACTATTTCAATGAATTTTGGAAAAGTGATAGGTCGAAAATTATTAAAAACCAACTAACATCCAAGATTATTATTATTATTATCTGCATTCAAAATGTGGTGAAATCACTCACCCTCAACAGAATCCAATGAAATGTAATCTTGTCATATAATTAAAACTACATACTTAACCAGACCTAAAAAATCAAGGATTTTCTTTCAGGATTAATAACACACGATTCTTCGTTTAAATTCGTTGAATTTTCAAACTTTTTAGGAAATTTCATAGTAATAAAAAATAGAGGAGTTTTTTTCTGCTTTATTCAAATAAGCCCAAACTCTATTCTACTGTTCCCGTGAATTACGTATGTAGTTCTATTCAGCCGAAAACCTGACAGTTCAACCATTATTAAAAACTATCAGATAAAATTAACATTTTTTTTAAAAAAAAAAAAAAACTCAGAAATGATATTTCAAGTCTAATAAGAGCGTTTAATGCATACAGAAGGCATAGAACTTGTTCACAATATGTCAATCAAAATACTCAAGTATAGATTCTCCTTATCATATGATTTAAAAAATGATTGAAGAAGAGAGTTTTCTCAATGCTCAAGAAAAATAAAACAAGACGAATAATTTATAAATCTATATGTCAAGTTCAAAAGTAGAAATACCTGAGTGAATAATTGTTTTCAACAACTTCTTTGTCAGCCTCCATAAATATTATTATCATCATCATACAAAAGTTAGAAGTTATTGTCAAAACCACTGAAATCAAATGCAACTGAATTAAAGGATTGAATGTGATAAGCAAGTAATAGTGTGTTAGTGATTTAAATGCATACAATGTGTACAGTTAAAATATAGAGAGATGTAAGACAAAATGATAAGTTGGCAACTTGTGGAATCTTAGAAATGTTAAAAAGGGAATTGAATTAACCACTAAAGAGGTGATATTCTGAATCACGACTTTGTATTCTTCTATTTATTTCAAGATTTATGAATTTTACTCTTCCCTTATTTATGAAGTATTTTTCTACCTGCTTCTCTAATTCTTTGGGATTTGGAATGAAACAACTTTTTTGACTCGATAAATGTTCTTATAAAAGACAGAAATTCATGTAACTTATTTAAGTGATAACTCAGAAAAGATGTAGGTTTACTTTATAACCTACCAAATGTCTTGTGGAATTTATGTCCTTTGCCCAGTACTATGAACTTTTAGCCAGTCGAAGTAAAACCAAGCATTTTTCTATGTTTCTTATGATCTCAATATATCCACCTAATGGTTGGAACTCACCTGGTGGCATTGTGAACTGAGTCGAAGCAGATAACTTCGTGAAATGTGAATGTACTGCCATCTTCAAGGAATTTAGGACTTAAAGAGAGATCCACATTTACGACCCAGAAATTTCTTAGTAAATTCTTCGGATCGGTCTCTGATTTTGAAGTTGATTCATACCATGATGGGTTGGTTTGCTGTAAGTCGTTCGCTTTGGAACCTGGCATTTCTTTGACACCTTGTTGAATACGTATACGATAGATAATGCGTTCTTGTTTAGCTTTGTTGCCACCATTTTCCTTCCTTACCACGAGACGATGGTGGTATCACTGTAATGACAGCATGGGTTTGACGATATTCCCAACACTTCATGCACTGAATATAGCGCATAACATTGGACTGTTTACGGCAATACAGCCCTTGCCCAAACTTATTAACATCAATTACTACTTGTCATTCCCTACTAATATCCACCAACCAGCAAGCGACAGGGATACCTGAACCTAGATATTACTCATACTGCACTCATTAGTAAGGCATATCTACGACACTGACAGTAAATGATATTCCCTCAAGAATATGTGCCCGCGTAACAGAATGCTGCAGTTACAGATGTATTTTCTAATCAATTCGGTGAGTAATTTGCCTACTGTAGTACTAGGCTGTTTAATTATCATTGATCAGTACTGAGTATTAGAATCTTGAAGTCTTACTGATCATACCTTACCCAAGGTTTTTGTATGCTCCTATTTTAAAGTCTGTTCAAACAAGTATTTGTGATAACAACCAGGCGAATCTCGTTAATTAAAACAGTTAAAAGAATTCTCTCAAATATAATCAAACACTCCAGTGAAGTGACTGCCTACATTACCAGGGAATTTCGTATTAATGTTTCCAAAGTTATAGCATCTAAGATGACAGACATGGAGAAATCAAAACGAATGTTGTCATATCACCTTGTTGTTGGTATTACTTCAGTCTTCAGTTACATTTTCACTGTAATTAATAAAGTATATCATAGAAAACAAAATGTATACGAAAACTATCATTGCTGTACGGTTGATTTAGCCAGTGGAAACTCAATATTTCTATCTGCTTCATCAGTCAATGAAATCCACAACAGTTGGTCTAAGCCACGTAGAAAGGTGTAGACTTCCAGGCTGGAGTCCTCGGGACGGTAAAAATCTATGGTTGGAAACAATTGGTGACATGGCTCAAAACCGTTCTCAGTGGCGCAGATGCATCCACTCCCTGTGACTTATGATCTTCAATGAAACTGTTTTGTATTTCTTTATTACTCCTTTGTCTCACACCTCTGCTCACTGTTTCTATTATGCTTTTCTTGTACTTTCTTCTCTTGCTTCGCGTGCTACACGGAATGTGGCGACTTGAACTTCCGCACATTTGTGGAAAGTTCTATGTCGAAAACAGACAGACAGACAGATCTGCTTACTAGATTAGCCTATGTAATAGTCTTAGTCTGTAAGCTGGTTATAGATATAATAGTTTGTACTTGTAGTGTAAGTCTAACATATTAGTGAGAAAAATAACTTTAGCTTCTTACCTTTTTTGACAGCTACATTCACTTATAGATTGAGTATACCTATAGGCTAACGCTTTTGTTACTGAGAGTCAAAAGTGATGATTATCATTGTACAGACTCAAACAATGTCTATATAATGTGTATTCCTGAGTATGAAATAAAGTCTGTGGTAATACTCACGTTTTATTCATCTTGTACGAAAAGAATATCCACCTTCACAACCACTCATAGGATGAAATGATTCTTTCTACGTAGATTTCTTACTCATAAGAATGAAGCTTACACCTTCAGTGTTCTATTATGTCAATAAATGAACTGCATAATTCTATTTCTCAAGCGGCTCATCACATATGAGAAAGACTGTTTATATTTAAACAGCTAATCATAGAAAGTTGCCCTATATATATGCATATATAAGTACATTTGATGTTTCTCTTATTTCAACAGTTTTCCTGAGCTTTGTGTTTGCAATACGCCAATGAATCAACATGATGTTATTTCAAAAAATCCTCAATTTATCGAAGCTCTTAAACGACAAAATATACAATATTATGAGCTACCAACAGACACATATGGTGATATTGAAATATTCAGTGGTGCATACGCGCATAATGTAAGACTTTAAAAGCAAAATTAACTGTTTTTCAATTTGCTTTATGTCATAATATTAAAAGTGAATTCGTTTCAGATATGGGGGGATTAAAGTTCTTCTGTGCAACTAGAAATCGGTATAATATGAAAAAGATTTCCTCATTAAATAACCGTTTTATTCTAATATAAAAATTGTTCAGAGGTGGGTTAATCATCAGGGTAAGTGGCAGATGTCGAACAGTAGGCTGCGCAAATTATAGTTGTCACGAAATTATACAAAAGAACAGTTTCACGGTGTTTCATTCTCTGATCTGTCAGAATCCAGTAGAAGCATCATAGGACTATTTTAATAGCAAGTACATTCACTGTATGAACTGAACTCAAATGACTTTAAACACTTTTACTGAAACTCGGAAATATGAAAGATAACTGAGTTAAATATGATTTTATTAAGAAAAGTGGTTTACCACATTCGTTTTATCCAAAGATTCGAAATAATCTTAAAATGCAAGAGGATATGTAGCATATTTTCAGAATAAACGCAATTATTTGTGATGATAATAATAATAAATAGTTTGCTTTATTCCAAAACAGTACTTGTGATAGAGAATGGAATTCTCAGCATTTCACTACAGTATTGCATCCAATTAGTACATTAACAATAGATAAAATTCTATATAGATTATATAAATAGATCTCAGTTAGTTTTGACAACAACATATTAGCATGTCGAAAACAAAGCCAAAGTTGAACATAGTGTTTGAAGGTGTCAGAAAAGTATAAGCTAGCATACTTACTGGCGTAAGCGGTGACAAAAACGTCGAGATATACAGAGTGTGAGAGAACGAAGAATGTTTTAATAGAGTTAGTAAGGAAGAAAAGAAACAAAGCAGCGCATAACAACGAAAAAGAGAGAGAGAAACGGAAAAGAGAAAAATAAAACCTTGTACTTATAAATGATATGAGTTGGAAAGACGAGATCCATTTGTTCTACTGACTATTTAATAAGTTACAGGTATCACGCCTAATGCTTTCTTTATCACACAGAACATGAGCTAAGTAGAGTATGGTTGAGTTTTTGTACTTACTAGCGCGAGCATATAGTTTTCTATATAGGCTTCTGGTTCTGCCTGATGAGATACAAGGGGAGAGTTGTGAATGAAGAGGGTGGTGTGCGTGAGATAAAATGGAGTTAGCCCATTTTTCACATGAGTCCATGTGCTGTCAACCAGAATATTAACAAGCTGGTTAAGTGGCCTTTTGCTTACCCTGCTGACAACCTTTAACACCTGCGTAATGAGGTATAGTCTTTCTTCAGTAGTCCTGGAAGAACTAAGTGGGAACAAAAGAGAATAATAGGCAGGATGCAAGAGTTAACGAATCGCAGGAGTAAGGGTTGGGTTATTCCAGAATATCTTAACTTCTTGATGTGAATACTAAATATGTGTAAGGACATTTTGAACCAAATAAGTATTAAAGGAACGTCTCATTCATTCAGATCTCTTCTCAGAATGATTATTTAAAGTGTATTCATCCAAGTGACTTGCAGACAACGTTATCAACACTTCTATACAGCATCCTTCATTTCATATTGTTCAATACTTGTTAAAGTGTGTTTTTAATTCCAATATGATTGAATAGATCAGTGACAGTTAGCGCAGTATAACACTTCAATCGAATACAGTATAGATTTTGTCTCCTTCGGTGAATCCTGCTTTAGTGAAATGTAAAAACATTAAAATAATATGAAATGACCTGTAATTAACTATATTGAAAAAAGTTTTCATGAAAAAATACATCTTATGTTTACTTTGAAACATTTAAATCGCACTAGGTATTTGATGACTACATATGGTACTAAAAGAGACCAGTACAACTAGCGATTATAAATTTCTGTAACTCCCGTTTATTTCAATAAAGCAAAAACAACAGTGGTTTGTGCAGAATAACATGGTACCATCATTTATTTCGTTTGCTTCTCATCAGCTGCTTACAGCCTATAAAAATTACTATGTTTAAGTACAGAAAAGTTTGAATATACTTGCAAATTTTACATGATTTCAGTTGACAGGAAGTTCTGGACTAAGTGAACAGTACTCACAAAATTACGCTTCTCTGCTCTCCCAGTGTAATTGCTCCCACAGATACACATAAATTTGTATACACAGTTGGAGTTAACATGAGGAGGGTACCTGTCAACTTCTTACTGAAATAAAGAGCATGATGTTAGATAGATGGGAACCAAATTGGCTACAGGATAGGCTCTGGATAGTGAAGTACTTAGTCTTCTGTTGACCTTCGCTGAAATATTTTCATCTTTAAAATCTAGTTGAATGAAGACAGAATTTTTTCCCCCTGTGATTTTTTGATGTCTGAGACTTCACATCTTCCATATTTGTAAATGAATCTTTGAGAATAACATCATTTCGAGAATTATAAATACATCCTTCACTCTCTCCGCAGAGCTCTATAGTATGCAGTCTTGACTAGCGCTCATTTAAAGCTATTAAGACAAAAACTATTAAAATGTAGGCATTGTCCATTCTACGTAGGCTTCCGGTAAATTGACCTCTGGAGACTACCATCTTCTAGGCATTGCACGGCAATGTCAAGGAAATGAAAATTTCCATCATTTTCATGTTCCATAATAAATTCATTATTTGTTTGTGCGTTGTTGAGCAATCTGAGTAGGTAGGAGGCATGACTTGCATTGTTGCACACTACAAATTTGTCATCGACATATCGACAATAGGAAGTTGTTTCATCAATTACATGCTGCAACTTTGTTAGCAGATATCTGCTAAAACAGAGCTAATGACTACGAAGTTTGATACGTTATATAATAATTTATAAAGATTATTTTCTGTTTATCTAAAACAAATTCCGTCATTTTATGGGGTATTTCTTTTAACCAAAAAAGTGGAATACAATCATACTGGACTTTTATTTCTGCAGTGATAAAACTATTTTATTGAATAGGCTAATCTCATTATCCATAGAGAAAACCATAAGTATGTATATATATATATATAACGAAATGATTCTGTCTTATATTTTATATGTATTCTCTCTGTTTTTTTTTGGCTTTTATTAGTTCGTCAGAGTTTCAGATGAAACAAACACTGATCAAATTATTAATTTGTTCACAAAAGTATGGAAATTACCTCGTCCACAGTTAATATTAAGCTTTTATGGTGATTACGCTGATGCAGCACACACTCGCGAGAGAATACGTCGATTAATTTGGAAAGTTAGTGAATCTACAAGTAAGAAATTGAAAAAATATGTATATTTCCTTTTTAATATACAAGGCCATAATATTTTTCACTCATGTTCATCAATAATCTTAATTGAGCACTAGAATGAGAGAATAAGTATTGTTCAATTTTAGGATGATTAAGAAAAGTTATCGTGATGGATCTTGTTGTAGTTGTATTCTCTCAGCTGAATGGTATGGTTGAGAAGCTTTCACAGTCATTCTAGACAATATCTTCAATTCAGACTACACCTTTCGGTGTAACCCTGAATGTCACAATTCATCTTGTGGATGATAACAGTCTTATCTTTCGTTTCTGCTGAATATTTTTTGGTTGACGTAGTACACATCAAAGTTATTTTGTTGATTTTTGCGTGATTTTCTTGATGCTTTCAATGGATAACGTTGTATCGGTCGTTTGGGTTGAAAGTAGTCATCTTCTGATGAAGTTCAGTGAATATTTATTTTTCTGGAAGACGGATGTATGTCCTAGCCCTTTTGAATAATGTTTATATACAGTTTCATCTGTGTGCTGTCGGGTTTGTCACTGTTACAGTTGAGTATCTACGAGTTGATTTTCTGTTTACTTTGGTTTCTAATTTTCGCGTTTGTTTGCTTAACTAAGGGGCCAAAAAGTAGAATTTTGTTTTTAGATTCATTTTCCCTTTTAAACTTCATGCTGTCACCATTGCTGATCAAATTGTGATTGTCTTCTAAATCCCCGCTTCTTATTATTACGACTGTATTATCCATGTGTCGTGTACAAATTTGAGGTTTGATTATTGACGACTTCCGCAATGAGTCATGATACGAGAGATCCCACTAATGCCTTTTTTATCCATACGTATATTTAACACTTGAAATGAAAATGTTGTAAGACATAAATTTATGCATTCTGTTTAACTTAATCATTGGAGGTTGTGTGTTAGGAGAGGTATTCATCATTTCCAAGTTATAATTTTTCGATTTCTCTAGATAATGTTGTTCCATTCGAAGCCTATAATACTGTGACATCGGAAGACACTATAATTTCGTGATTGTTCACTTTAGTGCCTTTGATTTCTCCAGAAATTTAGTTAGCGATTCATCGGAATAATCGCAGCATTCTTTTAGACATACTGGTTTTTGGTAGGGTTCCTTGGGAACACTGTATGTTGAGTTTTTTGGAGGTGAGGGATTATTTTATTTGTGTAACATGAGTATTTTCTCTGATTTGTCATAATTCAGTACAAGCATAATGGAATTAATTATCTTAAGAACAAGTACATTCACCATATGAGTTAAACTCACATGACTTCAAAAACTTTTAGTAAAACTCGTGAAATCCAGGTGAAACGATTCCATAGGATTTCATTCGTCACTGATCTTCTGCTGCGATAAATTTTTGTAAGCATTTTTTTGATTCACTTGTCTGACATATCGAAAGGACTTTCGATAAGCATGATTTTCTTCGAATAAGACTTCAGCTTTCTTGGTGCATTCCTCTCTGTCTATAAATATTGTGGTTCTCCCTCTGTTCGTTGATAGTATGACCGTCTTTTTTCTGTTTTCCAGTCTCAAAGGACGTTGTTCTCCAGAAATGATTTGGGTGCGGTATTTTTCCACTTGACCATGGGTACAATAAGTTGAGCCATCATATCTAATTATGATGAAGTATCATCGAGAAAGGAATCTTGAATATCTTGAAATTAAGAGACGCGCTTGCAGATATAGGATTCATGAACACATGTCTCACTTCAATATAACAATTGAGTATTATGGATACTGATGAAATATCCCTAAACATGGGTGATTTCTTTAAATCACACTCATACCTCTATGTGCCCATCAACGAGATAGAGAGTTTATTACTGACAATACAAGAGATTTGTAATAAACCAATCATATCGTTGATAACATATACTTGAATTCATGTGAAAATCATTTTGTCGGAATCTCAGTGCCCTCATTTTTCACAACCATACCTCATCAGGTATAAATAGAAGCGATTACAAGCGATTACTGAGAAATAGTGAATACTAAGGTCTCAACATTCTTCCTATCTCCAGTGTACTGTTGTCAGTATTCCTAATAATTAACAAAGTTCTGTAATTATCTTCCCATTACTATGTAATGTGAAGGGAACGTTGTATGCTGTTTAATAAAGCATATTAAGAATTTAACTCTGTGTCAAAAATATTGTCTAGAGTACTAGAGCACTATTACTGTTGTCGAAACTCCATATCTTGACGTTCGTTGACAACTTTGTTTGCTTTGAATAACACTTATAGGAATTATTAAACATGTTTGGTCTCTTAACCACTCTTCGAATAATTTTATCATGAAACTTTCAAAAGAAAGCCAGTTATGCTCAGTAGTCGTTGAAACCGACTTTCAATTGGTTGTATTAACTAATTTTGATTTCTTTAGCCGGCTATTTTCTTATGAAAATGTTCACTCTGAAAGTAACTGACTATCATACCGAAAATTAGCAATTACTTCTCTGCTTCATGTTAGTCTCTGGTTGTACCTCATTTCTACACTAATTTGCTGTGACAGTTTTAATCTTATTATATTTCTTGAGTAGCAATCGCAGATGTAGAAGATTATTATAGTTTCAAGTTTCACCACGAATTGATATCAGTTAGAGAATCATAGAAATCCAAAGAATACTGGTCAGCGTTTTCGCCATAATTTGGGACCTATCAGCCACTGAGTCGGGTCCTGTTGGCTGATTGGTCGACAAGTTTCCCTTGTAACCGGAGAGTTTTTGGTTAGAACACTGACGAAGGAAGATTGCTGATGAGTCCCAAACTGAGACGAAACAGCTATTTACTACTCCCCATTGTTTCTCACTGGTTGTCTAATTGATATCAATTCATGGGCAGACGTAGAAACAAATCAAATCCCTGCAAACTAATTCTTGAATATTATTACAGTATTTTTCCGTGTAATGCACTACTGTCTATTGGGCTGGGGTGAGTAAAATGCACTGTTAAAATAAGAGACTGAAAAATCAGGGCAACTGTGTGTCATATCCTAAGAACCGCCAGTTTAAGTGAGCACGACTTGGACACAAGCATAAACAAGGAATTCCTCATGCAATAGTCTGAGTATAACAGCATAAAATTACAAAAATGCAATTTCATATGTTCGTTGATGTGGGAAGCTACTGTTAGAACAATAGCGAAGTAAATTCTGAAAGTCCTACTTTAAACTTGTATTTTGTGGAGTTAAAAAAGCCGCACATCACCATTGTATTATGTCAAATAGGTAGAACTAATAACTATACTAAAAGCACTCATGACGGATCCAAAATACTTTCCAATTTGACGTAAGGAAGTAATACAATGAAGGGAAACCTCTAAACTTGCTGTTCATTTATTCATCAACGAATTGAGAGCATTATTACTGAAATGGTTAATCTCACTTGAAAACATTTTGCGCTACTTTAGCCTGACGTGATATTTAGGTACATTTAGAGAAAATTAGTGAAATGTATGTGGATTTCTCACTGGTTCGTAATCATTATAGGCATCTTGGTCACTAACATCCTGCAGGAAGAAAAGGTAAATGAGGCTCGGAGGAATGCTTATTAAAACAAATTCATTGTAGGTACATAAATTTGGTATACCATAACTCCAATGCTGTATTTGTACATTTGCATATTGATCGATTATCACCACATCCGATAGCTTGTTGTATTCTGCACATTATTTCTAGCGTTTTCCTCAAAGTTCTTTTCTTTGATTGCTTTTTCCAGTGTCCGAAACATATTGTTGCTTTTCTGAACTCGTTTACTGAAATACTACTTATATCTTATTACTTTTTCATATAACACTCCTAAGTTTAAGCTTCAGATATTTTTAAATTCAGTGTAGATAAACAAAGAATTACGTATTTATTTATTTATTTTATATTGTACTTCAATAATCCATTTTCTTCCAGAGACATGGGTTATAACTGATGGTATGAAAAGTAACTTGTCTGTAATAGCTAGTGGAGCAGTTAGAGATTACATTCAAGCTTATGGTGAAGGTCAAGTTGAATGCTTGGGAATAGTACCATGGAAGTTTATTTCAGATAACAAAGTCTTTACAACAAATTCTTATTCAGTAAGTTGGAATATAAATTAAATATTTTTTGCATTATCCAATGACATATTCCATTTATATTATTTTGAAAATTTCTGAATGCATTCAGTTATTCAAGCATTGGTTTGTAGGGATTTGGTTGATTGGTTACAGGATTTCATTATGAGCTGACGTTGGTTAGAGAACCATTGGAACCTGAGAGTACTGGACAGCTGTTTCGTCCTAGTGTGGGACTCTTCACAGTAGGCACCCACCAGGGTTTGAACCCAGGATGGTTCAAGAGTAGGATGCCTACAAACCACGCATATGATCTTGTTTCGATTCCTTGTTTACTCATCCTTAAGTCACACCTGGTTGATGATAAACCCAGCGATGAGGGGAGATTGCACCTGAGGCTAGCAACTCGACCCTTTAAAAGAGCGCCACCACTATTAAAGCCTCATATTCCACTATAAACGCAAACAAATCAAATATGAAGTAAACCGTAAAGTACACAGAAATTTCTTTCAGTAATTTTGTAAAATTAGTGCGTTGGTGACACCACTGTAGAATGCTCGTCAGCCAAGCCCGTAACTTGAAGCTCTGTGTTCCACTGGGAACATTAGGGAATAAAAATAAATTTTGTAAAATAAGATTCCTACTTTGAAGAATTATTTCTATTCTGAGCAAATGATCTTAACTTTTTCTTAACCCTTATCGTATAAATCACTCAGGTAGATGAAGTAAAGTACCCACGTAAAACAGTCTAAATAAGACATCACAATCCTTGAAGAGACTGTAATGAAACAACTAATGTGCTATAAATAACTGTTATGATCGAACGGAAATAAACTTGTAATCTGAACAAATCAAGATGTTCTATTGATTGGTGCTCGACATGTGATATTAAGTAGCCAATCACGTAGGTGTATGCTGGGATCAGTCGCTAAAGAAGTTGATTGTTATTTTTCGAAGACTTTTATTATTGCAACGTTCTTTAAGTAACTGATTTTTTTTAAACGAAAAAAACTGTGATGCTTAGTGGTCAAGGCATTCCCGTGAGACGCAAGCAGCAACTACATCCAGCAGCACCAGAAATCATTCATGTCCCTCCACACCATTAGCACCTAGAGGCCTGGGTCAGTCAGACCATCTGTGAGGTAGACACTTAGCTAACAGACAGCGTGCAGAGACTCCAGAAACACTTGTCAAAGTGTTGTTTATTCTGGATAGCATTGGTATGTAATATACCACTGTTGTTCTCCTCTTGATGAAAGGCAGACATAATTGATGTTGTTGACATTCTGTTATATCAATCTCTTAAAACCCTCTGCAAACATCGTGCAAACTTTTCAAAATTAATTCTTCAAGATTATTCTGGGTTTTAGTGATCAAGTATTCCATCTTTACCGCATATTTATACCTGGAATTATCCGTTGGACAACTCTAAATAACCCTAAGTAACAGCTTCATAGGTGGAATGAAGGTATGAGACCACTTGTCACCATTATCTTCAACCAACACTGATGTTAGACGCTGTCTCCAAATGTAATCATCTTTTGATATTCCACGGCATTCCTGCTGTGTATGGTGTTGTTGACCTGCTGGCTAATAATAAAGACGATACCGTCTTACTACGCTCCCTAAATCACTTGTCTTCCAATGTTTTCAGGTTTCAGAATTAGTAAAAGCCAGTGCCTTCACTTGGTGTCGGTGGCACAGTGGTTAGGACGCTCGCCAGCCATGCATATGGTCCTGGGTTCGATTCCCAGCCGTCGCACTCCTTTACCTCTCTATGCCAGAAATAATGCTGGTAAAGAGGAAAGGTTAAGCATGAGGCTAGCAACTCCATCCCTAAAAAATAAACACTGCTACAGAAACTCCAAGCCACTAGCTTGAGGCCCTATTTTCCACTGGGAACGTGAAGGAAAAATTAAAAAATTAGTACCCTCACTTACCATTGCGTGTAGACAGTCGGCAGTAGTTCAACAACTTGTGAGCCCGTGACGGAACAAACTCTCAATCATATAGGGAAGTCAAAGTGACATTCATCAACACAAATCCCAAATGTTCTGTTGTGATGTTCATCTTACCATAAAATTTCAGGTTTACACGCTTCAGAATCTGCAGTATTTATTAACGCCTATGAAATATTGTTTCTCATCGGCTTACATTCAGTAGCATGCATATGAATATAGCTGAGAAAGCTTCCGTTAAGCCATCATCTTTAATCACATATATATGCACTATCAACGTAATTCAAGCTCTTCGCTGGCCCTAATGTTATTTGAAAAAGCTAAGGTGAACAGCTGATAATATGTAGCTATGCCATAAAAGATGGTTTTTTTCGGTTTAGGGATTTTCCGTGCATCTCTGCCACTAATGGTAATATTCCAAAAATACCCGCAATGTAATCTACTTATGAATAGCTTAATATCCATAAATCAATTCATTTTGTCTAAGTTTTACCATGGGTTGATATTAGTTAAACAGCCATTGAAAACAAGTACTGGATTACTTTACAGCTATTTCATCCTAGTTTGGGACTCATCAGCAGAATGCACCGGCTGGTGTTCTAACCGAGGACCTTAAGATTACAAGGCTAACTCGTCGACTATGCAGCTATTGAGACCCGACTCAATGCCCCCAATAATAAGGTCCAAAATCATCGGCCTATTCAACAAGTGTTCGCTCTTATTTACATCTTATTTACACTGATTTAAATTTTGAAAAATACCTGTTTTCTAAAATTGCCATTGAAAATATAACAGCTCATATGAACAGCATATTGAACAATTTAACTACTTGAAAACATAATATGAAATTTTTTGCATGTTTTACTAACAGTTAACTATAACCTAGTAATTTTGTATGATAACATTGAATTACATATCATAGAAATTTGAAAAAATTTGAAAAAATATGACATTTCCGTTTATCATTTTGTTTTAGGGATGTTTTCCAGCCTCATTTTCTTCCGATGCAACAGAATCGAAGAGCCATTTCATTTTAGATCCCAATCCTACGCATTATATTTTTGTGGACACAGCTAAACAGGCAACAACGCACTACGAATATAACTACAGGTCAAAAATAGAACTAGCACTAAAAAGGTGGCAAGTTCAATCTCAGGATCCAGAGCAGATTTTAGCCGAGGGTGAATAATTTTGTATTTATTTTAACATGTCTTTAACACTGCATTCATGGCAGATGTATACTTAAAATGGTTTTTGTTTTACTAATTCTTAAAAGAAAATATTATTTCATTGTTACTGGTTATCGTTAATTGGTCAGCAAGCACATCTCTAGTAATTTATCAGTCTTTTATTCGAAATTTAACATTATTCATCTTGGGTTTACCCATGGAGTTTCAGCAACGATGGCTATCTTTTTTACGATAAGCTCACGAAAAGATTTAAAGTGAAGACTGGAGTATGAAAAAGTTAACTATGATGTTTCTGGTTGTGGTGGACTATGAGGACAGACTAAAGTTTGACTAACGAAAAGACCCTAGAAGATCAGGATTTTGCAAGTGATTTATGTCAAATGTCTAACAAACTCGAAGATTTGCAAGCGAAACCCAGCAAGTTGGCAGAAGAAACCGTGAGGACAGGACTTCAAGTGAACATGAAGAAGACAAATGTGATGAAGATACCTAACCATCAGTAACAAGCACCAATCATCATAAATGGAAGAAATCTATGGGAATTACTATTTTTTAATGATCTTGATAGTATTGTTTCAACTACAAAAGACACGAATAAGAACATCAAAGTCAACCGGGATTGGGAAATCGAACAGAAGTTCCCTACTCTGAAAACAGAGTGGAGATTTAAAAACACAAAGGACGAAATCCGAATTTTCGATATGGATGTCTGTATGTTCCACAGACTTGGAAGATGTATCACGAAAGGCATTTATACCAGGCTACTGCAGATTTTCATCAGTAGCCGTCTTCTCTCAATAATAAACATCAGATGACGACCAGAAAGCAATAAAAAACTAATGATTCTGATAAGTAAAGAATCAACCAACAACCTGTTACCCAACAAATAAGCGGAAGGAAATAGAGATATAGAACAGATATAACACATTGGCTCTAGAGTGGAATCCATATGGGAAGCGGTGGCTTTGGCGTGTATCCGAGTGTGACATGTAGGAAATCGTATGAAGAGGAAATGAAGGTTTGCAAACAGTCATGCGGCTAGTTAAAAGTGACTGCATAGGACAGAATAGAATAGAGGTATGCCAATGAAACGCTTTATTCGATTCTGAATGCAAAGAAATAAGTAGTGATACTAATCACTGCTTTATCATATAGTAAAGTTCATTATTATGCATTTTTAAGATTTTACTATTGATGACGATCTTAGTGTAATCTAGAAAGCTACGGTATGCTTAAGCGTAAATACAGTTCCCTCTACAAGCAGAAAATCAAAATCTACTTGTTCAACTGTAAAACAATTTTAATTTATTTTTCTAAAGGTCCTGGGAGTTCACTTGATTGATTCCCATGAAGAGAATGATCATTATTTCAATGAGAGGAAGCAAAGATTACTGGATAGTCTGCTCTAAATTTGACTTTTGATTGTGTTTTTAAAGCTTTCTTCGTTTGAAATAATGCAAACAGAACTCCCAAAATAATTGCAGCTGTAAATACCACTATTCCGGTACTAAAGAAAGTTAAAAACATACTTATGCGGAGTTTAAGTGATCATTCTGAAGTTCTTTGAAGTTCTTTATTCACAAAAGTTGATTAAAAACAAATTTGTAATCATACTGTAACAAGAAAAGACGAAGGCCGGCAACAGATCGTTTTATTACGAAAATCAACACGTATTTATATATATTTCCTGTACATTATTATAGCTTATTCAAGCAGACAAACACAGTCTTCTGATTGGTCGTTTCTGGTTTCTCGGAAAGTTAAGCCATACATCTGCGAATCTTATTTGCCCACGCTAAGTCTGCTGTGATTGGTTGTTGAATCAGCCTTGTTCATATTTTCTCACGGCCAACATTAGTGACCTGAACGTTGACGTAAATTAATGTCTACCAATTGGCTAGCAGCCTGCTCTCACCACAGTACTCATTAGTGACTGTGATGTCTTAACTTATCTAGGGATACCTTGAACAAAATATCACTAACCAGTTTAAAACAATTCAGTCTACATTGTTGCAGTTATATAAGTAAACTGGAAAGCCAGTAAATTATTCTTTACGAAAGAATTATACTTATTAAACTTCTAAATCACCTAAAGATTAAGTTCCTATGTATAAGGTCAAAGAACCTAACTAAATGTCTTAGGAAATACTTTTTCCTTTGGGTGAAAAGTTTCATGAACAGTTTTCTTTGGAAAATGTTTCGGAATAGATTTGTATTATGAAAATTACTTCCTGAAATAGATACAAGTGAATACACTGAATACGCAAATCTGTGAAAATATTAAAAAGAGTGAATCAACATGTGTGGATAATTTTCAGGTGTTGATTTGCAAGGGTTTCATCGATTCCAAGTTAGATTACACACTAACATTAGTTAGAGAAGTAATGAAAATCAAGAACCCGTGAACGGCTGTTTCGTCCAATTTTGAAATTCTTCAGCAGTACGCACCCACGATACAACGCGGATCGAACCTAGGACTTTCAAGCTGAACAGCTAGCTCATCGACCATAAAGCCACTGGGAAGGAATTCAATGACCCATGGATTCTAACGTTTGCTAATTCACACAATATAACGGCACCAATAGCCTGTGTCAGTCACCAGTATTTATCCTTATATTCAACTTTTTCACTACATTGATTATGACTTCTCACTCTTGAATCTCTTTCCTGTACTCACTCACATGCGAATAAATTCATTGCCACTGAAATAAGCGTATCTACCTAACTCATTCAGTAGAATGCTATGGTGACAATCTATGTTTGAGTAAAATGATGTAAATGTCAGTTGTTTATATTTCATACCTCAGTGTATCATTTAAACTGACTGTTATGGTTTGTGTTTACTTTGCAAAGGAAAAATTCAAACTTGTTTGTATATAAGTTTAATTTTTAGAGGGAAATTTACACACAATTGGTGGATTGTGGCTAGCAGTGGAATCCAGGATGAGCATTTTGTCCTATTTGGGACTCGTCACTGGATGTACCTACATTTCTCAGTGAGTGATGATGTTTCCACCGGGGCTCGAACCCAGTGCCCATAGTTTCAAACGCCATCCACCAATTGTATACTAATTAAATGCCCAGACATCGTCGAAGCATCTGCACAAAAAGCCGATATGTCAACCTGAGACCGAGCACTTCGGTCCAATCAATCGACGGAAAAATCAAAAGTTCAATTCAATAAAAATTTATACAGTTTTCAACCTGAAAATTAGATTTATTACTAATCTATAAAATACATTATCATTTGTTTTTAAATTTTAGCTCCAATTCAAATATGTGCATTTCTTGCTGGTGGAGATGAATCTACTCTTAAAGCTGTATACGGATCAATGCAAAACAGAATTCCTATTGTGCTGCTACGAGTAAGCTCCCAACATAGAAGTGAAGTATATATATATATATATACTACTCCATACCAACTATAAACTTTTCCAACTCTATTCCATAGCAAAACAAGTCCACTTCTAGCTTTTATGAGGAACGCTATTCAGATACGCGTTTTTGTGTTAACTTTAGTGGTCTCCAGGCTAGGCTTATGTTTCAGCTGTCGTATTTTTAAGCACACAATGATATTTTACCACCAATAAAACCAAGTATTCACTTACTGCTACGAATTTAAAGTTTCTTATTCAATAGTGACACTTATTGCTTAATAAACCCCTATTAAGTAAAAAGAGTGAAACCAAGTGTCAAGCATTTGAAATGAACTACAACAGGAGACGATAAGTTGAGTGAGAGTCCAAAAACGATATGCAGGAGACAGTGTGAGAAGGAGATGATAGTGTACGTGTGATCATGATACCAACAGCTAAGAAAGACTGGAGAGAACAAGACGAAACAGTGATGCGCAGATGAAGCTCTATGTTCCATTGAGGAACCCAATGGAATAAAAGTAATCCGTAAAGTAAAAAGAAATACATTTTAACATTATTAAATGTTAGTTATAGTTATTTCCAAAGTTTTATTGAAGCTGCATTTTATTTAAATTGACTCTTCAACTAATCCACCAGCTTAGGCTGGATAAAAGAATACAGAAAACTTAAGATGAGATAATTACTTGCTATTAAAATTCAAGCATAAATCACAGGCATATTTTTCGACAAACTAGAGTTTTCAAGTGTTGGTTTGTAGGGATTTGATTGGCTTACAGGATTTCATCATGAGGTGACATTAGTTAGAGAACCACTGGAATACTGGACAGCTGTTTCGTCTCAGTTTGGGACTCTTCATCAGTATGCACATACCACCACGGTTCGAACCCAGGACCCTCTGGTTACAAGGCTAGCAAGCTCGTAGACCATTAAGCCACTGGGACCCGATGCAATGGCCAGTCCATCAATTCTAACTTCTGCCAATTCATAATATAGCGCAACCGCTAGCCAATATCTTTGGCGAGTGTTTCTCCTCACACCCGACCTGCTGCACCCTACTGGTCACGACTTCTCACTAGAACCCCAGCTAACTACCTACCTTAATAGGGCAAGTCGCTAATGAGCATCATGGGCTCAGTAGCTTAACGGTCTACGGTTTCGCTACCCTTGTAACCAGAATTTCCTGGGTTCAAATCCCAGTGGGTGCGTACCGCTGAAGAGTCTCAAACTAGGATGAAACAGCTGTCCAGTACTCCCAAGTTTTCCAATGGTTCTCTAACTAATGTCAGCTCATGATGAAATCCTGTAAAGTAGAGTTTTATTTCCCAAGAAGAAATCTTTAAGTCGGATTCATGTTTGTTTTATTATGACACTGCGATTTCTATCATTATATCATTTATTTATGAGGATATTTTCAATACTTATGATATTTCATTTCACATTCTTTATGTCTCCAAATATTATGTTGCAATTTTTTGGTTGTTCATATTTTACTATACAGGGTACAGGAAAATTAGCAGATATTATAACTCAGTGTATGGAAGACACTGAACTTGGATCTAAGGCAACATACAAAAAAGCGATAAGTGAAGGTGCAAAGGGCATAGAAGGTTTTCAGCTGTCACCAGCGAAGTACGTCTTTGGTTGAAAGTGATATGTTGCTTTTCTCTTCCTAATAATTAATTAATTATTTTTTACATGAGATAAATGTTCATGTTGAATGACATACTCTGATTTTCGACAACACAATAAGAAGACGTAGTTTATCTGAGATGTGTAATGTATTGGCGCAACACACTTCGGACATTTTGATCACACACGTACTTGTCATACACAGTTTTTATAGAAGACAAGAAGGCATGAATAATTACAATACAGGTCAGATTGTGTGCAGGTCAAGGTCACAGATAATGGGTAGGGTGACGCAGAAGGTATGGGTAAGAAAGATAAAGAGAGGAAAAAACAAGGCAAAGAAGGGGTTTGAAAATATTATGAAGTAAATTGGTCCTTGGTTCTAAATTGGATTACCAAGGCAGGTTTAAAAATTATTTTCCCTTCACGTTCCCCACTGGAACATAGGGCTTCATGCTACTAGCTTGAAGTTTCTGTAGCAGTGTTTATTTTTTAGAGGATGGAGTTGCTAGCCTCATGCCCAACCTTTCCTCTTTACCAGCATTATTTCTGGCATAGAGAGGTAAAGGAGTGCGACGGCCGGGAATCGAACCCAGGACCATGTGCATGGTCGGCAAGCTTCTTAACCGCTGTGCCACCGACGCACAAGGCAGGTTTAAAGTGATAACAAACAGCTTTTGGACACATAAGACAGGTTTAAGTCTTCTTATGGCTAAAGCTTCAATTAATTTAAGTATGTGACCCAACCTTGTTTTATATATCGGATTAAAGGCATTGTTAAAATCAACCTTATGACCCGTCTCTATAATATGCTTCGCTATAGATTATATTAGACATCTATTTCCGGGGTCAATTGTATCTGGTGATTTCATTTGTTGTTGCAGCCACTTTGGAATGTGTTCTGTAGCCCTAACACGCAGAGACCGATGGGTCCTCCCTATGTACGTGTCTCCACACATACATGTAAATTGATAAACATTGTGGGATGTGACACTATCGTTCGGATAATGTGAGGGTTTACAGGACAGCATAGTTCTCCTTTTCTCTGATTTCGTTGTAACAATTATTGAAGTGAAATATTTTAAAAAATTTTCCAAAAATGGAATTTCATTTGAAAATCTCCTGACCAAAATTATAGGCCATATCCCAATACCACACCATGTGGGTACTTTTGCCTACCGAGTTTCCCTCAAACGCCCACCAATCCCTTCACAATCAACCTTTACAACCCGTCTTCAGACAAGTCATATATATTTGCGCTATGCTTAGTGTAGATGCTCAGTCGACTCTTAACGTGTTCTTATGTCAAGAGTAATTAGCTTTAAAAGACAGATATTCTTAAACTTTATTTCCATGAATAGCATCTAGTGCACGTTAAACAATGAAGTGAGATACTATTATGAATGGGGAGAAATAAAATTTAAACAGACATTCCAGCTGAGCTATTTTAAGTGTAAATGAATGTTGAGAATAACATTTGTAATTACATCTAGTGTTACGAGACACTGTTTGTTTAACTTTAGTTATCCAGCAATTTGTTAAGAAAAGCACTCCCAGTTGTCTAAAAAGCATACCTATGATATAACTGTTTTAGACGTAACTTAAATTTATTTTCAAAAAAATCAACTGACTGGTGGTTTGAACTTATTCAGCTCTGTGAGTTGAGTGAAATTGGATAACCATAAACTCTAAAAGAGCGAAATTACTGTCAAGTGTTTAAATCACTTCTATCTAGCTAACAAGCAGTACAGGTTGACGTGAGTAATTTGCAACTGCTCATAACAGCTGACTTCTTCCAACGAATCAGTCAGTGGCTGGTAAAGTTGTGAAACAATTAGACATATATTAAAGATTTATTACTCAGTAAAACAGTAATATTTAACTTCACTAAAATAATCTTTTATATTATAAATAGTGATTTCATCTATATATAATTTTTACTCATTACAGTATTAGACAAACTCTGGAATATTATTGGGATAAAGTAGCTCATCCAGAATTGAGTGTACTTATGATGCAAGAGATTTTGAATAAACCATTTCTATTCAGTGTTTGTGAAACAGACCATGATGACGAAGCTGGAGAGCTGGATTATCATCTTTTATCTTTGCTAATGAATCCTGGTAGGTTTATTTCCACCCAACTTTTTAAAGATTGTAAATATTTTCCGTGAGTATGATTAGTAGTAAACTTTCCGCTTAAAATGAATAAATAAACTTTAGAAGAAGAAAGCTAAGAGGATAGTATTGATCAAATAAACACTTATGTAGTTAGAAAGAAACGTTAAACAAGAAGAAATAGATCTAATGAATTTAATAATAATAATAATAACAATAATTTAGGAAAAACAACTTGAAAACTGTCCTGAAAGATTTTAGGTGATTCTATGTATCTATATCTGTGAGAATATCAAGTTATTAAGACTAATTAGAAAGACACTGCTTAATGATCATAAATGAGAATCGTTTTATCCCTCGTTTCGAAAACTGAAAAAAACGTATGTCTTAAATGAAAACCTTTGAAATCTATTGTTAGTTTTTGAAACTATAAAGAAATATAAAGCAGGATTCTTTTTCTAAACCGTATCTATGTACATTTTGGTGTGGTTATGTTCTCTCAGCTAGATGACTTAGTTTTGAGCCTTCTTTGTCTTACCTGACAACATTCTCAGCACAGATTTCAATTTGAATCCAGTGCCTTCAACGTTACCAAGACAGACGACTGATAAACTCGTAAGGAATCTTAAAAGTTTACCTCAAGTTGAGTGCGTCGGTGGCGCAGCAATAGAATGATTGCAAACCACGCATATGGTTCGGAGTTCGATCCCCAGCCGACGCACTCCTTTACCTCTCTAGGTCAGTAAGCAATTAGACCGGTAAAGAGGGAACGTTGGGTATGAGACTAGCGACCCCATCCTGTGAAAAAAAATAAACACCACTGCTACCGAAACTTAAAGCCCTATGTTCCACTGGAAACGTAAAGGAATTATATATATATATATATACTTCAAAATGAAGTATCTGCTGAGGATGTTCGCTAATAAGACAATGATAGCTTCGCAACTAAACTGTTCAGCTCAGAGAACACAACTACACCAAAATATTCCATCTGAGCTATTAGTCTTCTTTATTGTGTCTAATTCTCTGCATGTATACATAAAAATACACCATCTTATTAGTAATTTAGTGTCAGTGAATGTACTATATAGAGTACATAATTTTATAAGGATATAAATCTTTTCCTGTGAAATTATATTTCGAGTTAACAAAACGAAATTCTTCACTGGATAGGTAATTCTTTGAATTTTTGTTCCTACTCTGGATGATGCTTTATTAAACTTTTCTCAGAAAATTTCTTTCTTCTAGATGGTATGAAACCTAAATATGAAATCAGATAATTATTAATCACTATCTAAAAATCTACTTGTTTGTTTCAATAAATTTAACAGTTAAAAAATAGAATTTACTCATTATACTCTCTGTGTTTGTAAATCATTTAGCTATTATGGAAAATTACAAAGCGGATGAATTAAATGAAACTTTACTTTCTATTGCTATTGCTATGAATCGGGGTGATATTGCAAGGGATAAAGTATTCATTGAAGGCGCCAAATGGGATGTAAGTATATGTATTTGTATATTAATGTTTGTAAGTTGATTAGTTGATTGCATCGGCAGTTCAAGGGTAGAAAGCTTGCCGGTTACGAACGTGGTCCAGGGCTTGCACCCCAACCAACGCACTCCTAAGTCTCAGCTAATTTACTGGCTGATGGTAATTCAGGAGAAAACGGGAAGTCAAATGTGATGCAGGCAATTTCGTTCTGTAAAGAAGTGCTATCGCTACTGAAACTGCACAGCTCAAGCTTAAAACCTTGCGAATGAATCTAAGAAGTTTATTGTCTTATCAAATAATACACTCCCTATTAGTAGCTTCATATCTTACATACTGAAACATCACAAAATTAATTCTAGGTTGATCACTTTTACGTGATCATGTGAGCTCATATTTTCTATATGATCACTATGAATGTAATAATCATTTACTTTGAAACGCCATGTCTGATTTTGGTTATTTCTATAGCTCAACAAGTCTTCAAAGAACAAGTGTTAATGCCACTGGAATTTCCTCTAAATTACTCAATCTAGATATGATATGCAGTAAGAACAGTTTCAAACTACTCTGTATTGTGAGATTAAGATTAATTTTCAAATGGTCGTTTGTGGAGATGTGATTAATTTCAGGTTATACCACAGATTGATATCAGTTAGAAAACTGCGGGAAACCAAGGAGTTTTCAGTGATTCCTTAACTGATATGAATCCATGATTAAATTTGAAACAGATCAAATTCCTACAAATTTCCTCCTTGAAAATTAATCTGATGCTCATTTGTGACTGGCTACAGGGCGAATTTGCCTGAAATTCTCGTGAGAAGTTATGCTACCAGTGTGATTCACCACATTGGGAGTGAGAACAATTACTCACTGAATGTTAAAACAATTAGTCCCTTTGATAAATTTGAATAAGGCACTTAGAAGACAAATTTCGCGAGATGATATCATTTCGTAGTTTCTTTACAACCGCTTTACAACTAACATGGTTAACAATAATAAAATAAAGTTCATGACAATTACTCAGTTAAATAAAAAACAAAAGCACATACTAACGACCAATCATATTTAGATAGGTCATGTTGTCCATGGTAGACCAAGAGTGAAGTCTATTGTTTTTTGTACACACAGTTTAGGCTGTATGTGATCAATCCAAAGTGCTTCCATTACCTTCAATAAACGACCTTGAATTAGAGTTATGTGAAATAATTGTGAAACAGTCATTAATATTGATTGATTTTGTGACCTGACATTAATAAGTGTTTTGCAATGGATGATGCTGGATTTCTATTCAGATTACTCGCATCGGGACTTTCTATATGATTTAGTAGCCATTTTGGAACATGTTGTTTTCGATGACATTGGAACATTTTGTTGGTTCTACCTATATAGGTGTCACCGCAGCTGCAGGTGAACTCGTAGATACAGTTTGAAGTAGAGTCCACAGAATTCCCGCAGAACTTTATCACTTGTCAAAGTAAAGTAAAACCACATCTCGAAAAGACAGCTTCTGTACCAAAGAAAACTTTCTTTATTAACCTAACATTCAAGAGTGACCAGATTATGCAGTTGACAGCTAGCTCAAAGACTTCGGTCAGCCATCAAAGGCACATTCTACGCCGCATCTCTTTCTCTCACTTGCCGAACATTTTCGATCCCTGTACCTACGATTAAAGGACGAAATTCTGTGGACTCTATTTCAAACTGTATCTACGAGTTCACCTGCAGCTGCGGTAACACCTATGTAGGTGGAACCAACAGAATGTTCCAATGTCGTCGAAAGGAACATGCTCCAAAATGGCTACTAAATCATATAGATAATCCCAACGTGATTAATCTGAATAGAAATCCAGCATCATCCATTGCAAAACACTCACTGAATGGTCAACCAGCTTGCCTTGCAACCGGAAGGTCATAGGATCGGAACCCACTGGATGCGTAACACAGAATCGTCTCAAACTAGAACGAAACAGCCTCCCAGTACCAGCTGGTTCTCAATGGTTCCCTTAACTGATATCATATAATGATCTAGCTTACAATTTAAGTTATCCAAATGCATGATGATTATTCAGCTTGTTTTAAGGACGGTTTGATTAGGAGTGCATGCAGACAAGTACAGCCATCAGAGAATCCAAGTTATGCTATCTGAACCAGCTTACTTCAATCGAATTTTTACGTGTGTGTGTGTGTGTGAAAAATCAGCTTGAAGTTAACAAATTCTTCACCATTACGCAGTATAACAAAACGTTCACAACCTCGCTTCCCTAAGGCAATATTATTCTGTAAAAATAATAAACTATCTGCAAGAACTGTTAATAAACTTGACGAAAAGAAAATAACAAACGAGGTGGTAATTTGATAGGACTATATAATAAACCTTATATGCAGTCTTCATATGCTTAATTCACATCATGTGGTATATATATAACTTATGGATGATTGCAGAAGGTAAAATGTTTGTTTCATATTTATTGTACCAAATACAAATAATCACAGGGTTTCTTTTCATGACTGTTGTTATAAATTTGAAATGAATGAATATCAACAGAAAATAGTATGAATAGCACTATATTTTTAGACTGAAAAGCCTGCCTTGTAACCAAAAGGAAAAGAATGGCATATTTATTAGATGGATGACTGGAAATACATATGCGAATCACACACAGGTCAGTGTCACCACCGCAAGGGTATGTATTCATACAGACAATTGCATATGTAAAAGAGAAGACGTTCAGCTAAGAGACTCTTTTCGGCGAATTCATTCACATAGCTGTGCAATCGCATTTATATATATAATTATTTGTGGGTGTGTGTGTGTACATGAGCTTTGTCAAGTCTAGATAAGTGATCAGGTAATACAAGAATGATCTAATGTAGAAACAAGGTTAATCAGACAGCACCTAAAGTAAGATTGAGTTAGTAAGTTAAATGACACAATATAACTGACTAAAATGTTTCAACTTAGGTCAGCGTAGTAACAGAGGTAATTACAATTAGAGACTGAGCAGAAGTGGGGTAGAGAATAATGCCATTTAAATTAGAACTGAAACTGAGCAAATAAGCTGGATGACGTAACATAAATGACTTAAAACTGAGCGTTGTTCAAGTCAGTAACAGTGGTAGTGAGGTTTATAAATTAAATCGGGTGGGGGTAGAGAACAAGAAAGTTGAAAATGTAAAATATTACAATTGAGAAGACAAAATAATACTAATGAAAGACAGAAAAAAAACAGATTAGGTAGAGTTTAATTGTCGGGTAATAAGGTAGATTATGTACATTACAAGTGTAGTGATTGTGAACGAACTTCTTCTGTATGCAGAGTTCAGGACTTAGCGAGTGAATCGCCATTGCTTCTGCAGTTTGAAGAAGTCTGATTCGTACACCTTTAGGAAGACTACTTCTTACTCTGTAAACGATTTTGAAGTTTGTTTGCGGTTTAGCTTGGTGTCCGGATTCGATCAGATGTTCTAAGATGGAGCTGCGGGGACATCGATTTTCTCCTTTGTAAAACCATGTTGGTAGGTGTTCGATGATACATTTGGAAAGCGAACGCTGGCTACGGCCGACATACCTGGCTCCACACGGACAGGTGAATTGACAAATACCCATCGAAGAGGCCAGCAGTGGTAGCTTATCCTTCACGTTCACATGAATCATAAGTTTTGTGGAAAAGGTTAGCCGTAGTACAGCTGCGAAGAAGATCTTTTTAAGTGATCGCGACAGACGATTTTTTAGTGTTTCCGCAGATATATCTCCATTGAATTGAAGGTTCATGTAGAGTAGGCTTTTTCGGGACGCTAAGCACAGGCGGCTTTTGTGGTCCAGGATTTATAGATTTTGCAATAAATTTTTCTGGATAACAATTCTCGACGAGGAGTTCCTTGAGATTGTTCAATTCATCTTCTATGGTGTCCGGGATGTAAATTTTGCGAACTCTGTATATTTCCAATGGTAGAAGAGAAGGAAATTGGCTAAAGGACATACATTAGGAATTTAGTATTTCTTTATAGCGAAATTGTGTACACCCTATCTGTAATGCACCATTTGCACAGATACTCCGTGTCGGGATACTTCTGCCCTTCCTTCATATTGTGCTTCTTCGTCCTCCTTTTCACGTCTTTTCCTATGTATCTCCGCAATGCTGTATCATTTGTTTTCTCTAGCATCAAATCTATCCCCACCCCTGCTATTTAGTGTGTTTTATGCCGAAGAATGTCTCTTTGTAAATATATTACTGATAAATGTAATCAGTAGCACACACTACATATATATATATATATATTCTAGTCATAAATTGATAAAAATGTGTCATACAGAGAAAACAAAAATATTCTACCACATAAATTCTTTTTCTGTTGTCTATTTGTTCATTTTTTAAAAATTTTTATTACAGGACGCAAAACTAGTTAAACATATGAATGCATTGTTACTAACTAACAAAGTACAATTGATTCGGGTATTTATTGAAAAAGGATTTTCACTATCAAATTATTTGAATACAGATAATCTCCAACTGCTCTATACTAAATCAGTTCACAGTGAAGTATGCTAACAATATAATATCTATTATTTGTATTATTATTATTATTATCATTATCGTTATTATTATTTGATTGTGATTTCTCTTACTGTCGTTAATTCTATTACCATATAGATTCATATCTCTCCCAACCAACATCACTTTTAACGGTTTGAAAAAATTTGGGCATTGGGTATATGATACTCATTATAATAAAGATTTTTGTATTTCCCGATGAATGAAAAAAAAACGATATTGTTTCTACTGACGTTTCGCTATTTAATGCTAATAGCTTTTTACGAGTTGATCACGGATTGATATCAGTTAGAGAACCATTGAAAACCAGGGACTACTGGACAGCTGCTGTTTCATCCTAGTTTGCGAATCATCAGCAGTACGCACACACTGGGATTCGAACCCAGGACCTTCCGGTTACAAGTCAAGCTCGTATACCATTCAGCCACTGGGACCCGATTCAATGGCCAGCCCATGAATTCTAACTTTTACTAATTCGTGATTTAGCGCGACCCCAACCATTGTTGTTGGTGGGACATCCATCTACACACGTGACATTCAATTGGACCTCACTGGTCACGACTTCTCACTAGAACACAGGAAACTCCAACATGTAGCAAGTCACTAGCGAGCTAATAGCTTTATCAAAGTATTATTAAACTGGAATTTACAAAATCTCAGCATGTATATAACAAAGAGTTAACGGGTGAGAAAATAGACTTAGGTCAAGTTAAAAGGACATATAGGAAGTCAGAATAGTAATGAAGATCACTAAACTAAATAACAAAGGTAATAGTACATCTGTTATGATCTCAAAACAAAGTTTACTAACTTGATCATCGTTTGTCAGTCTGGGGTCATTTTTCGTTGTCAAGTTGGTCAATTGGTAAAGATAACAAAACCAAGTGTAGATTGTTGGGTTTGATCAGTGTGTAAAATTATAAAAGTAGTGCGTGTTTACATAGTGAACTTGCTTATCACATTTGTGTTGATTTTGTCACTTCATTGGGGAGGGGGAGGGAGGTGTTGTAACCAGGTCAGATTCTGTTTTGGTCCATCATTCCTATTCAGCTCAGGCAATTTGGATTCCACTTGATATGAAGTGCTTCTGATATTAGACGTTCTTTTATGATTTCTGAAGATTTTCTGGATTATTTCAATACTGTCAAAATCAATTTTGTGGCCTGATTCTATAGCGTGTAGACCTATGGCTGATGATATTTCAAGTTTTCCTAGTTCAACTGGATTTCGTGTTGGTCGAAGAGATGCTCTACGGTGTCCATTTCTTCTGATTTTGATTTCTCGAGATGTTTGTCTGATGTAGATCGCATCACATTCCAAGCATTTTATTTTATTTCATAGACATAATTAGATAGAGAATCTTTTGGCATTTGGTCTTTAATGTGGACAAGGTTGCTTTGAAGTGTGTCTGATGCTTTGAAGAAAACTCTAATGTCGAGCTGATTGAGTACTCTTCTGATTTGGTCTGATGTCTCTGCTCTATATGGAATGACGACTATTGAGATCCATGTTTTCGGAATGCGTTTTCGGCCATACTTAATGTCTGTGTTAATTTTGTTGATGAAGTTCCCTGGGTAGTTGTTTTGCTTGAGGAGACTTTCAGTAATGTTTGATATTTCTTCTTCTTTTTCTTTTTCATCCGTTAACATCAGAGAGTGTGCTCGTCTAAGAAGACTTGCAACAACTGAAATCTTTGGGCTGATGGGGTGTGATGACTTTATATATATGCTCAGATTTTGTAAATTCCGGTTTAATAATACTTTGATAAAGCTATTAGTATTAAATAGAGAAACATCAGTAGAAACAATATCGTTTTGTTTTTCATTCATTGGGAAATACAAAAACCTTTATTATAATGAATCTAAATTCATAACCTGAAATAGCCTAGAATTTCACCCACTAGGGACTAATTAGTGATAATCCTGATCGTGGTGAACTATGGGGAGAGATAAGACAAGAATGAGTTATACCTATAAGAAGACTCTAGATGATCTGGAATTCGTAGACGATTTATTTTTAATGTCATATAAATCCGATGATTTACAGGTTAAAACCGACAAACTGACAGAAGAGGCAAGCAGCGAAGACACGACTTCAAGTAAACGTAGAGGAGACCGAAGTTATGAAGATAACTAGCCAATCGACCAACCAACCAACAACTACAATCACTAATCATTATCAACAGAATAAATTTGAAAAAGGTCACTTCTTTCAATTATCTAGGCACTAGCATTTCAGCTACAGACGGCATGAATAAGTATGTGACAACCAGAATGGCAAAGATACGACGTATCATCATCATTCTGAAACAAGTTTGGAAACCTACTGCAGTCAGTATAGACGACAAAATTTGAATCTTCAAAACCAATGTTAAGTTAGTCAGTTCTTCTATATGGGTGAGAGACTTGGTGTACCCATCACGGAAAGTATTTTCAACAGGTCACTTCAGACTTTTATCAACAGCTGCCACCTTCTCTGGCTCCATACTGAAGATGAGATGTTCATTCAGAAAGCATTAAGGCTCAGGAACTCTTGGAACGAACCAATCAAGAACCTATAGCTCAAAAATCATTCCGAAGAAAGTGGAGATGGATCAGACGCGCGCCAGGCTTTCACCCAGTTGGGCTTCCGATGGTAACATAGAGCAAATCATGTGAGGAGGATATAGAAGCTTATAAGAAGTCGTCAGGTCAACTAAAGAGAACTGCAGAGGAGAGATATGCAGTTGAAGCCCTAGGTTCCACGCGGAACCCAAGGGAATAATAAATGCCGTAACACTTCGTATATCACTAAATGATCACTGAAAAATGTCAGGCACTTGAATGAATTAAAATGACGATGGGATGTGCACTTCTAGAGAAAAAGAGTAAACTTTTCTTATACATATATATATACTAGCTTAATTAACGGGAATTATCGAGCTTGATCCCACCAGTCTTGTACTCTGAATGACTCAAGACAGAAAGAATCGAATCAGTTCAAACAATCCAAATTCTAGTCAGCTAATTAGGTGAACAAGTTAATGGTACATAAAACAAATGCCAACGATGAATTTTATTACATAATTTAAACTGTACTGATAGGAAAGCTTTGCTTTGTAAAGGTTTTGCCTTTAGTCTATAAATTATATTATCCACTATGTAACTTTGCAGAGACTAAATGTCTTCACTTTCATCATTCTTGTTAAGAGTATGATACGCATAGCAGTAGTATCTCGTATCCAATTCGATGAAATACAATTAGTAATAGAATGCATTATCTGTTAACTGTTTTTTATTTCGAAATAAAGAGATTGTATTTACTGTAGAAAAGATAACATTTATTCTATTGATATTTTCCAGATTATTATAAATGCCTATATTACTAACATATCTATTAAGTAGTTTGTTCACCAACTATGGAAACAAATGTTATTGACAATAGCGGCTGATTGATTTAATACCTTAAAGCAAACATTTAATGAGATTCAATGAACTTCATCATCCGATATATAAGTGTATCTTTCAGAGTATGTCGATCAAAGTTTTACTATTTGGTGTACAAAGTTCACTAAAAGACATAGTCTTATATTGTAAAATCATGAAGTATAATTTTTTGTATCAGATATAGTTAAGAGGTGTCAAGTGATGGTGGGATGATCTGCTTAATCCAACTGTCATATTTATGTACACAGATAAGCAAAGTGTATCCATGTTCATTCTGCCACTAAAATATACCCAATGCCCCATCACTTTAATAACCCTGGTTAGAAATAAAAGTAAAATTAGTTCTACTTTAATTATTACTATTGTGGCGTCGGTGGCATAGCGGTTAGGACGCTCGCCGAACATGCACATGGCCCGAAGTTCGAGCCCCGGCCACAGACTCAATCCTCTACCTCTCTAAACCAGTAATAGGGCTGGTAAATAGGAAAGATTGGGCATGAGGCTAGCAACCCCATCCTGTAAAATAAACACAGCTACAGAAACTTCAAGACACTAGCTTGAAGACCTACGTTCCACTGGGGGACGTGAAGAAAAGAAAATTGTTGGGGTGTGATACAGACAATGGGTTCCAACAGAATATTATTCTTACTGTATGAATCATTGTATTTGTTAGTGTTATCGTCTGAATACTTATCATACAGTTCAATACTGCATTAACAACAGAATCATATATGTATTTGAACATTTTATTTCATGTCGTTGAATTTAAACCAAATTCCCAAGCTCAGTGATTGGTTGAAAAGTATAGACTGTATGTATATAAGCAGCGGTTTGATCGATGGACAATATACCCTGGCTTCCGTGTCTTGCTTTCTCCATTTACATTTGGAGAATATTATTCCGTTGGAACCCATTGTCTGTATCACACCACCACACTATATCGCACTGCTTCTGCACTCAACGAACCAGGTGTTACAAAAACACTTTATTCATTGTCATTCTTAAGTCACAGAATATAGTTGGCTGTCAGAAAAAAATATAATAATTTAAATCAGCTCTAAGGTTCTGATTACTTTTAGTATAATAAACATAACTTTATTTATTTTACAGCACCCAGGAGAAACTCTGATTAACGTGATCCGTGCATTTGCGAAGGTAAGTTATGCATCAATTAGAGTGCATTATAAAATCAATGTGAATAATCCAGAAAGGTTGACAGTGTTTGTTTTACCTTATCGAAAGATTTCTGAAATCTACTAGTCTTACTGTATCATCAACTAGCTGTCTTAGCTCCATCCTGAAGATCAAAAGGCTGTCCAGGTAGAATAAGCGACAAGAAACTCTGACAGTAAGCCAACCAAGAACCGATCGCTTAACAAATATATAAGAGGAAATAGAAATGGATTGGGTATACTTTGAGGAGGCCATCGAATGACATCGCTTGCAATGCAGGTCATCACTCAAGTGAAATCACCATAGGAAGCGGTGAGTGGGTCATCAGTGCAAGGTTAACATGGAGGAGATCGTGTGTGATGGAGGAGATGAGAGATTATGGGCAATGGTGGAACCAACTGTAGGGGACAGTAGATAACAGAACAAAGTGTAAATGTGTTGTTGAAGCCTCGTGTTCCACTCGGAACTCAAGGGAGTTATAATAATAGTATATCAATATATCTTGACTTTACAAGATTATGTGAATCACTAATTTGTTCACATAAATGGTTTAAGTCAATAAAATAATTTATCTATTGATACAGTAATTAGTTTTTGTATTATCTCACTGTCTGCACCCATGACTTTCTCCTGAAAGAGTTTCCGATTCGCTTAGAAAAAGCAGAAATATCAAAGTCATCCACGTAAGCTACAAGTCTTCTCAAACACTCTTAAATAATTAACATCAGGCAGTTCAACACTCAATGAATTCAATGCCTAAAATTTAACTACTAATAGGTTGGTACTATAAAATTCTGCTCCCAAACATTTCATTATTTAGAGGAAATTGGAAAGTATTTTAAACTAGCATGAACAGATTTGTCATAAAAATCTTTAAAACTATGTATTCCACTGTAAATAGGTGCGTCACTGGCAGAGCGGTAGAGTGCTTGCGGACCACCTGCGTGGTCCGGGGTTTGATCGCCATGCCGACGCACTCTTTTACTTCACAAAGCCAGTAGTAAGAGTGGTTAAGAGGGAAGGCTGGGTACGACGCTAGTGACCTCATCGCGTAAAAGAGAAGTAAACACCACTGCTACAGAAACTTCAACTCTCTAGCTTAAAGCCCTCCCTATGTTCCACTGGGAACATAAAGGAGTGAAAAAAAGTTCTACTGTAAATATACTACAGTATTCAATGAAATATATGAAAACAAATTATGAATAGCGTATTACTTCAAATTGAAGTATGCGCTGAAGATGTCACCCAGTAGGGTGATGAAAGCTTCGCAAATTAACCATCCAGCCCAGAGAACAAAACCACATCAAAATAGCGTATTACTTTTCAGCAGTGTTATTATTTTACAACAAAGTTAACTTAAAAATTCTAAAATCCATTTGACCAAATACTGTCGAGTAGAATGCTTTTGAAACAACAAGACTTATTTCTATAAATGCAAACGGTGTTGTATTTATTTGGTTATTTTAGATTCCAGATAAGATAACTCTTTATCTAATTGGTCGTGCTCTTCGTGAACTAATCGGTAGACAGTTCAGTCCAACTTATATGTCACCAAATTTTCTATTGGTTACTAGTGCAGGTAAACACAGTTGCTTTCTTCTCTTAAACATTGTGTTATTATCATTGGTAACGTTATTTGAGAAGGTCAACAATACACCTAAAATATTCAGTCTGTAGATTGCACAATGCTCACTTAGTTAATATATGGTATGTGTTTAAGGAAGAAATACAAAAAGCCTTGTAAAGCATCCATGGAATTGAAATTTTTCAGGAACTAGAAAAGCATACTGAAAATCAATTGACTAATCACTAGGGGTAACGATGGCCAACCATCTAACTTGGTGATCATATTTCAAATCTGGATGATGGAATTCAATCTACACTGATACCAAGGATTAAATGAATGACACTGGTGACCCACACCTTAGTAATTGACCAATGTATTTGTCACACTGCTACAGGAAATCACTCATGAGCTTGAATAACTCAGTAGCACCATCTTTGACTGCATTAGTGGTTGACGAAGGTTCAAATCTCAAAATGGAAATAAGCTTCTTCAAAGTTAAAAATAAGCCTTTCTGATGAGTGTCAACAGGGATGAAAGCTGAGCTCAAGGTTATGTGGCGATTACTTCCAATAACCCCTAATATACTCAAAATCTTTAGCAATAATCTGTTGTGGGGACTGATTATTTCGGAGTTAAAAGATGTTAAAGTGAACGAAAAATATTCAAAATACCTGTAGAATAAATGATTCATATCACTTTATTACTGACTGAAATTATCTCCTTTCAACAAAACTATGTAATATTTTTGCAAATTGGTTTGATATTTGAAGAGACATTGACTGAAGGAAGTCATTAGTTTGAACCCTCCCTCTGAGGATTAATTCACTTAGAGTAATATTAGTATCAATCTTCTAGTAACAAAATATCGACTTTCTGTAACAATAGCCGGTTGATGGGAAGAAAGAACTATCACTTTACTGACTTATGACTACAACTGCTTATATTACAAAATAGATACTAAGGAGTTTTATATGTCTGTTAGATAAAATTTACTAGATAATGTGTAGTATAAAGTTAATAATTCTGTGTGAATGAAAATCAAATTTATTACTGATAACCATAATGATTTGCTTCGGAAAATCAAACACCGTGTTAAAATGAACAGGCTTCATAGATAAAGGCAGGAATTCGACCAATTCCTTCACGGTTACAGGATCTTTGGAGTTCTTCGATGAACGAAGTATTCGCATATTGAATCTTAAGAAAACGGCGTAAACAGCGAAGAAAGTTTTCTTTTCGACGATTCATTTCCATAAGATAATGAAAGGAAGTAGAATTATAGTGAGGACGTTACTCTGGCCACGGTAGGGCGAGTGAGTGTATGTGGTGCTTTCGATTGCAGAGGTCCAATTTGAGATCCCGAATAGCCAATGATTCATTTATGTTCAGACGGCGTATTCGAAGTCTTTTAATACTACATCGAGGGAATCTGTGTAGCACTGTGAAGCATTTATGAGAGGGCGCTTGACGTCTAGAATTGAAAAAGTGTCGGAGGATGGAGCTGCTAGTATCCTTCTTCTCTCCTTTGCCTAGCAATGCTGAACAATGTTCCAGAATACATTTGTGGACCTTACGTTGCCTACGGCCAATATACTTTGCTCCACACGAGCAAATAAACTGATAAATACACACTGAGGTTGTCAATGACTTCACTCATAGAAAAATATGCCATCCGTTGGCTAGAACACTAGCTTAACAACTACTTGCTTAGACAAATTTAGCTTTAAAAAAATCAAATTGCGCAGAATGCATTAATTTCGACAAGAAATTTAGATCAAATGGTAATTTCTATGAAAGTGGTTTGAAAATCGTATTCTCTGCATTAAGAATTCTTTAATAAATAAATATATTTTACATAAGTGGCAAGTAGAAGACATACATCTATTAAACTTAAGATAACGAAGAAATTGCTTTAAAACAGACAAGTTAATTAAGTTAGTTCAAACTTCGGTGTTTTATGTGCACATATATGAACTGAGTGTTATGCAAAGCTTTCAATTACTGGCAGCAAGCAGAAAGACGTCAAAGCTAGCCAGAATGAGGGAAGTAAAATGAATGTTCTTCTCCCTGAAGAAGAAGAAGAGAGAATATGGAGATCCACAGCAGCCAATAGAAGGAAGAAGATTAGATTTTTCAACATTAATTTCAATGCAGATAGCCGAAAAAAAAGATTTAAAGAAATCATGAATACTGACAGCTAGAAAATCAGCCAAGAATATATTTTCCAACAGTTATGCAGAGGGAAATACAAATGGATTGGATATACATTGTTGAGATATTCAAGTGACATAAAACAACAGGCTGTCGAATGAAACCCGTATACAAAACGACAGGCTGGGTTGATGTGTGTCTGAGTGGGACATGAAGGAGACCGTAAGAACGAGTAATGAAAGGTTGTAGTCAGTTGTGAGGCTAGTCGGAAGTGATGAAAGAGGACCGAATGGAATAGAAATGTGCTATAAATGTGACATAAAACAGAAATCAGCTTATTTGAACTGATAGTCTTAATAATGCTAAAATGAGATCATAAATACCATAGATTACTGTCTTCACTCTTGTCAAGACACTGACATTTATATTTTTATAATGTCTCAAAAGTTATATCTGCTAATTATGCCTATAAATGTTATGTATTACCTTTTGAATATTTAATCCTTAAAATTTAAATACATTATAACTTTTTTTGAATTCTCTGTAATCTATAGTACCAGAAGCACAATTATTCGAAAATCCTGCAACTGATTTATTCATATGGTCTTTGCTGACTGAACGCTCTGAATTGGCTGATTACTTTTGGACATTAGTTCAAGATCCACTTCCAGCATCGTTGTTTGCTGCGCTAATCTTACGACGTTTAGCAATGAATGCAACATCTTTAGTGACTAGAGAAGCAATGTTTCAGTATTCACGGTAAGAAGAAACACTTTCTCTTTTTTTTAAGAAAAAAATATCACTTTATGACTATTTTAGTGAAGTTCAAATAAACTGAAATATTTTTCAAGATAAATCTAATTTATTTATTTTAATTTTGTTTTTTGAGTTAATTGTGTTACAACATATTACGAGTCAATGATAAATTAAACTGTTTATCAGATAAGCGTACACTACCTAGCTGGTATTTGAACAAGAGTAAAAATTCACTTTAATTAACAAAGTACTACAATATAATCTGAAACATTTTTTGATACATTGTCAGATGAAGTAAACAAGACACGAAAACACGTTAAAACGTACCATTTTTCAAAATCAAAACACCTAAACTTCTCAATCAATTATACATATAAGTTGTTAATGACTAATAGTGAAATCCACGATGAGCATTTCATCCTATTTGCTATTCATCATGTATATCCACCTGTATCTAATATGATGGTTGGTATTCCCCATTCGACTCACTGGGACTTGAACCCTGCATCCATCGTATCGAACACCATGTCAAATGACATATCAACATAAACTGAGCATTTCAGTACAAAGTGATTCATCCACTGGAAATACAAACCAATTTAAAAACAATAATAACAACGAGTGATATCCACCGCACATGAAGTGGATCTCGTGGCCTAATGGCATTTGAAACGATGGAGTGAATGATTCTAGTAGTCTCAATGGGAACACCACTAATTACAGGGGATGTGGATACAGCCAAGTGACAAGTTCTAGATAGGAGGAAATGAATTTCGTGGATTCTAATTTAGATACATTTTACTTATGACACAGTAATGAAACGTATTCATTTCGTGAAGCTATCACTTCATGACATTTGACAGTTTCGATTGATAAATATGTAGGAGAAAAATTTCTCTTGAAGAAACTCGGTGCTATCCAATTGTACAAATTTTTTTCTTACAAACAGTAGGAGGTTGTCTATTAGAAAAAATGACACTAATATACCCCATCATTTTATAAATACATAGTTGAAAAATGACAGACGGCAATAACGGTTGGATAGAGGTGTATTATACAATAATATTGTAAACTAATAAGACTAAAGTGTTAAACACTTTTCAATAAATATTAGAGAGAGAATAACTAATTCACTCAAACAGTGATGAATTAAGGTGATATTTGAATATGAAAGGTTTACAAAAGTCTTAAGCGTTGGTGGTATAGCGGTTAGGACGCTAGCCGACCATGCACATGGTCCAAGGGTTCAATCCCGACTGACTCACTCCTTTACCTCGCTAAGCCAGTAATTAAAGCTGGTAAAGTGGAAAGGTTGGGCATGAGGCTACTGCAACCCCATCCTGTAAAATTAAACACTGCTACAGAAACTTCAAGCCTTCTAGCTTGAAGCCCTATGTTCCACTTAGAACGTGAAGGAAAAAATAAATACTAAATAATATTTTCTATAGTTTGGTTTGTAATGTTATGTTTTATGTTTTTTACGAGTTGATCACGGATTGATATCAGTTAGAGAACCATTGAAAACCAGGTACTACTGGACAGCTGCTGTTTCATCCTAGTTTGCGAATCACCAGCAGTACGCACCCATTGGGATTCGAATCCAAGACCTTCCGGTTACAAGTCAAGCTCGTATACCATTCAGCCATTGGGACCCGATTCAATGGCCAGCCCATGAATTCTAACTTTTACTAATTCGTGATTTAGCGCGACCCCAACCATTGTCGTTGGTGGGACATCTATCCACACACGTGACATTCAATTGGACCTCACTGGTCACTGATATCAATCCTTGATCAACTCGTAAAAAACATAACTAACCCTTACAAACCAAACTATTGAAAATTAATCTGATGCTCGCTAGTAACTTACTACATGTTGGAGTTTCCTGATTTCTAGTGAGAAGTCGTGACCAGTGAGGTCCAATTGAATGTCACGTGTGTGGATGGATGTCCCACCAACAACAATGGTTGGGGTCGCGCTAAATCACGAATTAGTAAAGTTAGAATTCATGGGCTGGCCATTGAATCGGGTCCCAGTGGCTGAATGGTATACGAGCTTGACTTGTAACCGGAAGGTCTTGGATTCGAATCCCAATGGGTGCGTACTGCTGGTGATTCGCAAACTAGGATGAAACATCAGTTGTCCAGTAGTCCCTGGTTTTCAATGGTTCTCTAACTGATATCAATCCGTGATCAACTCGTAAAATAAATAATATAACAAAATTCTTAAAATGACTGTAAACTCAATTACACAGGTTAAACTAGTAGACCGGGGTCAATTAGATAATCAGAACGTAGAAATTTATCTCTTACAAAAATGATTCACTCTGCTAAGTTAAACAATCTAGAAAAAACTCAACCATTGTAATGCATTCACGTCCGTGTAATTATATGATATCATTAGGATGGGGTAAAATGATTAAAAAGTAATATAGTTAGGTGGAGAGGAAGGTTAGACACTGAATTTTTTATTCATCAAATGAATACCAAATACATGCGATTGAAATGACCCGACGCCTATACCAGATACTTTGCAGATTGCAGTAAAAACAGAAGAAAGTAAGGCATGCTATCAAGTTGTGTCAATACATCGATATGATTTACGGCAATAAATTGTGTTCGAAATGTAGTCTAATTATTAATATGGTATCATTGTGTCTCATATCAAGTAAACTTATCTAATATAGATAGATATACATAGTACTTCACTCAGTCAGCAAAGATTAAATTAAGTTAGTATTCCATAGCAAAAACCGACAAACTGGTTGAAGAAGCAGCAAAGACAGGACTCCAAGTGAACATAGACAAACGGAGGTTATGAAAATAACTAACCAACCAACAACAACAACAGCAACTTCCACCGCCAATCACCATCAATGGAAGGGGTTTGAAACAAATTACTTCATTCACTTATCTAGAGAGCATTGTCTCAACTACAGGCAGTCGGAACGGGCGAGGATGTCAAATCGAGCGAGAATCGGGAAGGCGAGCGAGAAACACATTCATCAACCTGAAACCAATCTGGAAATCTTCGTCACTCAGCCAACATCAACAACAAAATTCCGTCGGATTTTCAATACAAACACCAAGTCGGTTAGTTCTTCTATACGGATCAGAAACTTGGCGGGTGGGTCACAAAGAATATTTCCAACAGCCTGTTGCAGATCTTTATCAATCAACAACTGTCTTCGCCGGCTCTATACTCAAGATCAGATGGCCGGGCCGGAAAGAATCACCAACAAGAAACTATGACTGGGAACAAACAAAACAAGAACCAATCACCAACCAACAAATATGCAGGAGAAAGTGGAGATGGATCGGACACTCGCTGAGGAGACCTCTGGGTGACATCGCGCGTCAGGCCCTCGAGTGGAACCCGACAGAATGGGAAGCGGCGTGTGGGACGTCCAATGGTGACATGGAGGAGATCGTGTGAAGAGGAGTTGAAAGAATATGGACTAACGTGGATGCAGGCGAAAAGTACAGCAGAAGACAGAATTGGCAAGTGGAGACGTGCAGTTGAAGCCTTATGTTCCACTAGGAACCCAAGGGAACAATAATAATAATAATTTCATAGCTTTTTTACTGGTTTACTAAGATAAAAAAACAAGTTCGTTAATGTTTTTTAAATTCTTATGAAACTTTTCTTTCTTTATTTTTAGGAGTTTTGAAACAAAAGCCTACAGTTTATTAACTGAATGTTATAATGACAATCAGAGTCTTTCATTTAAAACTATTGTTCTTGAAAGAAAGCTATTCGGACATATGTCATGCCTTATGTTGGCTGCTGAAGGAAAATCAATGAGTTTTATATCACATCAATGCTCTGAACAATATCTTGAACGTGTATGGAATGGAGCAATTGACCCAAGATCAGGAATGTTCCCAGTAGGTTTATGCAAATATGTAATGTAACCATTAACAGTGTAAAATAGCATTGACCTAAGTGCTTAAGAGGTTGAAATATAAGAGTTTTTTTAAGAAATTCATCTGGTAACTGACTTAAATATATTAGAACCCCTACAATTGCTAGACCTAGACTTTAGTGACTATTGTGAGTTGACCTGACTATCAAGTGATGCACACACGGTGATGACTTAAATATGACTTTAGTTGGAAAAATCCACCTCAAGATTAAGTTAAACACTTAAGTCAGAAGTCGTAGGTATAACTGACAATGATTGGACAGAAGTGCAGAATATTTGAAAACAATCGAATTAATTTATAGTTCACGAAGAAGGTGAAAACTACTTGGAGAATACGCATCCTTAGTTCAGACGAGAGACACCCAATAAACAGATCATCACATATTTTCCCGCTTGGTAGAGCTTCTTATAGGTCAACTCATGATTCCTAATATTTAATGGTGTGAAAAGTGTATTTTCAAAGCTGTTTCATAAACTTAACACTGAAGATGTCATCAAGTTCACTGACGAAACATCAATAACTCAGCATGAAGACTCATCGATAACCAAACAACTTTGCACATTCTTGTGCTGTTTGTTCTAAAAGCAAATAATGTGATTTGAAGGCTAGTTAAAATAATTTTATCTATACAAATCATTATATTCTATGATATTCTTTCGCCCTCTTATAAAAATAAGTTATCCGAAAGTTAATAAAATAATAAACAAAACAATTACAGAAAACCTGATGAAATTATCATTTATCTTTCTCTTTCTCTTTCTTCCTCAGTTTGTTGTTGCATTGATCATAGGTATTATTCTACCTCCATTGGTACCTTTATCATTGAAATTTCGACATCATGATAATCCGGATGATAAATTTGAATATGACAGAAAACCCAGGAAATCACAAGATAGAAAATCATCACTAGATGTAAGTCCTAAATAACATATTATTATTACTACTATCATTATTGCTATTCCCTTGGGCTCCATGTGGAACACAGGGCTTCAGAAGGACATGTCTGTTTCATTGTGTTATTTGTGGTTTTTTGTAGTTGTCTCAGCGGTTGTCCATATGCTTTTATCTTGTCCTCGCAAGGTCTCCTCCATGTCACGCATGCACCCGCAAACAACTTGTCTTTTCCCATTCAGGTCACACTCGAGGGCCTAGCCCCTGATATTACTCAACAGTCCGCTCAATGTGTTTCTCATACATCTTCACTTCCCTGGGAATATTTGTTGCATAATAGGTTATTGATTAGTTCCTCGTTATATTTTGCTGTTGTCAAACCCATCCGACCATCTCATCTTCAGTATAGGACGAAGGCATCTGTTGACAAAAGTCTGCAAGATGCCTTACGAAATGTGCACACCGAGTTTCCAAACCATATAAAAGCATTGATTTCAGGTCGATGTTTAGCATCCTTTTCTTGTTCTATGTGCTTAGTGCAACTGATTTCCATACTGATTTCAGAGTAATAACTACCTGTCTTCTTTTTCCAATCTTGGCTCTGATACATTCATCTGTACCACCATTGGTTGAAGTGATACTGAATACGTTAGTGAAAAAGATGACTTCATTTAGATCTCTCCTAGTGATGGTGATTAGTGATTTTCGTTGTTGTTTTGGTTTCTTTCATCCTCTTTGTCTTCTCTGTGTTTACCTCAAGGCTTGTCTTCGCTACCTCTCCAACCAACGTGTTGATTTCCACTTATAAATCTTAGAATTTCTGAGACAAGAAACACAGATTTTCTGGTATCTTTTGATCGGTCCAATCTATACAAGCCTCCTAAATTCCCCCAATCTATTGTATGATTAAGTTCAGTATAACCAACCAAGAATATCATTAGTTGTAGTTGTTGCGTTTATTTCTGTCTTCGCTTCAAAAGTTTCATTGAGCTCTCTCTGTTATAATTAGTGATAATTTTCCAATTTCTTTTACATTTGGACAATCTCGTAGAAGACATACATACATCGTTACACTAGACAAGAGAATCCCAATATACAGTTAGTCACATATTTATCCACTTGGTAGAGCTTCCTGTAGGCCATCTGGTGATATCTAATATTTATTAATGTGGAACTTGTATTCTCAAAATTGTCAAGAAAACAACTATCATATCGAAAAGAAGCATGACCACTTCATAATAGTAGGAAGGTATGAGTGGATCACCAGTTTTCTAAAACAAATAATCTGCATCAGATTGTTAATCTGTTAATACACTACAATAGCTGCACATTAATGTTTTCTAATGTTTAAATTCATTTGCTAATATTTACAAAAGATGTATTCTTTCATTAATTTAGAGTAAAAGAATTCAGAGTGATTCTTCACAACGGTAAGTTTGAAATTGGTCTAACTTACAATTCACTTTAATTTGGATTGCTATACTGTACAATTATCAAAATACAAGTTTTCCTAAATAAATTAATCTCTTAAGTATCTATCTAGTTTAAAAATGAAGAAGACATTATCAGTATTTGAAATGCAAAATATTTGTTTTTCTGTCACGTTCCCAGTGGAACATACGGCCTCAAGCTAGTGGCTTGAAGTTTCTGTAGCAGTGTTTAATTTTACAGGATAAGGTTGCTAGCCTCATGCCCAACCTTTCCTCTTTATCAGCATTATTTTTGGCTCAGAGAGGTAAAGAAATGCGTCAGTGGCCGGGGATCGAACCCCGACCATGTGCATGGTTGACGGACGTCCTAACCACTATACCCCCAACGCACGCAATATATTTAATTATCTTATAAAAGACATTTTATTTAGGTTATTCAACTATTTAATCTTTAACGACTGAGGTTTTCCCTTTCAATTAATACGAATTTTAGTTTCTGTTAATCTTTACTTAAGAAATTTAAGACATGAGAAAATATCTGAATGCAGTTATCCTCAGTTATAAACTTCATAGAGTAGTCCTGGTAGCAAAAGACATCTGTATCCCTATGATAGAAATTATTGATAAAGCAGTGACTACCATTTAGTTTATCTGGATTTTTCGAAATAATCTCTTCGCCACAAATATGGTTATTTTAGAGAAATAACGATGTTGTATTTATTTAACGAAAGTGTTTGAATAAACTAACACTTATCTAACTTATGGGATTTGTAGGGATTTGGATTAATTTTAACTCCACTAGTTAGAATGCATCATTAACCAACATAAGCTACTCCGTCTTCTGTTGAGACTCTTCAGTAGAGTAGAGCCACGACCCTATAAGGTGTCGAATCCAGGACCTTCCAGTTACGAGACTAAGGCCGTTGGTAGTTCAACAATGAGGCAATCGACTAGTGATATAGCACCACCCTCTACAATGGCTATGAAGAGAATCCACCTCACCTTGATATGGTGAGGATATGTATCCAGTAGCTATCAATGAGCTGGAAATTGATATTAAGACTATGAATTTAAAACTAAAATTTATTTAACCGCTATTTCAGTTTGTTTGTTTTTTCAACAGTCATTAAAATGAGATTCAAAGTTCTGCATTGAACATAGAAGCCAGACGAAAGATTAATCAACTTTATCATCCTGTATTGGTTTTGTAGGGATTTTTTGTTTGATTGAATGGAGGATTTCATCATGACCTGATATCAGTTAGAAAACCACTGGAAAACCAACTGGGAGTACTGGACAACTGTTTCGTCCTAGTTTGGGACTCTTCATCTGTAAGCTTCCACCACCACGGCTCGAACCCAGGACCTTCTGGTTACAAGGCGAGCTCGTAGACCATTGAGCCACTGGGACCCGATTCAATGGTCCTTGATTTCCAACTTCTGCCAATTCACGACATAGTGCGACCATTTCGCAATGTCTTCTTCGATAAGTTGCTGCCTCATCTTCAACCTGCTGTACCCTATCATCCTGCTCCCTGGATATTTAAACATATGATTTGACATATTCATTTTTGCTTCGCATAAATTTTCAGTTAGTTGATACACCTAAAAAGTGAATACTGTAAAATCTAACAGCTTAAATTTAATCTATATTTAACTCAGTTAAGAACTAAAGACGAAAATATTTGGCTCTGTTTATGCATAAATTGTCTTCCGAATATCTGTTTAGTTATTCTGGAAGTAAATCTCTTTTGTTTGTTTTTTCTTATATACTTTGTTTTAGTTCCAAGAAGTCAATATCTACTTACTTTCAGAAGCTTAAGGGATTTTATGTTTCCCCGTGTGTACGCTTCTCATATACAACAGTAAGTAAAGCCAAGAGAAAAAAAAATTTATTCGAGGTATTACTCATAGAATACTTTATAACCTGGTCAGTGTTTACAAAAGCATAGAAATAATACAATTCCGATATAGTTTTATACTCAAGATCAGATGACCGGCCAGAAAAGATCAACAACAGGGATTTCTGGCAGTGAGCGAACCAACACACCAGGAACCGATTGTGAAACAAATAGGCAGGAAGAAATGGATATGGATTGGCCATACGCTGAGGAAACCATCAAGTGAGTGGCATCACTAGACAAGCCGCTGCTCGAGTAGAACTCGAAAGGGAAGCGGCGAGTTGGTCGTCAGAGTGAGGGTGACTTGGAGGAGGTGATGTGAAGAAGAGATGAAAGCATGTGGGCAGACTTGGAGCGGAGTGAAAAAGTTGACAGAAAACAGAAGGTGATGGAGACGCGTGGCTGAAGCCTTATGTTCCTGTAGGCATTAAAGGATATAATAATAATAGTTATATAGTAAAATTATTGGTGATGGTTGACAGAGAAATATACAATGACGATTCACAACTCATAAGCTTTTTAATTCAATGTGATTACAATTAAGATGAGAAGACAGTGTACTATGCATTCAAATAACAGGCTGTGGCTATATCCTTGAATATTGCAATCAACCAATGAAGTGATTAATAGCTCAGTTAAGTTTTATTTAAGTCTCAAGAAACTACAGAGAATAAATCAGTTTATTTTAGCAACGCATAAATTTAATCGAACTAATATAACAACAGTATAATGGTCATACATTTGAACAATCAGTGTTTACAAGTATGGTAAATGCTTTGCATTATCGAAATACAAAGTATTTTTTCATGTTTAGCAAGAGCATTTAGTTGTATAAGCGCTGGTGGAGATGCGACGAGTGAAATCTCTAACCGTATAGTGAAATTTCATACAACCGGTTCCCTTTATTAGTTTGAAGAGAGAAAGAACGAACATGTTTGCAGAATAATACGAGCTCGTTTTATTTCGTGGATACTCATCAACTGCATACATCCTAAACAAAATCAAATTTTAAGTTTCAAAAAAGTTTTGGAACATACTTTTTCATAATTACTTGGAGTTATAAATAGAAGGTATAAGAAACATAATTCCGGAATTTGATGTAGGTAGACAGATTATTCAGTGTCAAAAAAACTAATTATATATAGTGGAATTAGATAAGAGGGTTTAGAGTTCAAATTACTATTGGGAAACGCAGATTGGTTAGAGGCATATTATAGGGTCAAGGTCAGAGAACAGAGTGAATTTACACATGTGGTGGAGAGTTTAAGAGGGTGGGGGTGAATAGTGAAGTAACAGTGAAGTAAGTAACAAAAAACAAAATTAGGGTTACCAGGGTAGTGAAAGATTAGTCACACTATCTTTCTGTGTACAGAGGTCTGGTCGAAGTCTCTTGATAGCGATGGCTTCTGCGAAACGAAGTAGCCATGGGTTTCTTTGCGTATTGATTATTTTGAAGGCATGGCTGATTTCTACTGTGTGTCCTGTGTCAATTAAATGTCTGGCGATTGCACTCGATAACACTTTTCTTCCTTTTGTATGGAGGCTCTTAGGAATGTGCTCAGAAAATCTAGTAGATGCTCTCCTCTCAGTCCTTCCTATGTACTTGCTTCCGCAGGTGCACGTGAATTGGTAAATGCAGTTGGAGTTGACGTGAGTAGGGTACTCATCTACTTTTGACTGGGTTAATGAGCACACAGTGTTGTGAAATAGGATCAGTCTGGCAGCTGGAAATGTTCTTTTTAATGCACTTGAGATTCTTTTTTGTGTTCTTGTGGATACGTCTTCACCTTTGTAGGCTAGGCAGATGAAAACTGGTTTCTTTTCAACGGTGTCGGGTTTCGGTTTGTGGGTTTCTTCATTTCTATACTTTAATATGAACTTTCGGGGATATCCATTCTCGATGAGGTTCTTTTCGATGACGGCAAGTTCTTCTTCAATAGTGTCTTCCGAACATATTTCTTTGGCTCTGCTGAAGAGCGTTTTTACTAGACCTCGTTTGTAGCTGGTTGGGCAAAAGCTGTGATAATTTAAGTATTGACCAGTCCAGGTTTCTTTCCTGTAGATAGATTTTTGAATCGTCCCGTCGTTTCTTCTTTTTATGTTGACATCAAGGAAATGGAATTGGTTGTTTTTTTCGTAGTCGATTGTGAATGCAATATTGGGATGAGCTGCATTGAGTTTCTCAAACATTGCGAACGCGTGTTCTATATCATTGCAGACTACGAACGTGTCGTCGACATATCTGCAGTAATAGGTGGTTCTTTCTATTTCTTCTTTCATTCGAGTCTGTTCAAGATGAGCCATGAATATGTCAGCAAGAACAGGACCCAAAGGTGAACCCATAGCCACCCCGTCAATCTGCCGGTACAGCTGATTGTTGAATCGGAATTGAATATTCTTTGTGCATAGAAGTAGCAATTTTCGTAGCTCGTTTTCTGGAAGAGGAAGTAGTTCGGACTGTTGGCATATGATTTTAACCGTTTCTTCGATGGGTATGCTGGTAAACAGTGAACAAACGTCGTATGACACGAGAAGTCTATCCGAAATATCGAGTTGATCTAATTCTTGTGAAAACTGAAAAGAATCTTTGATACTGTGAGTTGCCAGCTTTTTTCGAATGGGTTCCAGCTTTTGGGCCAACCATCTGGCCAGTTTGTGACATGGTGATTTCACCATTGATATTATAGGTCTCATTGGTACATCACTTTTGTGAACTTTGGGTTGACCGTACATGAATGGCACACGCGAACCCCTTGGTTTAAGGTCGTTGTAAGTGCTGTTGTCTATTAGCCCTTCTTAAACTCTCCACCACATGTGTAAACTCACTCTGTTCTATGACCTTAACCCTATAATATGCCTCTAACCAATCTACGTTTCCCAATAGTAATCTGAATTCTAAACCCTCTTATCTAATTCCACTATATATAATTAGTTTTTTTGACACTGAATAATCTGTCTACCTACATCAAATTCCGGAATTATGTTCCTTATACCTTCTATTTATAACTCCAAGTAATTATGAAAAAGTATGTTCCAAAACTTTTTTGAAAGTTAAAATTTGATTTTGTTTAGGATGTATGCAGTTGATGAGTATCCACGAAATAAAACGAGCTCGTATTATTCTGCAAACATGTTCGTATAGTGAAAGCTAGTTTTATGCTACACCTGCCATACTGCACTCTCCTAACTGAAGAAGTGTAGCAACTCTGTGTATTCCACCATCCCTGACTGCATAGAATGGCTTTGGTGTCCGATAACATCATCGTGTAAGGAATCCTGAAGCGTGGCAGTGCTTGTTTTGGATACAGCGGAGGTTACCTTTCATTGAGTGTGGTCATTTTGAAACACTGGCTTTGATGGCCTGGATATGTGCTACCAATGTCATCCCGGAGGCTTACATACCACTGGCTGTTAGCTAGCTCAGGAATTGGAGGCAGAAAGAGGAGGGCAGGTCAGACTGTGACCTGGCGCAGTGGTGTGAACGGTATTTGTGCTAGGCTAGCATCCGTCGATACATCATGACTTCCTCGGGAGGAATTTCGAGAGATACTTCACATTGGTGGCTTGAGACGTTATCTAGTATGACCATGAGTCGTATTCAATGAAGAACATGCTGAAAGTAAAATGAAGTAATGAACGATCTTGACAATTATGCCTATTTGCTTTTTGAATGAGCTCCTTCATTTATTCTATCTTAATTCTGCTTATATTTTGTTTTATCATTTTTATTTGGCACACCTTGATTTTCCGAAAAGGTTATTCAAATCTAAAGACACAAATTCTTTCATGCAGCATACTTCTTTAATTTATCAAACCTAAATCTATAGAAACCAGTAGAAAATATCCAACACCATCTGTGAATGGATTTCATCATGAGCCGACATTAGTTCTCTAACTAATGTCAGCTCATGATGAAATCCTGAAACCAATCAAATCCCTGCAAACCAACACCATCTGTGAATGTCGACTAAAACACTGGTTGATTTGCCTATTATTTCTATCATACAGTGATAAAATTCAGAGTACCGTCCACAGTCACGAAGCAATGAACATGTTTTACAAATTGATTTCATTTTTTGGCTTTATACGCAGAATAATTTTGTTTATTACTCATAATCAAGCAATTGATTTTGCTCGAAAAGTCACAGTAAATAATTTTGATCTAATTTGTGAGTGTGTTTTTATCAAATGAAATTACTCCAACATGGAATTATACCCCACCATAGTATCCAAATTCTATTCTTATATACATGATATCTCTAGCTTTAAATCTACTCTTCTATAAGATAATGTTTCATGATTTAACGGAACTGTGTTAAACCTACACCTTGAAATCTCCAAATATTTTATGAATTTTACTGATCTTTCAAGTTTGATCGGCTACTTTATGTTGATATTTTAGAAAAAAGCTTTATATAATAGTGCGCTGGCTGGTTATGCAATTGATACTATATCATAACCAATGTCTATATATTTACTCCTGGAGAATTTCTGGATAAGAGAAGTGAACTTATCATTCACTCAAATTGTTATTATTATTCTCTTAGGTCCCGAGTAGAATATACGGCTTCAACTACACATTTCCACTTTCTCCTACTTTCTGCCGTCCTCTTCAGCTGGGTCCACGATTGGCCAAACTCTCTCATCTCTTCATCACACGATCTCCTCCATGTCACCCTCCCATTGATGACCTACCCGTCTCTTCCGATTGAGACTCCACTCGAGGGCCTGTCGTGTGGTGTCATTCGGCGGCCTCCTCAATGTATGCCCGAAACATCTCTACTTTCTCCTACATATTTGTTGAGCGATAAGCTCTCGGTTGGTTCGTTCCCAGACAAAGTTTCTTGTTACTTATTCTTCTTGGACAGCTATTTGATCGTCATTGTGGAGCCAGCGAATGCAGCAGTTGATGAAAGCATGCAGCCTGTTGGAAATCATTTTTGTGACACGCAGTACAAGTTTCTGACCTGTATAGAAGAATTGACTGAATTCACATTGGTGTGGAAAATCCAAATCTTGTTCTTCATGCTGATTGCAGTAAATAGGATTTCCAAATTGGTTTCAGATTGATGAAGGTGTATCTTGCCTTTCCCACTCTGACATCTTCATGCGTTCCCCTGTAGTTGAAACGATGCTTCCCAGATAAGTGAAAGAGGCAACCTCTCTTAAAGCTATCCTGTTGATGATGATGATTAGTGCTGGTTGTTTTAGTTGCTGTCCGTTTGGTTATCTCCATCACCTTCATCTTCTCTGTATTCACCTGCAAGCATGTTTTCGATGCCTTTTCAGCTAGTTTGTTGGGTTCACTCAAAAACTTAGTATAATGATAAGACTGAATAGTGTTCCACCCCGAATTTCAAAAATACTAGTTTTATTCTCTTGATTACCCGCCAAAATGTATTCAGATGCAAGAAAAAAGATGATTTCGTTATCTTTATTTACAAAGCAAAATACCGAATATGCCTACCGAAATAGAATTGGATGACTTTTGAGACAATTTGAAAAGCAGTTTATTTCTTGAGATTAAAAACAGTGAAGTAAGGGAAAAAAATATACCTCAGCTTAAGGAATTTCCCTGATTATTATGGTGGAATTTTTCAAAAACACACTTTTCGTGATTATGTCATGCAGTAATCTGGTGTGTAGATGGTTCAATGGTAGAATGGTCATCAACCAGGAACGTGGACTGGGTGAGATTCCAAACCGACACATTCAGTTAATGAAAACAAAACACATAGATCAGCGAAGAGTCTCTTTCGGCGAATTCATTTTCTTAGCTGTAATCGCAAAAATATATGTGTTGTTTTGTATGTATGTGTACATTAAGTTTGTCAAACAAAACTACAACTGGTTACAGTTATTGTAGCCAAACAGGTGAAGATCGGTAATTCGAGTTACGTCATACAAAATCAGTCAGGAAAATTAGGTGTTAATGAAATTAGAGTAGTAACAAAAGTAATGAGATGTCACAAACAGTTTTTTAAAAGAAGTTATGTAATAATATGAATAGTTTGATGTGTGAATTTTACTCAGAATGCAAGTAGGAACAAAGTAGATAATACGAAATCACGTAGCCGTTCTAAATGAATACAAGAATTATATGCAATTAAAGAACGTGCAAATAAACAAAATTAAGTCATCAAAAGAAAACAAGATCAAATCAAATCAAAAAGGTTGTTACCATGACTGTAAAAGTGGTTGAGTATTTCTCGTTTGTATGCACAGCTCCGGTTTTTCTATGTGAATAGCCAGAGCTTCGGCGATACAAAGAAGACGAAACCCTATTTCCTTTGATAGGTTATTCTTGACTCTGTAGATTAGATTGAAGCAGGAGGCGTTTGTTGAGATGGAATGATCGGTGTTAACTAGGTGTTAAATTGTCACACTCCTTATTGCAACACTATTGCCTTTTCGCAACGATGCTGGATAGTGTTCTTGAATCCTCTTGGAGAGATGCGCGTCGAATGACCGATGTATCTGGCAGATGAACTGATATATGCACATAAAAGTGGTCAGATATGGCATCTTGTCCTTGAGGCTTCTGCAGATCAGTGGGCGACTGGAGAACACTATTCTTAGTGTTGCTGCAAAGAATGTTCTTCTCAGAGATGATGTAGTCCTTCTCTTGAGAATATCGCTTGCTAAATCTCCCCTGGAATCCAAGTTCATGTAGAGTTTCTTTCTAGGAGCAGTTAGTGTTTCGTTTCTTCGAATTCTTGGTTTGATATTTTTGTCGATGAATCTTATTGGGTATCCATTTTGGATGGAGATTTCTCTTAGAATACCTAATTCTGTTTCCAGAACGTCGGGACTGCAGATGTGTCGGATGCGAGTGGCAAGTGATTTAATTAAATTCCGCTTTTGTTGAATGCGTACCCAGCTATAGAAGCTTGTTAGTTGACCATTTAGAGTAGGTTTTCTATGGATCAATCTTCTTAGGCTCCCATCAGTTCTTCTTGTTAGTTCCACATCAAGAAACAGAATTTTCGAGTCGTTTTTCATTTCAAGGGTGAATTTTACTGGTGGATGGCAACAGTTAAATGTTTCCAGCAGTAGATTGGGATCATTGTTGTTGCTGTCGTCGTCACAAATAATGAATATTTCATCTAAGTATCTTTTATACAGTCGCAAATTGTCAATGCTTGGCTTAAGTGGACCTTCCTCGAGGCTTACCACGAAGTAATCTCATAGTAGTTGACCCATCGGAGATCCCATTGCAATACCATCTCTTTGTATGTAGATGGTATCATTGAATGTGAACTGGACTGTGGTAATCCTCGTAAAAGATATAGGCTAGGCGTGATGCTGGCAACCACACGCCATATCTACTTAGATTTTAAAGCTCAAGCTTGAAGCTCTACGCTCCACTCGGGACCAGATAAGTATAGTAAATAGGCATGCCTTTTTATACCAGAAATGTCTGATGCTGCAGTCATTGACATCTTACGCCTAACCAAATATATATTTATACTAATATGTTAGTTATTAACGAATCATATCCCTCCATGCTCATGATAAAATTCCTTTAACATATTTTGTTTAAACGTAACATGTTATATCATATACATGATGAATTTTTCTTTTGCTTCCTTGATTTACAGCTGTCCTATGTCGCATTTCTGTGCTTTTTTACCTACGTATTACTATTTTCTACAGAACTTATTCTACCTATAGTATCAATTGAGGGTACTATTTTATATATTTGGGTAATTTCATTTGTTGCTGAACATATAAGGCAGGTTAGTTGGACAGTAATTCTTATAATACCACTTTTATCACAGTTAACAGTTCTTCAATGATGAATAAGTCAGCTGAAAAGTAAAGTAAAAAAATGACTGAATTATAAACAGAAATCATTCTTTTCACAAATAATATCTTAGGGTTTTACATGCCAGAATTTGTATGAAAATCCTATTAAGTGAGTTAGATGCTATAAGAATACAATTCACAATAAATTGGTGTATGATAACTGGCAAAAATAACATTTCATAGTCCGTAAAATATCTTAGAGAGTTTCGTTTGAAGCAAACGATCATAAATGAAAATTTAATATGTAATTATACATCTCATCCAACAGTTGTACGACAATGCTGCATGCCAAGTAATCCACAACGGAAACTCATGGAATCCTTCGAAGTGAAGAAGGGAGTGAGACAAAGCTGTCTGCCATATATCGCTAATAATCTCCATGATCACGGTACACTGGATAATGAGACAGACAGCGTCGGGCAGTGAGGAAAAAATTGTAAAATGGACCCACACGAAAAACTTGGGGGATCTGGACTTCGTCGATGCGATGCATATGTCTGATTTCCCACAAACTGGAAGATAGGCAAGCAAAAAGCAAAAAGTTGACAGAAGAAGCATCCAGCGAAGATAGGACTTCAGGTGAACATACAGAAAACAGAGGTGATGAAGATTCCTGGCCAACACCAACAACAACAACAGATGACAATCAGCATAAATCAGAGGAACCTGAAAGAAACAACCTCCTTCACCTACCTACCGACCTGGGAAGCATCATTTCAACTACAGGCCGACGGAACTGATGAGGATATCAAAGCCAGAATCGGAAAAGCAAGACAAGCTTTCATTACTACCAAGTCTGTGTGGAGGTCAACAGCACTCACCATCAAAATGAGTATAAGATCCGGATTTCCAACTCCAATGTGAAGTCAGTCAGTGCTACTCACTATACGGATCATAGACTTGAGGCCGCGTCATGAATGGCAATTCGAACAAACCACAGACCTTCATTAACAGCTGTCTTCTTGCAATACTTCACTCATGATCAGATGGCTGGCCAGAATAGTTCAACAACAGGGATCTCTGGCAATGAGCGAACCAACTAGGAACCAACCGATTTTGCAACAAATAAGCAGGAAGAATTGGAGATGGATTGGCTGACCAGACTCTGAGAAAACAGGCCATCATGTGACATCACTAGACAAGCCACTGCTCGAGTGGAACCCGAAAAGGAAGTGGCGAGTTGGTCGTCCAACAGTGGGGTGACTTGGAGGAGGTCATGTGGAGGGGAGGAGATGAAAGCATGTGGACAGACCTGGAGAGGTGTGAAAAAGTTGGCAGAAAACAGAAGGCGATGGAGACGTGAGGCTGAAGCCCTATGTTCTTCTAGGAACTAAAGGATACAATAATAATAATAAAATACTTTCACAATATGGTTGTAAATTTTTCCTGATCAAATCAGATTACCTACCTTCATTGGGAATGATATTACACATAATGTTGAAAAAGTTTGATAAAAGTTGAAAATATATTTTTGGATATTGTTTATTGGTTAAGTGTGAAGTTTACTTGAGCTTTCTTCTTCGAATGCTTCTATCATCATTAATTTATAACATTATTTCTTTCAAACGTTTTTAATTGTTGAAAATGAATACTTTTCATCATTATCATCATCACTATCTGTTGTTTTCTGTTTATACAGGGAATGTTTGGAGAAATACCATTTAAAATATATCTGGCTAAATTATGGAAGTGTTTAGAAGTGATGGCTATCATTTTATTTTTTCTTGGTGGAGCATTACAATTATTAGTATTAACAGAAGAATCAGAGAGATTATCCTTTACACCTGTGAATCCAGTCAGTGCAATTCAAGAAGCTTTAACTCAATTGTCAAGAATATTTTTTGGACTTTCCTTATGTATATTCTATCATCGTATTTTAGAACTATTTACAGTAAATATACGTTTAGGTCCTATGGTTATTATGGTTCAATCTATGGTGAGTGTTGACATTTTTATATGGATTTAAAGTAAAGAATACAGGTTTATGTTTGATTATAAATGTTATGATAAAAAAAAGTTTTTTAATAACTGTTGACAATAGAAATTTATCAAGACTGATCACGAACTGACTACAGTTAGAAAACAACTGAGAACTACGAAATACTCAACAGCTGTTTCGTCTTTGTTTGAGACTCTTCGACGGCTGACGGCTATAACCGTATCAGAGACTTAACGCAGGATCTTCGGGTTATCGGTCGACCTCATTTTGGTACTTGGTTGGTCTGCCATTTCACCTTGGAACCTGAATATCCTGAGTCCGACTGCTGAAGTAGTTCAAGATCAAGCTGAAAAATCAATTGATTCACTGAAAAACAAACACTGAGTTTTAACTATACAAATTTAAGATCGAATTAAATGATACATCTGTTCACTTATATTACAAAAATGTTATGAATTCAGAAAATCAACCCATCCGATTATAACTTTTTTCCAAGTAATCGATGAATGATTTTATCAGAATAGTTCACTAAAAATTTGAAAATTATAAAATAGATTTTGTCACAAGTTGACCTCATTTAGGAAATGATCTTAAACTAGAGAGAAATGGATACCTGCACCATCTTAATTTGAAACTCTTCAACATTGCTCATCCAAAACCCAACCAGGAATACCTTCCAGGAACTTCAAGTTACGAGACAACCCCATTATCATTCAACCAATGGGCTGGAATCCGTTGGACAGTGTGGATGAGTTCCAAACTACAAAATCTGTCAAATAGTCCCCACTTTTCAATAGTCCTGTGAATGTTATCGGTTCCTGACGAAATCTACCCTAAAATCACCCAATTCTTTAACAAATGCAGTATTTTAATAAACTTTACGCTTAAAGGTGTGTTTTCCATAGACGTAAAGAAAACGCATACATAGTGTAGGTTATTGTGTGTTTTATGCGTCACACACCTATTTACTATATGCCACACTTAATGACACGATTAAAAAATTACCAACACTCTCCAGACTGACAAGAACGAACTTACTTAAACAACGCAAATTTGACAGACTATTGAGATTACTTTGTAGTTAAAAAATACAACTGAAATCATGGTAAATACCTTTCTACTAAATTTCTCAATCACAGAAAGTTAAATCTATTTTTAATCAGATTCACAGGACTAATCTGAGTTGGTTATACCCAAAAATAAGAATAAAATATAGTCAAAATGACACTTTATCATGTCCATAGATGAAATATTAACATGGTTGAAGTCAATACGTAGAAATTGACCAGCTAAAGACACTTTGATCTGTAATAGAAGTTAAAAAAATTACATGGATAGGGTAAACTCAAAATACATATATGAAAGAAAAATATCTTTAAAACAATTAGTCCCTTTGATAAATTTGAATAAGGCATCTAGAAGATAAATTTCGCGAGGTGATGGTATCATTTCGTAGTTCCTTTACAACCGCTTTACAACTAACATGGTTAACAATAATAAAACAAAGTTCATGACAATAACTCAGTTAAATAAAAAAAACAAAAGTACATACTAATGACCAATCATATTTAGATAGGTCATGTTGTCCATAGTAGACCAAGAGTGAAGTCTATTGTTTTTTGTACACACAGTTTAGGCTGTATGTGATCAATCCAAAGTGCTTCCATTACCTTCAATAACCAACCTTGAATTAGGGTTATGTGAAATAATTGTGAGACAGTCATTAATATTGATTGATTTTGTGACCTGACGTTAATAAGTGTTTTGCAATGGATGATGCTGGATTTCTATTCAGATTAATCACGTTCGGATTATCTGTATGATTTAGCAGCCATTTCGGAGCATGTTCCTTGCGACGACATTGGAACATTCTGTTGGTTCCACCTACATAGGTGTTACAGCAGCTGCAGGTGAACTCGTAGATACAGTTTGAAGTAGAATCTACAGAATTTCGTCCTTTAATCGTAGGTACAGGGATCGAAAATGTTCGGCAAGTGAGAGAAAGAGATGCGGCGTAGAATGTGCCTTTGATGGCTGACCGAAGTCTTTGAGCTAGCTGTCAACTGCATAATCTGGTCGCCCTTGAATGGCAGGTTAATAAAGAAAGTTTTCTTTGGTACAGAAGCTGTTTTTTATTTAAGTGAGTAATTGTCATGGTCTTTATTTTATTATTATTGTTAGCCATGTTAGTTGTAAAGCGGTTGTAAAGAAACTACGAAATGATGCCATCATCTCGCGAAATTTGTCTTCGAAATGCCTTATTCGAAAAATATTTTTACCAAACATTTCTCTTCACGTTCTCACTGTTATAAAATCGAATTTTATTGCATGCATTTCCTTGAGGCATGTGATCTTAAATTTAATCCGGTAAAATTACCATATTTGATAAGTAGAATGTGGCTGCAAAAGTTACTTCAAATCTCTGATGATAGCGGTGATGCTTTATGCTTGACATAAAGTTTAAAAAATAAGTGATACAGTTCAAATTTGCATCATCCATTCGATAAAGCTTTTGTACTCACTATACTACCCATCAAATAAATATAAGGTAAAACAAAGTACATGTCTTTAGATTGTTTTGACGACTAAAAAGTACTCACTTTTACATTTTTCACCAAACAGAACACAAAAATGTAGTTGTCATATACTTCACTATAAGCTTTATTGTTATAAATGCATGAATCTTGAGAAAAGAATTCATTTATATCTAGTTTATGGTATCAGGATGTTTAAAACATCAAAATCACACAACTACAGAGAAGTAGAATAACAAATAAAGAGGCACTTTAAAAATAAGCAACTCGTTAGCATAAACAATAACGAGTGAGCTTGACTGCCTAAATTATTTATGAAGATCCAATATTGGGAATCAAAACTTCAACCGTGAGTTATCTATGTAGAGACTTGATAAAAACAAACACATAGATCAGTGAAGAGCCCCTTTTCTGCGGTGAATTCATTCTCTTAGCTGTACAATCGCAAACATATATGTGTTATTTTGTATGTATGTGTACATTAAGTTTGTCAAACAAAACTACAATTGCTTATGGTTATTTTAACTAAACTGGTGAAGATTGGTAATAGAAGTCAAGAAAATTAGTTGTTAATGAAATTAGAGTAGTAACAAAGGTGATGAGTTGTCACAAACAGTTGTTAAAAGAAGTTATGTATTGATAATATGAATAGTTTGATCAGTGAGGTCCACTAAAGCCAAGTATTGACAATTTGCGACTGTATACGTGGACGACATTTTCATTATTTGTGACGACGACGACAACAACAATGATCCCAATCTACTGCTGGAAACATTTAACTGTTGCCATCCACCAGTAAAATTCACCCTTGAAATGAAAAACGACTCGAAAATTCTGTTTCTTGATGTGGAACTAACAAGAAGAACTGATGGGAGCCTAAGAAGATTGATCCATAGAAAACCTACTCTAAATGGTCAACTAACAAGCTTCTATAGCTGGGTACGCATTCAACAAAAGCGGAATTTAATTAAATCACTTGCCACTCGCATCCGACACATCTGCAGTCCCGACGTTCTGGAAACAGAATTAGGTATTCTAAGAGAAATCTCCATCCAAAATGGATACCCAATAAGATTCATCGACAAAAATATCAAACCAAGAATTCGAAGAAACGAAACACTAACTGCTCCTAGAAAGAAACTCTACATGAACTTGGATTCCAGGGGAGATTTAGCAAGCGATATTCTCAAGAGAAGGACTACATCATCTCTGAGAAGAACATTCTTTGCAGCAACACTAAGAATAGTGTTCTCCAGTCGCCCACTGATCTGCAGAAGCCTCAAGGACAAGATGCCATATCTGACCACTTTTATGTGCATATATCAGTTCATCTGCCAGATACATCGGTCATTCGACGCGCACTCTCTCCAAGAGGATTCAAGAACACTATCCAGCATCGTTGCGAAAAGGCAATAGTGTTGCAATAAGGAGTGTGACAATTTAACACCTAGTTAACACCGATCATTCCATCTCAACAAACGCCTCCTGCTTCAATCTAATCTACAGAGTCAAGAATAACCTATCAAAGGAAATAGGGTTTCGTCTTCTTTGTATCGCCGAAGCTCTGGCTATTCACATAGAAAAACCGGAGCTGTGCATACAAACGAGAAATACTCAACCACTTTTACAGTCATGGTAACAACCTTTTTGATTTGATTTGATCTTGTTTTCTTTTGATGACTTAATTTTGTTTATTTGCACGTTCTTTAATTGCATATAATTCTTGTATTCATTTAGAACGGCTACGTGATTTCGTATTATCTACTTTGTTCCTACTTGCATTCTGAATAAAATTCACACATCAAACTATTCATATTATTACATAACTTCTTTTAACATCTGTCTTCTGACAACTACCCTAATTTCATTAACAACTAATTTTCTTGACTTCTATTACCAATCTTCACCTGTTTAGTTAAAATAACCATAAGCAATTGTAATTTTGTTAGACAAACTTAATGTACACAATACATTTGCGACTGTACAGCTAAGAAAATGAATTCGCCGAAAGAGACTCTTCGCTGATCTAAGTGTTTTGTTTTCGTAATGCCTGGATGGGGATGATCCATGGCTTGATAAAAACGTCAAATTTCTTTTGCTTTTATTGGAGTTGTTTTGTATGCTGAAAAAACAATACAACTACGCAAGGCTGTACACATATAAATTGATTTAGATCAGATTGATTAAGCGATGGAAAATAAGTCAAATTGATAAAAATACCAGGTCAGTAAAATAATCAAATACCGGTATAGTTGTGAACAAGAGGGTAGAGAAATCTCAAGAAGGCAAACATTCCCACTCAAAATCATCATGAAAGATGGTTCTTGATGGTACTCATGACGTATTCTTGAAGCTTACTTCATACCGAAATCAGAGGTGAAGTTGTCACCTAGAAAGATACCGAATGCTATGCGATCAAACCATCCAATTTACAGAACACAGTAAATACCAATACTTGCCACGATACCTCAGTATTAATGAATTACAACAGGGAGAAAAATGATTAAAACACTCACATGCATTGCATAACACATCTTTAGTTTGACGCGTGATTTATAAAAACTGCCCTAGTAAGTACACACAGACGTACAGTTGAAGCCCTATGTTCCACTAGGGAACCCAAGGGAACAATAATAAGTAAGTGCACACAGAGGGTAAAGGGTAATCTTTAATTTATAGGATATGTTGTTGAAAAGGATTGAAAGGAAAAACTTTCTCTGTTAATTTATAATTCATAAAGATTCACCTCTTTATAATTTTATTTTATTTTATTAGATTGTTCGTGATTTAATCCCATTTTTGGCTGTATTCACTGTTGTAATTACTGGATTCGCTATATTACAATGGGTGACAGCGTTTAAATCAACTGCCAGCCTTAATCCAATAGTGAATATTTATACTATATTTAAAGCATTACAAGTGGCTTATTTTCAAGTATTCGGTGAATATGAAATGGACACTTTAACTGGTGAAAGTAGGTAACACAGAATATTATTATTAATATTATCATTTACCCTTTGATTCAATTCCTAATTTCGATTATATACTATTTAAAAAGGACTTGCTTCGAATGAACTACAAGGTTAAAAGTTAAATAATATCTATGTAAGTATGTAGGAGAAAGTGTTGATGAATCGGGCATACATTCAAGAGGTCATCGAATGATATCGCTTGCAGTGCAGGCCATCACTCGAGTGAAATCCCAATGTGAAGCGACGAGTGAGTCGTCGATGGAAGAGTGACATAATGGTGATTGTGTGTAGAGGAGGAGATGAGAGAGTTTGGTCAATCGTGAACCCAGCTGAAGAGGACATTAGAGAAAGGAAAACAGTGGAAATGTGTTGTTGAAGCCCAATATTCCACTCGGAACCAAAGGAATATGTGAATGAAGGTAAATGTTTAAAATCAAGACGATCTTAGGCGGATTAACATCCAATCTAAACTTAGTTACTGTAACATTTTTATATCGCTTTGCGTTCAGTGTGGAATAAAGGGCTTGAAGTCTTCTAAGTTTTCATTAACACCTTCCCTCTTTCCCAAGCTTACTATAAGCTATTAAACTAGGCAGTCGGAAGTTATACCTGGACCACTTGCATAGCCGGTGAGCATTCCACCGTCTAACCAACCATGCATATATGTCATTTACTAGAGTATTTTACGAGTGAATTCAAACTCTGATTAGCCCAGAAGTTATCCTTCTTGAAGGTTTGATCAGTTGGTTTGCACAATAACAATTTTACAAATTCTAAAATTTGAATTTTTTTCGAAAACTATTTGTGAACAATTTTATTGGAATCAGAGACACTTTTATTCTCATATCTCCAATATTCCGAAGACACACTAATTGTATATAAACGACTAACACAAAATGAAATATTTGCTCCTGAAGTTTCAAGTTAAGTCATCAGTTGACATTAGTTAGAGAACTATTGAAAACCTGAGAGTACTGGACAACTGCTTCATCTTAGTTCGGGACTATTGAACAGAACGCACCCGTGATTCCACTAGGGAGCAAACTCAAGAACTTTATTTTAGTAAGCGATATCACTGATCATTCAGCCACTAAAATGGAATTTAACGACTCATAAATTCTAACTGCTGTTAATTCGCAATAAACAGCATCATCACCAATCAATATCATAGGCGATTTTTTGTTCTCACATTCGACCTGATGAACTCCACTACTCACTCCTGTAGTGAGTGACTAATGTCTGCAAATAAACCACTCAACAGGTTATCTTTCTTAACTGTACCCTAGTAGTCATTGTTCAGTTAAAGTTTTACCTTTGGAGTCAGAATATTATACCTAAGCGTATACTAACACTTCAAAATTATCCGTCACCTCGATTATCGTCAATAATTGACTGTCTGGTTACTTTAAATAACAAAAAAAAAACTTCATGTTGGGGACTTCTTTTAGCAGCAATATTTAGCATTTAACCAGTATCATAATCTTTTATACTGGTTTATATAATGTTTTATTTGAGATTGCAGAAGAAGCATCAAAGGTAGTACTTTTGGTGAACACAGAGAAGACATAGGTGATGCGAATTCCTCGCCAACACCAATAACAACAACGGACAACAATCAGCCTGCATAAATGGGAGGAACCTGAAAGAAACAACCTTCTCTACCTACCCTACCTGGGAAGCATCGTTTCAACTACAGGCGGACGGAACTGACGAGGACATCAAAGCCAGAATCTGAAAAGCAAGACAAGCTTTCATTACTCACGTCAATTCTGTGTGGAGGTCAACAGCACTCACCATCAAAAATAACATCCGGATTTTCAACTCCAATGTGAAGTCAGTCAGTGCTACTCACTATACGGATCAAAGACTTGGCCAGCGCGTCAGAAACAGCATCTCAAACAAACTTCAGACCTACATTAACACTTGTCTTCATTCAATACTACTCGTGATCAGATGGCCGGTCAGAAAAGATCAGCAACAAGGAGGGATCTCTGGGAATGAGAGAACCAACACGGCAGGAACCAACCGATTGTGAAACAAATAGGCAGGAAGAAATGGAGATGTATTGGCCACACTCTGAGGAAACCATCAAGTGACATCACACGCCAGGCCATCGCTTGAGTGGAACCCGAATAGGAAGTGGTGAGTTGGTTGTCTGAGGATGACATAGAGGAGGTCATGTGAAGAGGAGACGAAAGCATATGGGCAGACTTGGAGCGAGGTGAAATAGTTGGCAGAGAACCGAACGCAATGGAGACGCGAGGCTGAAGCCCTATGTTTCTCTAGGAATTAAAGGGAATAATAATAATTATTATTATTTGAGAACACTATCGACTAAAATACTGCTGTATCACTGTAGATACAATTCAGCAGACTTTTATGACATTTACTGGATTAGCAAATATAATAATAATCATAAGGAAAATTTCTTTCACCTATAGATGTAAATTATTAATCTGAAGTTAAGTATTGCAATGTATCAGACGATTTGTAGCCCTGTTAGATGATGAATATCTTTTTTTTTGTGTCAGCATATATCATAAACAAATACACCCTTCATACTTAATCAATGATGAAAAGACAGTCTCTGTAAAGACACCGAGAGTAAAGTCTTTAGACTGTTATTCTTAAGCGATGTACTGTTGTCAAATAAACTGTGTTGAAAAATACCTGAAGATGTTGAACTATGTAGATGAACGAAGAAGAAATATATAGAATGATAGGTCATCCTTATAGATTCACTCCAAGGCTAATAATTTTATTTAAAGACAGGAAACCATCACAGAAAATGTGAATAAGTTTCAGGCGAGGAAAAGGCATTATAATTTTATTCTACATGTGTACTGATTACCCATGCAGTATACGCATATTTAATGTATATGTTGCTTTCATATCTTCATTTTGTCTTCTTTTATTTGTTAATAAGCTTTACTGGATTCATGCAAAGAGAGCAAAGTTAACTGTCCAGGAGGTTGGTCTCGCTGGCTACCACCAATTCTTCTCGGTGTTTATGTCATACTTACACAAGTCTTGTTATTGAATCTGGTTATTGCTATGTTTGCGTAAGTTGATCATGGCTTTATTTTTTTTATTAGAAAAATAACACATAACTTCTATGATTAAAAAAATGTACAGTCAGAAGTCATTGTGAAGACTGTGTATTGAAAATAATATCAGTGAACACTGGGATGATTTTGAACAAAGCAAGAACTACAGTTTTAGCAGAATAAAATGGTACCATCTTTTATTTCGTTGCCTTCTCGTCAGCTGCTTACATGGCAGAGACATTATTAAATATACCTACAACAACAAATTTTGACATGCTTGCACAGAGTTCATTTTAAACAAAATCAATCGATCAATATACGCATACACTAAAAATATATAAATATGCAATATTGAACACTATTCCGAACAATAATAATCATACACAATGGAAACATTTAACATTTCGCATTCGGAAGAAAGAGAGGTGAAAATATCCAGTTACCAGGGCAAAGAAAGACTAATAACCGCTTCTTTCTGGACGCATAAATCAGGTTTCATGCGCTTGATGGAAATGGCTTCAGCAGACTTAAGGAGAATTGAACTCTTTTACCAATTGATACTTTTGAACGACTTTTCGACGTCCACTTCATGAGCCATGTCGAGAAGATGCCTGGCGATGGCACTGTTTAAAGCATTTGTTCCCTTTAGACCTAAGCTTTTTGGTACATGCTCAGAAAATCGTAGATATGCCCTTCTTTCTGTCCTTCCAATGTAACTGCTCCCGCAGATACATGTAAATCTGTACATACAGTTGGAGTTAACATGAGAAGGACATCTATCGATTTTTGATTGCACCAAAGAGCAAGTTGTTCGATAGACGTGAACGAGCTTAGCTGTAGGATAGGCTATGGCTAGTGATGTACTCAGCCTTCTGTTGATCATTGCTGCAATGTTTTCACCTTTATAATCAAGCTGAACGTAGACTGGCTTTTTTCTCACTGTGATTTGTTTTACATTTTGACTTCAGATCTTCCATACTTGTTGATGAACCTTTGAGGGTACTCATTGCTCTTCAATATCTTTTTAAGGAACTCAAACTCCTCCTGTAGCTTCTCTATAGAGCCCATAGCTACACCATCTATTTGGCGGTAAAAAGTGTAGTCAAATTGGAATTGCAAATCCATGGTACACATAAGCAGTAGGCGCTTGAATTCCGACTCTGGGAGTGGGAGAAGATCGGACTGTTGACAAATGATCTCAACAGTTTCGTTTATTGGAATCATTGTGAATAGGGAGGTTACATCAAATGATACCATGAAGGTATTTAGAACTTTCATGTGGTATACACTATCAGACAAATGAAATGAGTCTTTCATAGTGTGCACGCCTAGCCGTTGACGAATAGGTTCCAACTTCTCCGCAAGCCAACGTGCGACCTTATGTTGGGGCGAGTTGATCATCGGAAGTATGGGTCTCAGGGGGACTTGTTCTTTGTGTATCTTCGAAAGGCCATACATGTGTGGCAAGCGGGACCCTCGGGGTTTCAAATCATTGTACGTACTGTTGTCAATCGATTTCTTCTTTAGAAGATCTCTCAGGGCGTTTGTGATACGTCTTTCCACTGCATCTGTCTTATCTTTCTGGCAACTGTCAACTTTAAACCTCAACGGGTCATTTAACACAGCTTTCGTCACTCATTTCAAGAATAGTGAGTATTTTTACTGACTCAGAACAGGTTTATGAATGCCTATAAGGAAAATAAGTGGCTTTTACAACTTCTTTTCGACAACTACACTTCAGACTGGATAATTTTATTTATTATCATGTGATAAAGTAAGCCAGTGTTATCCAGCATGTTGCTGGACTTTCCATTCCACTCTGTTACATAAGATTTTATGATAGTCACCTTTTCTCATCCTGCTTTATAGTTGTGTATAGCTGCATGAAGTGCTACGGCTGAGTTATTTTCTAGATTTCTTATCATATTGGCGTCTACTTGTCTAGGTTTCATTAGTTTCATTAGTCTAACTGACCTCGGCCTACTACTCTGACATGCTTACTTGACTTCATAATCACTGGAGTTTATTAGATAAACTAAACTATTTTGTTCATTAGGTACCATGACATGTATTTATATTCTGACTTCACAGGAGGATAAAGAACTACAAACCGATAGATGAAATTCGAGGAATGTCACGAGTTAACCTTAAGGAAAAATTAATTTTCAAGTATTGGTTTTGTAGGAATTTTATTTGATTGCATGGAGGATTTCATCATCAGCTTACACCAGTTAGAGAACCACTGGAAAACCTGAGAGTACTGGACAGCCGTTTCGTCCTAGTTTTGGACTCTCCGGCAGTACGCACCCACACTGCGGGGTTCGAACCCAGGATTTTCTGGTTGCAAGGCGAGCTCATACATCATTGGATCGGGTCCCAGTGGCTCAATGGTCTATGACCTCTCCTTGTAACCAGAAGGTCCTGGGTTCGAACCCCGTAGTGTGGGTGCGTACTACTGAAAAATTAATTATCAATTATTGGTTTTTTGTAGAAATTTTGTTTGATTGCATGGAGGATTTAATCATGAGCTGACATCAGTTAGAGAACCATTGGAAAACCTGGGAGTACTGGACAGCCGTTTCGTCCTAGTTTGGGGCTCTTCATCGGCACGCAACCACCCACTGTTAAATCAGTTTTCAAGATCTAATCTTTGAAGACTTCCCTAGTTCATACTGCTGTAAAGCTTGAAATTTATTTTTCTAATAACATTTATATTCTTGTATCACGTATTCAACAGTTTTTTAAAGGCATTTTCATGCAGATAGTCAGTTCTAGATGCATGAAGAAGTTGTATACACTAAGCTTTATCTCAGTTATGCATTCTAACTACCTGATATAAACATTCCTGGTAAAAAGTGAAATGGAAACTTGATTCTCTATGTACTACACTGGAACGAGCTCTTAACAACTCTGATAACTGAGCTGTGAAGTGTGCAGCTGCTAAGAAGATCTTAATTTCATTTCCATTACCAAAAGTTTTTTATATCCGGTAAGAGAATGCACAACTTTTTCCCCAACATCACTGTATTCGTTTAACATCCAAGTGTTCGAATTCCAGTTTCATTGACGAGAATTAAAAAAAAAGATGATAGCATCTACGATAGCATGATCTCAATCTTTAATTTAGTGTGACTACAATTAAGACTGTAATAACCTACAATGGATGAGCAGTTATTTCTTATCTCTCTCTTGATGACTGAAGCGAAACTAAGACCTTCTAGCAGATAGATACATTTTGTAGCTTACGTATTACATCACCAGAGCAGTTGACTCAAAGCCTTTAATTGGCGTTCTACAGTGTATCAAGTTACTCTTTCACTCAGAATCAATATTGTTGTGCTTTATCTTCACACACTCAAAATCATAAGTGTTCATCTTTCCTTGTTCAAATTTATGATACTTTTATAAATTCCCTATCTTATAGATCAACTTATATGCGAATTGAATCAGCGTCTACCAAGTATTGGGCATTACAAAGATATCAAATAATAGGTGAATATGTGAATCGTCCACCACTTCCACCTCCGTTAAACTTAATCTGGTATATTTATGCAATAATACGCTATTTAATAGGATGTTGTAGAAAGAAGCCAAGAAAAATTCGTCATCCATTTAGTAAGTTCCCTTACTTCTTTAAAGATTAAACGCTAATCAAATGATCTCAAAAAATAGATATGTTTCAATATTATTTTTTTTAAATAGGGATTAATATCAGTTAGAGAAGCATTGAAAACCCAGGGAGTACTGGACAGGTGTTCTGTCCTAGTTTGAGACTCACTGGTAGTATGTACATACCGGTGTTCGAAGCCAGGATATTCCGGTTACAAGACAACCTATCAGATTATCCAGCTATTGGGACCCAACCCAATGACCCATGAATCCTCCAGTATTCCCTGGTTATCAATGGTTCTTTAACTGATATCAGCTTATGGTCAAACTTGAAACAAATCAAATCCATATAAAGTAACTCTTGAAAATAGATGTGTATAATTCCTTTAGTAAATTAAATTACCAAACACTAACCATTCGTTCTTGTAACATCTTACGTTCATTTTTATGGGTGTTTTTATTTTCTTATTTATCCTTAATTTTACCTAGTTTCCATCTGGCATTAACACATATAACATTATGATAACTCTAACTAATTGTTTTCGAGTAATCAGTATCTAAGTATTTCCAACTAACTCATTGATTTCCGGATTTCCTCATGAGGTGACATTAGTTAGAGAACCATTGTAAAACCTGCCAGGGAGTACTGGACAACTGCTTCGTCCTAGTTTGGAAATCTTCATAAGCACGCATCCACCGGGATTCGAACCCAGGACCTTCCGGTTACAAGGCGAGCTCGTATACCATTAAGCCACTGGGACCCGATCCAATGGCCCACAAATTCTAACTTCTGCCGATTCACGACATAGCGCGGCCGCCAGCCAATGTCTTCGGCGAGTATTTGTCCTCACACCCGACCCGCTGCACCCTACTGGTCACGACTTCCCAATGGAACCCAGGTAACTACCTACCTGAATAGGGCCAGTCGCCAGTGAGCATCTCATTCGTATACGAGCTCGCCTTGTAACCGGAAGGTCCTGGGTTCGAATCCCCGTGGGTGCGTACCGATGAAGAGTTCCAAACTAGGCTGACGAAACAGCTGTCCAGTACTCCCAGATTTTCCAATGGTTCTCTAACTAATGTCAACTCATGATGAAATCCTGAAACCAATCAAATCCCTACAAACCAACACTTGAATAACTCATTGATTGTTAACTCTATACATTTATCACACTTAAATGAGTATTTGTAATGGTTATATTTAGCATCGTTCTCAGATTCTTCCACTTCTATTCGAGGTAGTCAAATCTCTTTGTTAGCAGTCCAGCCTCCATCTTTTTTCTTCCTGCCAGGGGGTTATTGTTGTTGTGTTGACTAACTTTGTGACTAGAGATTAGAGTAGCTTTCTTCAGTAGGCTAGATTTACATCACTCCCAGAGTCGTATTATCCGTCACATATCAATACAGCTTACTTCTGTTATATTCGAACAATGTTTTTGGCCGATAAAATATTATCTACTCATATCATCCATCAATTGAGTCATCTTTATTATTTGCTTAAATAGTCATTTACAACATTCAGTTACAAAACTAAGGTGTTAAGTTAACATGATTAAAAATATTTCGCGGTGAAGAAATACGGGGATAATGAAACCCAGGTCTCAGGTGTTAACATCGACGATAATTGAGTTAATCTATCTCATATAAACGCAGTCACACAGTTTGACTGTTGATTAATATACACACACTAAACAATCTACGAGTTAGAAAGCTCGAGAAGTGAAAAAAAATAATATGGTAATAATAAAACTTCTTTTAACTATCTGGGAAGCATCGTTTCAACTACAGGCGGACGGAACTGACGAGAACATCAAAGCCAGAATCCGAAAAGCAAGTCAACCTCTCACTACTCTTAAGTCTGTGTGAAGGCTAACACTCAGCACTCAGCATCAACAGTGAGATCCGGATTTTCAACTCCAATGTGAAGTCAGTCAGTGCTACTCACTATACGGATCAAAGACTTGGCCAGCGCGTCATAAAGAGCATCTCAAACAAACTTCACACCTTCATCAACAGTTGTCTTCGCTCAATACCACTCATGATCAGATGGCTGGCCAGAAAAGATCAGAAACAGGGATCTCTGACAATGAGCGAACCAACCAGCAGGAACCGATTGTGAAACAAATAGGCAGGAAGAAATGGAGATGGATTGGCTGGCCAGACTCTGAGGAAACAGGCCATCAAGTGAGTGACATCACTAGACAAGCCACTGCTCGAGTGAAACCCGAAAAGGAAGTGGCGAGTTGGTCGTCCCATGGTGGGGTGACTTGGAGGAGGTCATGCAAGGAGGAAATGAAAGCATGTGGACAGACCTGGAGCGGTGTGAAAAAGTTGGCAGAAAACAGAAGGCAATGGAGACGTAAGGCTGAAGCCCTATGTTACTCTAGGAACTAAAGGATATAATAATAATAAAAGTGAACTGAAGGTTCAAAATCCCAGCATTTAGATTTAAACACTAGAACAAACAGTAATGTGAACGCACACACCCGAACGGGATATAGACACTGGTCCGCCGTCTGTAAGTCAGATCACAAAAGCTATCAGTAATTTGAAACGAGGCAAAGCGGCAGGACCCGACGGAATTATTCCGGAGGTGTTTAAATATGGGGGTGACATACTAGTTTGTAGATTAACTGAGGTACTAGGCAAAGTCTGGGAATCAGAGACAGTTCCATCAGACTGGGGTAAGTCACTTATTATACCGATATTCAAGAAGGGAAACAAGTCCTCGTGTGATAATCATAGGGGGATCAGCCTAACGAACATAGTCTCTAAAATCCTAGGCTCAGTAATCATGCATAGACTAAGCAGAACTCGGGAGGAACAGACAAGGGAAAATCAAGCAGGCTTTAGACCAGGTAGAGGGTGCATAGATCATATCTTCACTCTTCGACAGATTCTAGAACATAGACACACTTTTCGGCGTCCAACAATTGTCATATTTCTTGACTTGAAGGCGGCCTTCGACTCCGTGGATCGAAAGGTACTATGGCAATGTCTGACTGTGAAGGGAGTGCCAAGAAAGTACATTGCACTAATCAAGGCACTCTATTCAAACTCACGTAGTCGTGTAAGGGCTTATGGGGAATTGTCATCTGAATTGGTAACAACCAGTGGTGTCCGACAGGGATGTCCACTTTCCCCATTTCTGTTTAACTTCATCATAGATATGCTAATGGAAGTATCCTTAACTGAACGTAGTGACTTAGGAATCGACTTGTTACCAGGGAATAATCTAATGGACTTAGAATATGCAGATGACATAGTCCTGTTAGGGGAGGATGCTGACAAAATGCAGAGTCTTCTGAACACCTTGAGCAGCAATCTTCGTATGTTTGGCATGCGATTCGCCCCTGCAAAATGTAAGATGCTGCTACAGGACTGGACGACGTCAACCCCTAACTTAGTGATAGGGAGTGAAGTGATAGAACATGTTGACCACTTCACCTATTTGGGAAGTTGTATTAGCACCAACGGACTGATTGGCGATGAAATCTCAGCACGGATCCGAAAAGCTCGAGCTGCTTTCGCTGACTTACACCATCTCTGGCGTAGGCGTGACATCCGGTTATCAACCAAGGGACGTGTGTACTGCTCATCAGTTCGCTCCGTCCTTCTCTATGGCTCTGAAACATGGCCAATACGCGTTGAAGACATGAAAAGGTTGACTGCTTTCGATCATAGATGTCTGCGATCTCTGTCTCACGTTAGGTGGTTTCACAAATAAGTAATGTTGACGTTAGGCGTAGAGTGTTGGGCAAAGAGGGAAAATCAATCGACGAGGCTATAAAGTTACATAGACTAAGATGGCTAGGTCACGTGCTGCGCATGCCTAACCACCGCCTCCCCCGACGGGCATTACTAGCTGATATAGGTGCAGGTTGGAAAAGAGCAAGTGGTGGCCAAACAAAAACATGGCCTCATCAATCCATGAAATCCTTGACAGTTAAACTGAGTCAGGTAGGGAGATGCAGACTTCCGGGTTGGGGCCCTCGGGACTCTCTAGGAATCAATGGCTGGAGACAATAGGTGACATGGCTCAAAATCGTTGTCAATGGCGCAGATGTATTCAGTCTCTGTAATCTTTCATATTCCTTTCTACCATTACCCATTCTGTTTCACTCTTATACTTGTCAGACTGTATTGATTCTCTTCACTCATCTTCTTGTCTACCTCTGTGTGCTATTTGGAAGGTGGCAACTCGAACTGCTGCACTTCGGTGCCAAGTTCTATGTTGAATCCAGACAGACAAAATGTGAACGCAACTACATTTTGAAGCAAACTTCGACTAAAACAACCAATCTTATGGCATTACATGGTTGGTGGCAATCGGCCACATGAAGCCTTGGACCTAGGTTTCGTGATAGTTGGCACTCATCAGCAAGGCGTATCTGCAACTCATGTTCCTTCTGGCATTCGAACCCGCGTCACCCAGTGCCGCAGTCAGAGACGTTACCACTGAGCTATTCAGGCTCGCGAATGACCTCCTGTAGGACTGTAGTGAATATTCGATACTAGTAACTAGTGTGATGCGTCTAGTCCTCTGAACAACCAATCTTAGTCAGTTATTAGTTTAGTCAAAACAGAATCTTAATAGCCAACAATAATGCAAAACACTCAACATTACAGTCTCACAGTGAGTGACTGGAAATATTTTCATTATTAATAAAACTCTTCCACCTATATTCATTACCATATAGGTCATAACCTTTCTCTACTTGAAAAACGTCCGAGTAAGTTGTATCATATTTTATGAAGAAATAATCAAGTTAGTGAACTGAATAAGTTCACTGCGAAACTTGAACTGCATTTCTATGAATTAATATTACTGTAAGCATTTCAATTAGTTTACAAACATCTAAAGATTTAATGACTGAATATATATACGGCGTACTGATACCAATATTTTGCTTTCTACACAATGATTAGTACATAGGAATTAACATATTTCTATTGGATATTAGATAAATGAAAGTACTATTCAATATTAGCGATGAAGTATGCTAATTATTATTATTATTAAGCATGTGCGTCGGTGGCACAGCGGTTAGGACGTTTGCCGACCGTGCACATCGTCCAGGGTTCGATCCCTGGCCACCGACGCACTCCTTTACCTCGCTAAGCCAGAAATAATCCCGGTAAAGTGGAAAGGTTGGGCATGAGGCTACTGCAACCCCATCCTGTAAAATTAAACACTGCTACAGAAACTTCAAGCCACTAGCTTGAAGCCCTATGTTCCACTGGGAACGTGAAGGCAAACAAAATGCTAAGCGTAATTTAGTGTATCGAAAAATCTGATTCGCAAACAGTAGTTTAAATGCACCACTGATATTAAGAAGGATGGTATGAATTTATTAGACATAATATTAGATTAGATTGACGATATAGCTTGGAACTTTTGCACTAAAGTCATCGTAGCACCTAACAGTTACCAGTTCAGTTGTTGATTTACTTTCTAACAAAACTTCATCTTACTATGAAATATTAACAGTAAATATAAACTGTTTTAAAAACAATTTTACTCTAATACTGATGAGTACTGTTCACTAATGAAAATCAATAAGTTAAATCGAAATATCATAAAAGACTTTCTTGGAATGTTTGCGTCTAAACTGAGGAAACCAATCCATGCTTTCTATTGTGTATAGATAACTAGCCTGAACTCCCATGAGTTATGTGCAGTACAAAAATGTCCCGATAATAGTAAAAATATAATTTAATAATTCCCATTGTAGCATTAAGAACACAATATTCAGCGAAGAGACACTTTACAACGAATTTATTATCAAGCTGTACAATCGTATATATATGGTATTTTTTTAAATTATATCCGGTGAGGGAATCAAGTCAAAGGTGTGAATAGTATGAAATGCAATTAAAATATTTGTGATTATAATCATGGTTTAATGTCAAGTGGTAGAATAATTAATGTCATATATAGAATAATACATAAGGTGTATAGATTTTGGAAAGGTAAACATAATTATAAGAATAGTAGACGAATATAAAATGTTACATAACACGGTGTGAAGTTTGATAAGATAGAATTCAATATTGTAGAAATAAAAGAATAAAAAAATTAATAATTTTGCGTTTAAACTGACAAGTGGGTCAAGTGGAAAAGATTCAGAGTGAGAATAGTAATAATAATAATGATAAAGTAATAAGGGAAAAGTACATAGAATAACTAAATAAGCAAAATAAATAAATATCTATCCCTCTACGGCCAAGGCAGAAGTAGGGATTGTACGTACTTCTTTTGTACACAAAGGTCATGAATTGCCAAGGCCTCAGTTGTCTTTAGAAGTCTGTAACGAAGAAAACGCGGGAAGTTAGCATGGATTCTATATATGATCATAAAATCATGGTCAGGGTTGACCGAGTGACAGAAGTCGGTCAGGTGTTCCAGAATAGAGCTTCGCACACACTTCCTTTCTCCCTTGTAAAACCAAGCTGGAATATGTTCTCGTATCCGTGTAGAAAGCGTCCTCTGACTACGACCATATTTATACTATTGTACAGCTTGATAATAAATTCGTTGAAAAGAGTCTCTTCGCTGAATACTGTGTTCTTAAAAAGATAATTATTTGAGATATGAAATCGACGATAGTATTTAACGACAATAGCTCATATCAGCTACTCAAAATTACCTCAATAGTGTGTTGTTAGGCAGCTAGACAGTACTGCATGAAAACAAATTAGTTGACCGCACGCAATTCAACTGTAAAAAGTATCTGAGAATCAAGTAGAATATCCCCCAACAAGATGAGGTAACACACATTGTCCACAAGAATCAAAAACGCACAAAAAGAAACACTTTCAAGCAGAAACTCCAAGGTCAAGATAACCTTAACTTAGACAGAAATCGCAGTCGTAAGGCAGGACAATTATCAATAGCCGTCAAACATCCTCAAAGAGAAGAGAGATCAAACAGGTAAACAAAGACAGACAGTAATAAGGATTAAGTCAATATATGTCTTATGCAAACGTCAGAACAGTGAAATACAGTCTAGGAGAGAGAGAGGAAAAAGGATGATAATTAAAAAATTAGTTGAAAATTCCGAATAAGTAGAAAAATATTGTAACTGGATCGTTTAGGAGGAGGCATTTTCCTAACAATTATTTATTCCGTGATAAGTTTCAGTGTGTTACTTTTCTTCGTTTGAGTTAATTTCTATTTTCATTTAACAAGTATACATAGGAGAATTATTAACATTATAGTTTCATTATAATCTACCGATAAAAACTATAGGCCGGATACTTCAAATTTCTTTCTTTAGTGTGTTGTCATTGATCTGCGATGAATCAAAATGAACCTTGTCTATTTGTTTAAAAAAATTTTTAGAAAAATCTTTCGAACCTGGATCACCACAAGAAATTCGTCTTATACATTGGGAAAGATTACGTTTCTGGGATTATGACAGATATGTTATTCAGGGTAAAAGACGCAGACATGCAGCTGGTTCAAGATCAGTCAGTGTAAGAACCACTGTAATGCATGCCCCATCATATGGTGAACCATCATCAGAACTCTCTACCGCCATACAAACATATCATCAAACAACACAAGAATTTTTAACAAGAGTTGAAGTTAGAACAGAACGACTCAAAGTTATTGAAGAAAAAGTTGATAGATTATTAAAATTATTAAAAGATTTCAAAGGACAGGTAATCTACATTTTCTTATTATTGAAATTACTTACTTGTCTATGTATTCTTTATTAATTACAATTTGAGTTCGTCAGTTAAACACTGATTTAAAGGTGTCGATCTGAATCCCTTCACAGAAACATTGAAAACTTTGGCAATGTAGTACTTCGCTACTGCAGGGTGCCATCGAAAATTATACATCTCATCCAACAGTTATACGACAATGCTGCATGCCAAGTAATCCACAACGGGAAAATTACCGAAGCCTTCGAAGTGAGGACGGGAGTAAGACAAGGCTGTCTACTATCGCCAATAATCTTCCTGATTGCAGTAGATTGGATAATGAGACAGACGCAGCGTCACGCAGCGAGGAAACAAGCATAAAATGGACTCACACGAAAAGAGACTTGGAGGATCTGGACTTCGCCGATGCGATGCATATGTCTGATTTCCCACAAACTGGAAGATATGCAAGTGAAAAGCAACAAGCTGGCAGAAGAAGCACCCAGCGAAGATAGGACTTCAGATGAACATAGAGAAAACAGAGGTGATGAAGATTCCTGACCAACAGCAACAACAACAGATAAGAATCAGCATAAATGGGAAGCATCGTTTCAACTACAGGCGGACGGAACTGACGAGAACATCAAAGCCAGAATCCGAAAAGCAAGTCAACCTCTCACTACTCTTAAGTCTGTGTGAAGGCTAACACTCAGCACTCAGCATCAACAGTGAGATCCGGATTTTCAACTCCAATGTGAAGTCAGTCAGTGCTACTCACTATACGGATCAAAGACTTGGCCAGCGCGTCAGAAACAGCATCTCAAACAAACTTCACACCTTCATCAACAGTTGTCTTCGCTCAATACCACTCATGATCAGATGGCTGGCCAGAAAACATCACAAACAGGGATCTCTGACAATGAGCGAACCAACCAAGCAGGAACCGATTGTGAAACAAATAGGCAGGAAGAAATGGAGATGGATTGGCTGGCCAGACTCTGAGGAAACAGGCCATCAAGTGAGTGACATCACTAGACAAGCCACTGCTCGAGTGGAACCCGAAAAGGAAGTGGCGAGTTGGTCGTCCCACGGTGGGGTGACTTGGAGGAGGTCATGCAAGGAGGAAATGAAAGCATGTGGACAGACCTGGAGCGGTGTGAAAAAGTTGGCAGAAAACAGAAGGCAATGGAGACGCAAGGCTGAAGCTCTATGTTCCTCTAGGAATTAAAGGATATAATATTAATAATTATTATTACTGTTCCCTTGGGTTCCCAGTGAAACATAAGGCTTCAACTGCACATCTCTCTTCAACAGTTCTGCTTAGCTGACCTCACAATAGTCCGCAGTCTCTCATCTCCTCACAAAATCTCCCTCATTTCACTCTCAGACCTATACCCAACTGGTCGTTTTTCATTCGGATTCCACTCAAGTGGGGATCTGTCTGGAGATGCCACCAAATAGTATGTGTCCTATCTAACTTCAGTTTCCTCCACATATTTTTAAGCAACAGGTTTGTAATTCGTTCGTTCCAAAAGTTTCTTGTTGCTAATTCTCTTTAACAGACCACTGTGGACCTAGCGAAGGCTGTTGAAAATACTTTTTGTGACGCGCCGTGCAAGTTTCTGACCCACATAGAAGAACTAACTGACTTAACATTGGTGTTGAAAAAGCCGGACTTTATTGTTCACATTGAGTGCAGAAGATTTTCAAATTGATTTCAGTTTGATAAATATCCGTTTTGACTTTCCAATTCTGGTTTTGTGAGATGGTCATTCATTTTTTGATGTGGTTTTGTTCTCTGAGCTGGATGGTTAGTTTGCGAAGCTTTCATCGCCCTACTGGGTGACATCTTCAGCGCATACTTCAATTTGATGAAGTGAGCTTTTAGATTTCTCCACGAGTTTATTAATCATCTCTCCTGCTAACCTTGGACGTGATTGGTTGCTTTTGTGTGTTTTCACACCTTCTAGGTTACTTGTATTGGAACTGATTGTTTCTTTGGCCTACCCCAAGCCAACCTATCAAACCAAAGGCCCCCAAGGAAAGCACAAAGAAAATCGCCTTACCATATATAAAGGATATCTCAGAAATCACTACAAGACTCTTCAAACCTTTAGGATTTGACATCGCACACACAGACCAACAAAGTCACTTCACTCAATTCTATGTCAACCAAAACAAACAGCGAAAGGGGATAAAACCAACATCATCTACAAAATAAATTGTAACAACTGCGAAAAAACACTACATTGGCCAAAGTGGACGTCCCCTTCGTCTTCGTATCCACGATCATAAGCTAGTCATCAAAAGACGTGATATCCACTCCCTCATATCACTGCATACAGACAACCACGGACATCAATTCGACTGGGACAACGTTCAAATATTAGACAGAGGAAACAACAAGAATGCTAGGGAATTTCTAGAAGCTTGGCATTACGGTGAATCATCAATCAATAGACACATCGAGATAGACAAAATTTATCAACCGATAAGAAAGAAACCTCACACACAAAGGGTCAAAGTTCAAGTCAAAGAAACAATCAGTTCCAATACAAGTAACCTAGAAGGTTTGAAAACACACAAAAGCAACCAATCACGTCCAAGGTTAGCAGGAGAGATGATTAATAAACTCGTGGAGAAATCTAAAAGCTCACTTCATCAAATTGAAGTATGCGCTGAAGATGTCACCCAGTAGGGCGATGAAAGCTTCGCAAACTAACCATCCAGCTCAGAGAACAAAACCACATCATAATCATCCACCTGAGCTACAAATCTTCTCTATCATGGTCATTCATGCTGCGAACCTATATTTGTAACGATGCTACCTAGATAAGTGAATGGAGTGAACTCTTCCAAATCTTTACCATTGACAGTGATTGGTACTTACTGTTATTGGTGGTCGGCTACCTTCATCACTCCCACCCATCTTCTCACTATTCACTTGAAGTCCTGTCATCGCTGCTTTCTCAGCCAGTTTTTTGTTTTCGCCTGTAAGTCATCGAATTTATATGACATCAGAAATAAACCTTCCGCGCAGTCCAGATATTCTAGAGTCTTCTTATAAGTTCAATATATTCCTTTCTTCCAGCTCCCCCCTTCTCATGGTGTTCCGCATAATTTCACAGCCAGGAATGTCATCAGTGATAGTAGAATGGTACCATGTTAGTGAGCAATAATAATAGATCTATTCTGAACAATGTTTATAATATAATATACAGAATATTTCAGAGGGGTTTATTGCATGACATTTCCTCTTCCTCCAAAATCTTTAAATAAAAATATTAATTGACAGTAGTTCATGTGACACAGTGTTATCTGACCTGAAGCGCAAACCAATCCGTTATTATATATCTTCTTTATCTTCCTAGAAGAATACACAACGTTTGGTTGAAAACCAATTATAAAAATTTCTGGAGTACATTTTAAGACAAATAGACACAACATAGGAACAATTACCTGATGTATTAGGATACGTTACCACCTGGGATTATCCTTTTTCTCATGTTTACTAGAAAACTGCAGGTTGTAAACATTTCATATACTACGGAGAGTAATATAATACAATTAGAGTTCATATTTTAAAAGTATGGATACTGAAAAAAGAGTACTCTTTTCGATAACTTCATCATCAGGCTGTACATTTATACATACATTATAGTGAATGAATGAATTAGTGGTATGAACAGCAATAATGTTGTTTAAATAACACCAAATCAATAATATTGATTGATTACAGCTGAATCTCATCAACATAAAATAAGCTGAATGTCAGAAGAATTAGGAAGGATAATATTACAGATTCATGAGTTTATAGCTTCTACTGAAGGCCAGCCAGGGCAATAGTAGGGACTGGACACACTTCTTCTGGACAGAGAGCGTTGGTTGTTTGAGGCGAATCGCAATAGCCTCTGCTGTTTGGAGCCTACAGAGGCTATTGCGATTCGCCTCAAACAACCAACGCTCTCTGTCCAGAAGAAGTGTGTCCAGTCCCTACTATTGCCCTGGCTGGCTTTCAGTAGAAGCTATTGCGATTCGCCTCAAACAACCAACGCTCTCTGTCCAAAAGAAGTATGTCCAGTCCCTACTATTGCCCTGGCTGGCCTTCAGTAGAAGCTATAAACTCATGAATCTGTAATATTATCCTTCCTAATTCTTCTGACATTCACTTTATTGTTAGGTTGATGCTACTGAACTGTAATCTATTGTATGATTATTGATTTGATGTTATTTAAACAACATTAATGTTGTTCATACCACTAATTCATTCATTCACTATAATGTATGTATAAATGTACAGCCTGATGATGAAGTTATCGAAAAGAGTACTCTTTTTTCAGTATCCATTCTTTTGAAAATTTTAATGGGCATTTTTAATCAGTTCATATTTTTGTAAATCTAAACAAACTAGACAAGAGAAATCATATCCAGTATATCAATAGCCCAAATTTTAAGCGGGCCGCCAATATTTTTATAGAATAATGTTTGACATAGAAATGATTACCTAGGATGAAATTAAGACATATAATAGAGAGAAAAAAGCACAACAGCAGTGTATTGGCCTCATCATAACGAATTGATCTCAGCCACCAATAGACAGAATAACAAACACACTTAATTACTCAAGTCTCAGTGTATCGTTATGTGCATTTTATAATATGTAATTCATTAATAAGGGGACACTGATAATTACAGTGTGCATGAAATATACTGACCTTACTAATGTATAGATAAGTATACTAGAGGCAGTTGGCATGGGAACCTTGGATCTAGTTTTCACGCTTACTGGCAGTCGTTGCAAAGGCGTATTTGCAACCTCATGATGACAAATACCTCTTAGGAAACTCGAATCCGCATCACTCAGTATTACAGTGTGTAGGTTCATAACTTCCTTTTGATTATCTTCAATCGCCCAACATTAATTCAAGGTGCATTGTAATGATAAATTACCTAGCTTAGCAACCACAGTGTAAACTTCGTTGATATAACTCAGTCAGCAGTAACACTGAGGGCTAGACGAACAACAATGGTTACACCCTGGGTGAAAAATGAATCCACAGTTAAGTATGTTTGAATATGTTATATTCTCACATTTTACCTCGCCTATTTTAGGCTTATTTAAAATGAAATCTATTCTTTAATTGTTGGATGGTGACTAACAGTGGAATCCAGGATGTGCATTTCGTCCTATTTGGGACTCGTCATCTGGATGTGCCTGCATTTCTCAGTGAGTGATGAGGTTCCCACCGAGGCTCGAACCCAGTGCCCAAAAAGAAATCTATTCTTCTTGATCATATTTAAGTAACCTGTTGGAATCATTAAAAACTGAATCTCAAAGTTAGTTAGTTAGTTGGTTAGTAAAACAAAGGACTGCTTACATTAACATATTCTAATTTAATAATTATTCCTTTCTCCTGGAATAAAAATGAAAGATCGAATAGGAAAATAAATGTAAACACCAAAACTTCATATCGCCTTCTAATTAAAATAAAAATCACAACAAACACTTTTGTTGCATTTTCCATAAGTAGTATTGACCATGATAAAATTAGGATTCCTGGGAAATTTTCACCGTTCTTACCACTTGTAACTCTATTGAACTGATAACTGGAATGAAAACATTTCGTATTATTAATTAGTAAGCAAGGCTTATGTGTTTTTCTTCCCTTCAAATCAATACCTAACTTCTTTAATAGTCACGAAATGCAAGATAAATATGAGAAAATGTCGCGTTTCAGTGCATGTGTAACAATAGAAGACAAGGGCCAGGCAACAGATCGTTTTATTACGGAAATCAACACGTATTTATATATATTTCACATACATTATTATAGCTTATTCAAGTAGACAAACGCAGTCTTCTGACTGGTTGTTTCGGGTAACCATCGAAAAGTGGAGCCATCTATCTGCGAATCATATTTGCCCACGTTAAGTCTGATGTAATTGGTTGTTGAATCAGCCTTGTTCATATTTTCTCACGGCCAATATTAGTGACCTAGACAGTGACGTAGATTAATGTCTACCAATTGGCTAGCAGCCTGCTCTCACCACACATGTATATGTACAAAGTACAACATATGTGACTACAGAATGACATCAAAATATTTTAGAAAGCCAACTGTGAGCAAGAGATATAATGTGAGGTAGTTATATTGAGCTTTCTAGTGTGTTGCGCTGTTAAATGAAACTAATCAAAATAATGATGAGAACAAGGAGGAATACTTATCCTGCCGTCATAGAAGTCAATCCATCTAAAACATTTTATACGCTGGTCGGTATATTCATGTATGATATTTTTTGAAATTGATACATTTCTCAAATTTTGATGATATTTTGAAGTTTCTTATCGTTTTTATCTTTCTTTCTTTTAATATTTCACATGATACCGACCAGCCATTCGTCATTGGGCAACCACTGAAAGCAGCACCGATCGGTAAGACGCTTTTATCTATTGATCTCTAATTATATATATATAATATTTGTAAAAATTCAAAATCTCACATGTTTTAAAGTTATTTTGTGTGCAAATTGGATTCACTTACTAGATTTCTAGGGGTTTCATTCACATTCGAGAGGGAATCACTGCAAACATGGGGTTTTGAACAAAACGCACTCATAATACCTCCAAAGGTTGAAGATAATAATAATAATAATTTGCTTTATTCCATAAACAGTACTTGTCATAGAGAATGGAATTCTCAGCATTTCATTACCGTATTGCATTCAGTTGGTACATTAACAATAAATAAAATTCTACATAGATTATGGGTAGTCACAGTTAATTTTGACAACAACATATTAGCATATCGTTAGCAAAGCAAAAAGTGAACAGAATGTTTGAAGGTGTTAGAAAAGTAGATACTAGCATATTTACTGGCGTAAGCGGTAACAAAAAGGTCGAGATATACAGAGTATGAAAGAACGAATAAAAGTGTTTTAAGTAGAGTTTGTAAGGAAGAGAGGAACCAAAAAAAGAGAAAAGGTAAAGAAAGAAAGGAAACGGTGTACCTATAAATGATATGAGTTGGAAAGACGAGATCCAGTTGTTCCACTGACTATTTAATAAGTTACAGGTATCACGCCTAATGCTTTCTTTATCGCACAGAACACGAGCTAAGTAGGGTATGGTTGAGTTTCTGTACTTAAGAGTGCGAGCATATAGTTTTCTATATAGGCTTCTGGTTCCGCCTGATGAGATACAAGGGGAGAGCTGTGAATGAAGAGGGTGGTGTGAGTTAGATAAAATGGATTTAGCCCATTTTTCACATGAGTCCATGCGCCTGTCAACTAGAATATTAAGAAGCTAGTTAAGTGCAACATTGCCTACCCTCCTGACAACCTTTAACATCCTGTGTAATAAGGTATAGTCTTTCTTCAGTAGCCCAGGAAAAACTAAGGGGGAACAGTAGAGAATAATAGGCAGGATGCAAGAGTTAACGAATTGTAGGAGTAAGGGTTGGGTTATATCAGAATGTCTTAACTTCTTAATGTAGAAGGTAAGACGAAATATTTTCTTAGAAATCATCAAGATATGAGACGACCAGAAAAGATCACCAGATGGAATGACGCCAAGATATTTAATTTCAGACTTGGTTTCTATTTCAGTGCCATCAATGTTGCACACCTCGTGAGTGCTAACCAGTTTGTTTTGGTCAGATTTATGCCTAAAGGTGAAATTGACTGTTTGGCATTCAGAGGGATTTAAGGTTAGACCGTTTTCCTTAGACCACTGACTGATTCCTGATAAAAAGCCATTTAGTTTGGAGCAGTCACTTTGACATTTGACATGATATTTATGCAAACAAATTACCATTTTTAGATATAATCGAAAAGATATTTTTTAACTCAAGTAGATAATATTAGTATAATTATGTTCTGTCTTACTAGAAAACATCTTCAGACCAGACTCCAATATGAAGTGGATTATTCTTGAGATGACATTAGTTAGCGAACCATTGGAAAACCTGAGAGTACTGGACAGCTGTTTCGTCCTATTTTGGGACTCCTCAGTGGTACGCAGAATTGGAATTCGTGGGCCATTGGAACGGGTCCCAGTGGCTTAATGGTATACGAGCTCACTAGCTTTGTAACCGGAAGGTCCTGGGTTCGAACTCCGATTGGTGCGTACTGACGAAGTGTCTCAAACTAGGACGAAACAGCTGTCCAGTACTCCCAGGTTTTCCAATGATTTTCTAACTAATGTCAGCTCATGATGAAAATCCTGTAACCAATCAAATCCGTACAAACCAACACTTGAAGTGGATTACTTTGAATTCTCCACGAGTTTACCAACCATCTCTTTTAGTAATCTTGAAAGTGATTGGCTGTTTCTGGAGATTTTCTTACCCACTAGTTGACACTTGCATTAGTCTTGCTGACCTTTAATTGTTGTGACTTTCTCATGTTACTTATTGATTGATAAAAGTTAGTGTGTTTGTTGACTGCAGATCCGTTTGACTATCAAACCTTCTATTTATCTAGGATTTGTACATTTTTTCCCAAGTGAATTGGTATTTATAGATGTCTGCACCCAGTGATAGTAGATTATGGATATGATTTTAAGTTTGTGCAAAGCGACAACATAGACTTTGACCAATATATTGTTTTCCACGGAAGTTTCTGTTTATCTTGTAGTTGATGGTGATTTTGTCTTTTTTTTCGTTGTTGCATCTTTTGACTGGCATAGGGTACTGATTGAAGTGCTTTTATTTTTTGGTTTGTAGGGGTGAAATTTATTTCCAAAAACTTTCACCAGTCTCGCAATGATTTCAGAGATTTTCTTCATAAATAGTAGGGGGGATTTGTTTTGTGCTTTCACTGGATAACTTTTAGTTGGTCAGTTAGGTTGAAGGTAATCACCGTTTGATGAAGTTTTGGTGGATATTCAATTTTCTAGAAAATAGTTAGTTATAAGAAATTTCTCCCTGAAGGTAAGAGGGCTAAAGTGTGCTCTAGCACTCATTCATCCCTTCAACCTAATCAAACTGATAGTCATTTTTACTAGTTAAAAAGTAGTCCTTAAGTGACATTCTGACAACTTTCAAAGAAATTTCAACAACTGACACTCCTTGTTAACTAGGCTAAAAGAGTGTATACGCTGGACAGGTTTAAGAGTATATTAAAAGTAATTCCGTTGGAATTAGCCGCCTTCATTTCAATAATGGTGACTAAAATGTATCCCACTTTATAGCAAAAATATTCCTGCAACTTAACACGACTCATTTCGATCATAAATATTTTGAAATATGTCAATATATGAGAACATATATATGATACTTTGATCGAAAATAGCTATCCCGACAAATTTATCAAGAAACACATGACCAGGAAAGCGGAAAAGGACTACTCACTATCTGTAAACAAGAAGCCACTTTATATAGGAATACAATTCATGGGCGATATACCAAGTGAGATAATTACAAGGAAATTAAGAAAATCAGTTCGAAGAACTTTTAATGCTGGCAAACTACACGTCTTATTCTCTACACGACCGATGGTGCTACCTCGACTGAAAGATGAAGTACCTAGACTAGCCACTTCAGATTTCATCTACCAGTTCAACTGCGCTTGTCGAGCGAGTTATATTGGCCGTCGCTCTAGGAACTTGATTTTTCGTGCTTACTCGAGAACATCTCCCACTATGGCTAAATAAAGGTGTAGTTAAAACCATTGGAAGAATCCTTCCCTATAATCTACCGGGTGCCTAAAAAATTGTCGAAATCATCGAAGCACCGCGTGCTACAAACAGCACAAGCCATCGCAGTTCGCCTCAAACAATCAGTGCTCTGTGTTCAAAAGAAGCAAGTCCAGTCCCTACTACTGCCTTGGCCTTCAATAGAGACTATAAATTCATGAATTTGTAATATTATTCTTCCTAATTCTTCTGATATTCACTTTATTGTTAGGTTGATGCTATTGAACTGTAATCTATTGTATGATTATTGATTCGATGTTATTTAAACAACATTAATGTTGTTCATACCACTAATTCATTCATTCACTATAATGTATGTATAAATGTACAGCCTGATGATGAAGTTATCGAAAAGAGTACTCTTTTTTCAGTATCCATTCTTTTGAAAAAAAGTATTATTATCTTAATTTATTATTAATTTCGCTATTTAATTTTTCAGGTATGGATCAAACTTATGATTCGAGAATTGACAGAATACTTGCAGGTAAAAACTATGTGCGCGTCTCAATCAGCTTAAAATTGTACTTGTCGTAAATGCACCATGTACTTTATATATATATATATATATATATAAGGAAGAAACCTATTTTCTTCCTTTCTTTACACATCTAGGTTAATATGAATGTAATTTCAAAATAATTCATCAATAACAGACTTGTTTGATTCTCCCACCTCTGGGAACTGAGTTGATTCATATTCGTTAACTTTGAAACAGAACTCACTACAAAGTGAAACCATCCTGTAGACTATGGAAAACAGGAGAACAGAACTTTCGAGAATTAGGTAGAATCCATTTTAACAAGACCACTAAGAACCTTCAGAGAAATATTGAAGATTTCTTTTCATTTCTTAGGTTAACTATGATTCTGGTAAATAGCAAAAAGATGAGTCAGACCCTACTGATTCTGTATAAACAGTATAACGTAGTTGTTCATACACTTCGTCACAGTGTTACATGGAATGTTTAACTCCCAAATGATCGGATTGGTGGCTAAGGCATTACTACAAACTTAAATATTACTAATTTTATTCAGAAAAATATTCCACGTGAATAATATAAAAATAACTCCATTTTAGATAAGATTTTATTTTGATAAGTCACACAGTGTTACACAGTAATATGAACTGGTGACCACGTTTCGAGCACAAACTTTTTCTCATAATCATATCAAGTCAATACCCACACAACTTTTTCCTTCATTTATATACATGCGTGAAGTTGATTAGACATTTGAATAAAAATCAATATGGGATAATGTTCGATCCCCTGCCGACGCACACCTGATATCTATGGTCGGCCTGCAAAATTTGGGCTACCGATATCCATGCTGAAAATTCCATACCTGTACCAAAACATACGGTGTGGAATCAAGCTGTAATCAAAAATGAAAAAAAACAATAAAATAAAAATAATAATATGAGTGTTATTGATCAATTACAATCAGATAGGAAATAAGACAAGTATTTTTATAGTCATAATAAGTTACTTGTTAGAATGTTGTGATGTGCTTGATTTGATTGGTAGTAGTATTTTCCATATTCCTGGTATGAGTAGTGAGTCATTTCTGTTGCATGTGTTGGGTGTAGACTCAATGAACCAGGATTCAGTAATCAATATCTCTCTCCACCTACACAGATTACTTCTTAGAATCTTAATCCTCTTCCACCCTATTGTGTGCTTGTATGTTAATGCATGTAGTGCAATTGCTGAGCTTTTTTCTAAACTACTTATCTTCTCGGGGTCAACCATTCTTACCTTAGCTAAATTCTTATGTTCCGACAATCTGACTACCCCCACTCAATCTACTAGTTTGACCTCACAGTCATTGCAGGGTATTTTGTAAATTATATTATTTTGTTTAATTGGGCTCACCAGGTTTTTTAGCCTACAGAGCTTGCCTCTGAGTGAGTTTGTAGGTTTGAATGTCACCCTAATTCCTGCTTTATTAAGAATCCTACGTAGGGTCTCAGATGTCTCCACTTTATATGGTATAACAGTAGATGACTTATATTCTTTTTTATTTATGTTATCATTATTAGTTTCACAATTATTTTGATTTTGATTTTGGCCTTTTCGATCTTCCTAATGAATTTTATAGGATAGTTATTAAACATCAACGCCTTTTCTATCTGTTTGATTTCATCATTTAGGTCTTTTCTCGTACTACTTAGTGCTATTGCTCGGTTTGTTAAACACTTAATGAAGCCTGTCTTGTGCTCGAAACATGGCCATCAGTTAATATTACTGTGTAACACTGTGTGACTTATCAAAATAAAATCTTATCCATAATGAAGTTATACTATACCACCACAGTGTCCAAGTTTTATACTTATATTAATAATATAAAAATAACCTATCATTCTGTAATGATCTCCAGTAATTTCTTAATGGATTTTAAAAGGTTATCAAAATCTTCTCTAGTAGAGTCTATCGCCATCATGCAAGCATATCATCTTTCGTTTGTTGAGTTAACCAAAATAAAAAAGCTATCTGTATTTATTAAATGTAGACTGTTCTCGTTCTTTTTTCTCTTTCTACTGATTCGTTTTTATAGAGGTAGAAAGGCAGCAGACTGCTAGAATGAAATCACCTGATCAAATTGTACCTAGAGTCATACAGACAGCCAAAGGTAGTCAAATGCTTGTTTTTGAGAAAAATATGCATCGATTTGCTGCATTTGTACCACCGACAGCAGATCGTACACCTCGTCTTTTTCCAACTCCAATATCATGGGAGGTAGGTAAACATCTTTTAGTAAAAAAAAACTTTGTTGTCTTCTGAAAAACATTTTATTAGCATAATAAACGAAAACTTATTTATAGAAGTAATCACATATATAAGTACGTCGGTTGTTCAACAGTAGGATGCTTGCCAACTATGCATGTGGTCAAGGGTTCGATTACCCAGCCGACGCACACCCCGTTACCTCGCTTAGTTGGTTGTAACCCTGATAAAGAGGAAAGGTTAGACGTGGGGCTAGCAACCCCATCCTGTGGAAACACCACTGCTACTGAAACTTCAAAGCTCAAACTTGAAGCCCTATGTTCCACTCAGAACCCAAAAGAAAATAAATAATTGATAATAATTATATATATATATATATATATTCAAGTAGTGGTTTGTAGGGATTTGGGTGATTGGTTACAGGATTTCATCATGAGCTGACAATGGTAAGAGAACCATTGAAAAACCTGCCAGGGAGTGCTGGACAGCTGTTTCGTCCTAGTTTGGGAATCTTCATCAGTACGCACCCATCGGGGTTCGAACCCAGGACCTTCCGGTTACAAGGCATGCTCGTATACCATTAAACCACTGAGACCCTGTAACCAATCAACCAAATCCCTACAAACCATTACTTGAATATCAAAGAGATGCTCACTGGCGACTGGCCCTATTCAGGTAGCTAGTTACCTGGGGTTCCAATGGGAAGTCGTGACCAGTAGGGTGGAGCAGGTCAGGTGTGAGGAGAAATACTCGCCGAAGACATTGGCTAGCGGTTGCGCTATATCGTGAATTGAAAGAGGTTAGAATTCATGGGCCATTGGATCGGGTCCCAGTGGCTTAATGATATATATATATATATGCAATTCCAGATTGAATCAATTATTTAATCCACCTCATTACAAATTACACAACACTATTCAAGTAATCAGGACACACCAGCCATATATTTCTTCCTACCCATAGGACTTTACATTTTTTTGACACGAAATGATACCACAAACTATCATGGGATGAAGAAATATGGAAGGTTGGGAAATTATTTCTTTTAAGCAATCATTATTGACAGGTTCTAATTTCCCCTGTTTTTAGAGATCGAAGTTAACAGTTCATGGCTTCGTAACTACTGCACAATAAAAATGAATCATTAAAAATTGATGTCGATATTTTCGAATAAGTTGAATTCATAAATTTCAAGAAGTTATAATTCCTTCAAAAAGACAAACTCTAGACGCCTTATGATTTTCTATAAATTTTAAATTGTTAGTCTGTTTAATTAGTGATTCCATTTAAACAATGTTACATAAAATACTTGTGTGTGTGTTGCTTTTGTCAGAAACAAATACAAACTCCTCTGTATTTGGGCTGGAAGCCACCAGTTTACTCAATTGAAGGCTGGACTGAAGCAAATGATTTCAATGCACTACCAGAAGAAAGAAAACGACAACTGCGAACACAATTACCGCATGTACCTGCACCAGATCCTGTTACTGGTCTTCCTAGAAATCCTGGTGGACGTACAGGTGTTTGTGGTAAAGGCTATTTACCCTATGGGGACCGAATTCAGCCCTTATATTTTTGGTGACAAAAGTTTCATATAGTAATCCATCTGGATCAGGTGAAACATCCGGTGATCCATTTAAGTTTATTGGCTTTAAGAATCCATTATGCTCACAACTACCATGGGTAAGTCAATTTATGGTTGATACAGCTCAATTTATACACTTTTATTTCATATATATATGTAACTGCATCCTATTCTCAGGTCCCGATGATTACTCTAATACACTGTTCAATTCAGTGATAGATTGTTTCTATGCATCTCATGCATTTTCTTATCCTGTAATCAGAGTATTCCTCCAGGTAATCCATATTATCAAGGGATTATATCAATTTGTGGAATACTCCAAGGCAAACTATTCACAAAAATTATTTTTACTAATTTGCCTTTTAGGCAGGAACCATAGAATATTACCCTTGATTTTGTACACCCAGAATTATTTGTCCAGAAATACTCTATTTGAAAATAAATGCTCCCAATAGTACTATTCAACAAGACAATTTCGTAATACTCAGAAGTAATAAAACTTGGATATGATAGAGAAGATTTGTAGCTCAGGTGGGTGATTTTTATATGGTTGTGCTCACTGAGCTGGATGGTTAATTTGCGAAGCTTTCATCGCCCTACTAGGTGACATCTTCAGCGCATACTTCAATTTGATGAAGTGAGCTTTTAGATTTCTCCACGAGTTTATTAATCATCTCTCCTGCTAACCTTGGACGTGATTGGTTGCTTTTGTGTGTTTTCAAACCTTCTAGGTTACTTGTATTGGAACTGATTGTTTCTTTGACTTGAACTTTGACCCTTTGTGTGTGAGGTTTCTTTCTTATCGGTTGATAAATTTTGTCTATCTCGATGTGTCTATTGATTGATGATTCACTGTAATGCCAAGCTTCTAGAAATTCCCTAGCATTCTTGTTGTTTCCTCTGTCTAATATTTGAACGTTGTCCCAGTCGAATTGATGTCCGTGGTTGTCTGTATGCAGTGATATGAGGGAGTGGATATCACGTCTTTTGATGACTAGCTTATGATCGTGGATACGAAGACGAAGGAGACGTCCACTTTGGCCAATGTAGTGTTTTTTCGCAGTTGTTACAATTTATTTTGTAGATGATGTTGGTTTTATCCCCTTTCGCTGTTTTTTTTTTGGTTGACATAGAATTGAGTGGAGTGACTTTGTTGGTCTGTGTGTGCGATGTCAATTCCTAAAGGTTTGAAGAGTCTTGTAGTGATTTCTGAGATATTCTTTATATATGGTAAGGCGATTTTCTTTGTGCTTTCCTTGGGGGCCTTTGGTTTGATAGGTTGGCTTGGGGTAGGCCAAAGAAATAATCAGTTCCAATACAAGTAACCTAGAGGGTGTGAAAACACACAAAAGCAACCAATCACGTCCAAGGTTAGCAGGAGAGATGATTAATAAACTCGTGGAGAAATCTAAAAGCTCACTTCATCAAATTGAAGTATGCGCTGAAGATGTCACCTAGTAGGGCGATGAAAGCTTCGCAAATTAACCATCCAGCTCAGAGAACACAACCACATAAGAAATAAAACTTCTCGCTAAAATTCAAATCATTACCATTGCATTATTATAATCGGGGCTCTTTGGAAACTCAACTCAAAATATGCTCTTTACATAAGTTTAGTCGACCGAGAGGTCATTTGGCGACTACTTAGCTACCACGGGTTGCCATCGAAAATTATACATCTCATCCAACAGTTATACGACAATGCTGCATGCCAAGTAATCCACAACGGGAAGCTTACGGAAGCCTTCGAAGTGAGGACGGGAGTAAGACAAGGCTGTCTACTATCGCCAATAATCTTCCTGATTGTAGTAGATTGGATAATGAGACAGACAGCGTCGGGCAGCGAGGAAACAGGCATAAAATGGACTCACACAAAAAGAGACTTGGAGGATCTGGACTTCGCCGATGCGATGCATATGTCTGATTTCCCACAAACTGGAAGATATGCAAGTGAAAAGCAACAAGCTGGCAGAAGAAGCACCCAGCGAAGATAGGACTTCAGGTGAACATACAGAAAACAGAGGTGATGAAGATTCCTGGCCAACAACAACAACAACAGATAACAATCAGCATAAATCAGAGGAACCTGAAAGAAACAACCTCCTTCACCTACCTAACGACCTGGGAAGCATCATTTCAACTACAGGCCGACGGAACTGATGAGGATATCAAAGCCAGAATCGGAAAAGCAAGACAAGCTTTCATTACTACCAAGTCTGTATGGAGATCAACAGCGCTCAGCATCAAAAATAACATCCGGATTTTCAATTCCAATGTGAAGTTAGTCAGTGCTACTCACTATACGGATCAGAGACTTGGCGAGTCATAAACAGCATCTCAAACAAACTTCACACCTTCATCAACAGTTGTCTTCGCTCAATACCACTCATGATCAGATGGCCGGCCAGAAAACATCAGAAACAGGGATCTCTGGCAATGAGCTAACCAACACACCAGGAACCGATTGTGAAACAAATAATTAGGAAGAAATGGAGACGGATTGGCTGGCCAGACTCTGAGGAAACAGGCCATCAAGTGAGTGACATCACTAGACAAGCCATTGCTCGAGTGGAACCTGAAAGGGAAGCGGCGAGTTGGTCGTCCCACAGTGGGGTGACTTGGAGGAGGTCATGTGGAGGGGAGGAGATGAAAGCATGTGGTCAGACTTGGAGCGGAGTGAAAAAGTTGACAGAAAACAGAAGGTGATGGAGACGCGTGGCTGAAGCCTTATGTTCCTGTAGGCATTAAAGGATATAATAATATAATAAATAATAATAGTAAAATTTTAGCCTTCAAGAAATATTCACGTCTGTCACTAATAAAAGTACAGATGATTTTGATTCTTGACTCTCAAAGATGCTTTAATTATCAAGATACACTGCTAACACTTACTATGAAAATCAATTTTTCAACAACAACAAAATTTAGTTAGTTCATATATTTCAGGTTACATCATTCTAACGCTATTCTTCGGCTGTCTTGATTAATACTTCATACATCAAGAAAAATGCACCCCTTATGAAGCAATACAGTCATTGGACAATAAGAACAAGAATATTGTTAAATATACAAGCTTAATGAATTAAACTAACATATTTCAGTCAGAATTAGTTGAATTCTTCAAATATTATAATTTCTATCCATTGTTTGGTGAAATAAAAAGCATTCTAAAGATTTATTGACCTGAATCTCTCGCCATATATATATATATATATATATATATATATATATATATATATATATAGGATTGTTGTAAGGAAGTCATAGTCAAAGATGTATACATCGGTATATTACTTATTTTATAAAAGTGAAGTTTCTCGTAAAAAATGAACAAGTTTATTGTTAGGGTAGAATAGGTTAGGGATGATTGAGTAATAGGGGGTGATTAAAACTCATAAGATTAAATCACAACTTGGTGTACAAAAAGTCAAATGAAAAGATGGTAATGATGATGGTGATGTAGAATTCAATGGATCAAAACACTGGGTCTAATCTGAAAGTTAAGCGAAAAATGGGATTGTGGTGTGTGTTGCTGATAAGATTTATAAGTAGTATATAAAGAGACGTTCATCAGTAGAAAAACATCATATAACAGGGACATAGATTTGATGTCAGGGAAAGCAAATAATGCAGTGTTCAGGCAAAACAGCAAAGACACAAAAGGAACACAAAGAAACACAATATAAAGGACAGAAGTAGCACAACACAAAGGATCTTTGATTTGAAGATAAGGTGTACATAATTTCGCTATATGGAGACACTGAAATTCCAAAAAATAAACATTCCTCTACCAAGTCTCCTGTCTTCTACCGTAATAGATTGGGGGCGGTGAAACAAAATGATGAATTCAAAAGACACAGAGTTACTAAGAAAAGAGTTACCAGGATAAATGAAGTCCCATTGTAACAACAGAAGACAAGGGCCACGCAACAGATCGTTTATTAAGGAAATCAACACATATTTATAGATTTTCATGTACATATTATAGATTATTATTAGCAGAAATACACAGTCTTCTGATTGGTTGTTTCTCACAGAAAGTTAACCTTGCATCTCTTTGTGGTTGTTTCTTGAATATCAGATCATCTATATGTTAACTGTATCCGCCTATGCAAAGCCTTTGTTCCCATTTTTCTCACGACCAATATTTGGGACATAAACCTTGACGTAAATTACTGTCCACCAATTTTGACTAACAGCCATCTCTCACCACACCATGATGGATTCCTTTTAAATATACCGGTTAGGTTTTAGTGTAGGTATATCATTTGGGCAATGTGGTGAAATGCAATTCCACACTACATACCAAACAGTGATGCACTACTAACAGCTAGACGATTTTTCAAGCATAAATTATTGCTCATAATCATATCAAGTTAGTCACACGGTTTCACAATTTGTCTTATATATTTTTCCTCTCTCTCTCTCTTCAACTTCCCCTTGTTGTTTGTTGACGCTTTTCTTATCTCCAGTATAGGCGTTGCATCATTCCGATCATACGTGGGCAATGTTGAATCAATAAACAAAACTTCATTGACTAACACCTCCCTTTCCACGTAACTACATTACTTTTTAATACTTTCACTCTGTCCCGCCCTATTTTGTGATTAAATGCAAGTAAATGCAATGCAATGACTGAGCTTTTTTTCTACGTTATTCGACTCTCCAAGCTGGTTTTGTGGCCGGTTTGCACCAGATGGTCCAATATCGAACTGTTAATGGTTTTAACTGCACCTTTACTTAGCTATAGTGGGAGATGTTCTCGAGTAAGCACGAAAAATCAAGTTCTTGGAGCAACGGCTAATATAACTCACTCCACAAGCGAGTTATATTTGTCCATGAATTGTATTGTTGTATTACCCTTGTCAGATTTTGTGATTACTATGTTTTAGTCGTTCTTCAAGCTTTTTAGAGCTACTCTTTCTTTTTGAGGTTATGGCTTCACTGTTATATCATTTCACTCATCAGAGTAGTAATCATGAACTTCATAGAAAAAGTCTCATGACTTTCTATATCTATTTAGCTGCAGGAAACTGTGCAACTAGAGTTTTTCCTTGTAAAGCAATGCAATGACTTTATTAGAGACTAAACTATTTCAAACAAAGCAAATTAAATAGCCACACACACTAGCTCGCTAGTTTCCTAGCCGGTCTCAAGCCCGGATAAAGAGGGAAGGTTGGGGCGTAGTGCTAGCAACTCCACCCCCAAAACTTAACCAAATTGCTACACAAACTTCAACGCATAAATATATTAAAAATACTAAAAGTATAAACAATAACCTTATTTTTCTCTGGAATCGGGGAGTGAAATGATGCAGGCTGGTGAAAGCCTTCGGGAAGCCAGTCAGCTGATGTGCCTTCTTTCGATGAAAGCAAAAATAAGGATGGGGACGAAGAAACTATGGGAACAAACAAAACGAGAACCAATCACCAACCAACAAATATGCAGGAGAAAGTGGAGATGGATTGGACACTCGCTGAGGAGACCGCTGGGTGAAATCGCGCATCAGGCCCTCGAGTGGAACCCGACAGAATGGGAAGCGGCGAGTGGGACGTCTAAGGGTAATATGGAGGAGATCGTGTGAAGAGGAGCTGAAACAGTATGGACTAACATGGATGCAGGTGAAAACTACATCAGAAGGAAGACAGAAGCAAGTGGAGACGTGCAGTTGAAGCCTTATGTTCCACTAAGAACCCAAGGAAACAGTAATAAATAATAATACACACACATGGATTAAATGTACCTATTTCATTGTACGTGAATTATCATCAAGCGGATATTAGATTGAAAGCACACCAAGTTTTCCAAAATAAATTCATTCCCAGCAAATTAAAAGTCCCCATTGAGTCGTATACAAGAAAAGGAGTTTAACCAAAAGTTACTCCTTTCAGCGGTATCACTCTCTCAAGTTGTACAATCGCATATGCATGCATAGTAAACTTTCCATCAGTTTTTGATATTTACTTCACCCTTAATTTGTTAATAAAGGGATGTGGACAGTGATTATCTTTCAGCTATTTATCATCAGTAGTCAGTTTTATTGGTGGTAATTCCTTCTCAGTTGAAGCAGTTGTTTCCATATAGCCATCAGTACACAGAGAAGCTGATTTTTTTCCATAATCATTGCTAATTATTTGTCTGCAACCAGAAATCGCTTAATTTTCCATGCATTCACCTTTCTGTAAATGCTATCAGATGTACAAATGTTCTCTGAAATCGGATCCCCTAGGTTATATATTGGTGACTGAATGACTGACTTGTTGCAACGTAGATCTCTGCAAAGATGTGCAGTAGTTCGAATTGCCACTCTCAATCCATGTAGCACACACAACAAAAGAAGAGAGTAAAGAGAGATAATAAACACAAGTTTAAGGCAAAAAGAATAGTAATATGGAAGAATAAAAGAATTCTATTGGATAAGACAAATCACAAAGAGTAAATGCATCTGTGCCAGCCATTGAGAACGACGATTTTGAGCCATATTACCGATTGTCTACAGCCAATAGTTTTTACCATACCGAGGAACCCAACTAGTAAGGAAGTCTACACCTCCCTACGTGACTGACTGGCTTAAACTAATTGTTCTGGATTTCATTGACTAATGAAGCTATGTTTTGGTTTAACTACCACTCTGGCTCTTTACCAACCTGGTCCTATGTCAGTTAGTATTGCCCATCGAGGAAAGCGATGGCTAGGCACGTGCAACACATTTCTCAACCGTCTCGCTCAATCAGCGTAACTCTACAACCTTGTGGATTGATTTCCTCTCCTTACCTAGTACTCGACTGAAGCCTAACCTCAATATTGTTCACCTTATCATACCACTTATTACGGGAGATGGAACGCAGACACCTATGATCAAATCTATCGGTAATAACATAATTTCAATACCCCGTCTATTTCCGATCCTGCTGTCAGATTTATTTATTATTCTTAAATATGTGTAAAATTACTCAAAATGAAATTATAATTTATGAATACAAATTGACAGATAAAAATGACAGAATAAGTTTACTATAGTTCTATGAAAAAATACCTTTGTATGCAATGATAGCACATCATAGAATATTATCAACATTTTACGGGCAATGTAGAGAAAAATGTCCACTCCAGTGCTTACCACTAACTTTTCTAGAATACATTTACTACACAAAAGATTATGAATTTTGAGTTAAAACAAAATACAAAATAATTGAGCGAAGAATATTCTTTTCGATAAATTCCTCTTCTGGCTCTCTGTCTGTCTGTCTGTCTGTTTTCGACATAGAACTTTGCACAAATGTGCGGAAGTTCAAGTCGCCACATTCCGTGTAGCACGCGAAGCAAGAGAAGAAAGTACAAGAAAAGCATAATAGAAACAGTGAGCAGAGGTGTGAGACAAAGGAGTAATAAAGAAATAAATAAATAAAGAAATCTTCTGGCTCTACAAGTATATATATATATATATATAGAATATTCTAGAATAGTAGTCAATAACAATATTAGTGTTTTTTAAATAATATCGATTTGTTAAGTAAGATCAGTGGAATTACAGATCATTAAAGATGCTTGAATTATTATGATAATAAAGATATAATAGCGAATAGAACATCAACTAAAATTAGGGAAATTCCACAAAACTTCAGGATCATTCAAACCTAGATGACCAAGGCAATGATAATGTCTGAACTAACTTCTTTTGGATGCACAAATTAGGCTTCCTAATGTGGATCCCAACAGCCTCAGCAATATTTAGTAGTCGAACTCTTAAGGCAAAATTGAGATTCGTAGGTATGCGGTAAATGACCCTGGAAGCCTGGTTAACATCAATCTTGTGTTCTGTATCCACAAGATGGGAAAGAATAGCGCTGCGAATAGATTTTGTTTGTCCTTTACTTAACCACCCAGGGTGATGTTCGGAAATTCGACGAGAAACACGCCTAATTGTACGGCCTATGTAATTGACTCCACGGGAGCAGTTAAATTGGTAGATACACATGAAAGAGGCAAAACTAGGCAGTTTTTCTTTTACTCCCGAACGCAAAAGAGGAGTGGTTTTAAAGATACAGAGTAATTCGGCAGCAGGGAATGATCTTTTTACCGCATTTCTAAGGCGCTGTGTTAGTATCTCGCTAGTGTTGTCCCCAAGGAACTGCATTTGTAAGAATAAGGCTTTTTTGGAACTGTTGGCAACTTGGGCTGCTTTGGTATTAGATTCATATTCTTATCAATAAACTTTTCTGGATAACCACTTTCACTTAGCAACCGTTCAATATTATTAAGTTCCTCATCAAGACATTTATCCGAGCAAATTCCTCTTGCTCTATGAACCAAGCAGTTTATCAGATTGCGTTTGTATTTCAAGGGTACGAAGCTGAGAAAATGAGTATACTGACCCGTTGATGTAGGTTTTCTATATACACTTCTTCTTATTGTACCATCCTCTTTTCTGGTCATAAGGATGTCTAAAAATGAAATACTAGAGCCTTTTTCTTTCTCAACAGTAAAAATTATTGCAGGATGAACCTCGTTAAATTTATCCAGGATGTTCTTTGCTTTCTTCTCATTTTTCATAATCAAAAATATATCATCCATGTACCGACAATAGAATTCGAGTTCATTAATAACATCCTTCAGAGGCCCATTTTCTAGTTTCGCAAGGAAAATGTCAACTAGAATAGGTCCTATTGGTGACTCCATTGCCACACCGTCGATTTGACTATATAGTTCCTTATTAAATAAAAAGTGGACATTTATTGTACATTTCATCCAAAAATATAAAAACTAATTTCTTTATTATTCTATATATTTCAGTTTTTGGTTCAACATCCCAGTGAATGTAGACAAGAACAATGTACAAAAGAAATGATCGAGATAGTTATAACCAGTCGTATGAGACAATTAATCCGATTACATCCAGAAAATCAATCAATTATACAAGAAACTGTGAATAAGTTGAAAAAAATATCTGCAACAATTGTAAGCACTGAATTTGTGTTTATATTAGTTCATTTTATTATAACTGAAACTATCAACGGTTATAAGTCAGAGATGAGATATCGTGTTGTTTGGTAGCTTGATGCCTTGTTCGATCCTAAACGCATAAAAGCTGAGTGAAAATAGGGTCACTTATTATAACACTTGAAAATAAAAGCTACTATTTTGAACTATATTCATCAACCTAAAACCAATCTGGAAATCTTCGTCACTCAGCCAGCATCAACAACAAAATTCGGTAGGATTTTCAATACAAACGTTAAATCAGTCAGCTGTTCTATACGGATCATAAACTTAGCGGGCGGATCACAAAAAATATTTCCAACAGCCTGTTGCAGACCTTCATTAACAACTGTCTTCGCTCTATACTGAAGGTCAGATGACCGGAAAGAATCACCAACAAAAAACTATGGAACAAACGAAACAAGAACCAATCGCCCAACAAATAAGTAGGAGAAAGGGGAGATGGATTAGACACTCAGGCCGCTGGGTGCCATCGCGCATGCGTCAGGCCATTGCTCGAGTGGAACCCGAAAGGGAAGTGGAGAGTGGGACGTCAGTGCAAGGGTGACATGGAGGAGATCGTGTGAAGAGGAGTTGAAACAGTATGGACTAATATAGATGCAGGTGAAAAGTACAACAGAAGACAGAAACAAGTGGAGACGTGCAGTTGAAGCCTTATATTCCACTAAGAACCCAAGGGAACAATAATAATAATTTTGAACTAATTAGGCGTATCTACAAGTCAAAATCGCACTGGAAAATCACTACCACACAATTCCATATAATACTCTCACCAAATTTTTTTTTAAAGTTATAAGTAACTATGACTCGTGGATTAACAGGAAAGTCAAATCGTGTGTGGATTAAATAGCAACTTTACTCACTGTCATCGAACAGAGCAGAATGACAATCAAATCTATACCTCAACTTCATCCACTTTGAAATGGTCTTCGACACCGTTGACCACGAGGTAATTTTAAAACTACCTCAACAATATGGAATGCACTAAATCTCTGCCTACTTCACTCAACAGCTATATGACAATGCCACATGTATAGCAATCCACAACATAAAATCCAGCAAAGCCTTTGAAGTAAGTAGAGGAATAAGACAAGACTGCCTATTTTTACCGATGATATTCCTATTTGTGAAGGACTGGACTATACCAAAGATAGGAACACGTTGGACCGATGAGAAGACTTAGGGTATTTGAACTTCGCCGATGATTTATGTCTAATATAACATACATTCGAAGACTTACAGATGAAAGCCAACAATTTGGCAGAAAAGGTTGGTACCAAAGATAGGACTTCAAGTGAATATAGATAAGACGGAGGTGATGAAGACAGCCAACGAACAACAAAAAGTACAAATCACTATCACTATCTACACACAATCCTTTCAACTACAGGCGGCACCATAGATGACCATGTCAAAGTCAGAGACGGAAATGCAAGACATCACTTTGAAATCAGTTTGGAAGTCTTCTGCACCCAGCATAAACAAAAAAGTTCGACTTTTCAGCACCAATGGTAGGTCACTTAGTTCTTCGATATGGGTTTGAAACTTGCACGATGCGTCACGATAGGTATTTCCAACATGCCACTGCAGACCTTTATCGGCACCTACCACCTTCTCTGTCTCCATACTGAGGATCAGATAATCAGAAATAATTATGAACAAGAAACTCTGAGAACGAACAAACCAAAAACCTATCGACTACAACAAATATGTAGAAGAAAATGAAGATGGATAGGACACACTCTGAGGGGACCGTTGGGTGATATCGCGCACCAAGTCATTTCTTGAATGGAACCCGAGTGGGAATTGACAAGTTGGCCATGAGTCAGTATGAAATGGAGATCATGTCAGGAGGGGATAAGAGACTATGGGCAATCGTAGAACAAGACTAAGAGGACCTCAGAGAATAGGACAAAGCGAGGAAATTCAACTGAAGCCCTTTGTTCCATTGGGAACCCGACTAAATAATAATAATCATCTTGAAGCATGTAGGTGTGATTTAGCTAAAATTCAAGATAAATGTTCTGTCTTTATGACAACTACTATACGGATCAGAGACTTGGCCAGCGCGTCATAAAGAATATCTCAAACAAACTTCACACCTTCATCAACAGTTGTCTTCGCTCAATACCACTCATGATCAGATGGCCGGCCAGAAAAGATCAGAAACAGGGATCTCTGACAATGAGCGAACCAACACAGCAGAAACCGATTGTGAAATAAATGGGCAGGAAGAAATGGAGATGGATTGGCTGGCCAGACTCTGAGGAAACAGGCCATCAAGTGAGTGACGTCACTAGACAAGCCACTGCTCGAGTGGAACCCGAAAGGGAGCGGCGAGTTGGTCGTCCCACAGTGGGGTGACTTGGAGGAGGTCATGTGGAGGGGAGGAGATGAAAGCATGTGGGCAGACTTGGAGCGGAGTGAAAAAGTTGGCAGAAAACAGAAGGCAATGGAGATGGGCAGCTGAAGCCCTATGTTCCTCTAGGAACTAAAGGATATAATAACTTTATGAATAAACTAATTGATTCTATTTATGTTTATATGTATGATCAAGCCAATAATGATTCATTAAATCATTCATAATTTCTTAGATGACAAACCCCACAATAGATAACTGTAATAATTCTAGAAGTAATACATATCAGATAGAAAAAAAACTTATATTATTCATTTAATGATTATCGAGTGTAAATACTTCTTAACGTCTATTTCTGCTAACTAGATTCACAGTGGTTACATAGATGATTCAATTAATACAGATCATGCTTGGATAGAACCGGTTGCCACCCACATACATATTCCCACTATAGAAGCAGATGATTACACATTACTACAGGTATGATTTTTATTTTATATTTTTAAAGAGTGACATTTTCTTGTATTCTAGTGATTTGATTCTTTGATTGGACACTAGTATGCATCTATCCGTCCTTTCTCTGCTGCAGACTGAACTCTATCAGTCAGGTATGTAATGTGATCACCACTCTAGGTAGCTCACCATCCCGATGCACATTGATTTGATGATATTAGATGGTTGGAGGCGATCGGCCACAGGAAGCCTTGGATATAGGTTTAGTGCTAGTTGGTACTCACCAGTTAGCAAGGTGTATCTGCAACCTTGAAGGAACTCATTTCCCTTCTGACATTCGAACCCACTTCACTCAGTGCTGCAGTCAGAGACCTTATTACTGAGCTATTCAGGCTCACGACTGACCTCCTGTAGGACTGTAGTGGATACTTTGATGGGACACTAGTAACTAGTGTTATGCGTCTAGCCCTTTCTCTGGTGTAGACTGAATTCTATCAGTCAAGTCTGCAATGTGGTCACCATTCTAGGTAGCTCGCCATCCCGATGCACATTGATTTGATGATATTAGATGGTTGGAGGCGATCGGCCACAGGAAGCCTTGGATATAGGTTTAGTGCTAGTTGGTACTCACCAGTTAGCAAGGTGTATCTGCAACCTTGAAGGAACTCATTTCCCTTCTGACATTCGAACCCACTTCACTCAGTGCTGCAGTCAGAGACCTTATTACTGAGCTATTCAGGCTCACGACTGACCTCCTGTAGGACTGTAGTGGATACTTTGATGGGACACTAGTAACTAGTGTTATGCGTCTAGCCCTTTCTCTGGTGTAGACTGAATTCTATCAGTCAAGTTTGCAATGTGGTCACCATTCTAGGTAGCTCGCCATCACGGTGATTCTTCTTTAATGTAAGGCTGTAGACTTAAACTGAAGTTTAACATTATGTCAACAGAAAAAGATGAAAATATATACAGGCATTAAGATCATACAGACTACAATACATTTTACTTTCATAATAATAATTTCACATACTTTGAGTGATAAAAGAATACCATACGATCAGTGGTTAGACTTATTTGTATTTTTTCTCAGAATACCTCATGAGATATCTACAAAGTAATAACACGTATACATTTTATGGAATTATTTGTGAAATTTTATACCTAATAACTTTCACATGATCCACACTTGAAATCCACTACTTCCGGATTTGGATCCTATAATGATCCTCTTATATATATATATATAATTTGAATGGTAACTGTGATATAAATATAAATAAATAACATAGACTATTCAGAATGCACCATGATGGCGAGCCATCAAGCATGATGGTCACATTGCCAACATGACTGACAGAATTCAGTCTGCACGAAAACAACAAACGACTAGACACATTACACTAGTTACTAACTTGTGTCCAAACGAAATAATTCATTATTTGAAAAACTACTATTTTTTGTGATAACTTATAAAATGTTAACACAATCGAGGATTCATTCCTGAATCTATGGATTGAGGCGATTTTTACCATCTATAAGTCAGGCATCAGTAAATACTCTAGAAGAATATCATCAGTTAGACAGAAAGAAGTCTGTTAAGTACTTCTGAAACTGTACTGTACACAACCAAAGTTGACCATCTCGTTATCTAAAAAATCAGAATACAAAGAAAACAATGTAAATGAAGAAGCAACCAGCAAACGCTGAGAGTAGTGGAAACTTTTAACAACTCAGGTGGATTGTTTTGGCATCGCTGTGTGTACCTGAGCTGGACAGTTTAACTGAAATGGATCTTGTGGAAGTGTATGGGCTATTATTAGTTCCTACACAGTGGTAGTTGATTTTTTTCCTAGAGTACCTGAAACCGAAGAAGCATTAGTGTTGCATGACCCTATAGCCCAGGGGAAAACTGCTTGTGGCCAGTTTTTTTTCCTTCACTTTCCCAATGGGACATAGGGCCTCAAACTAGTGGCTTGAAGTTTCTGTAGCAGTGTTTAATTTTACAGGATGGGGTTGCTAGCCTCATGCTCAACCTTTCCACTTTACCAGCATTATTTCCGGCTTAGCGAGGTGAAGGAGTGCGTTGGTGGCCGGGACCGAACCCCAGACCATGTGCATGGTTGGCGAGCGCCCTAACCGCTGTGCCACCGACGCGCCAATTACAGACATTCTATTTGTAGCGATTTTTTAAAATAATGTCCATATTAGGATCTTACCACTGTGAGGTAAGTCGTGATATTATATTTCCGGAGTTTAACCCTTTCTAACCACCCTCCTGCCTCCACGGCATTGTTGGGCATTTGAGGAAAACACTTTACCGATGTTACATTTCTATTCTCCGGTAATAAGACTTTGTTCACAGACCCCCCCCCAACATGTTGTAAACGACTTATACTATGATGGCAACTTCTTTGGCTCTAACCGCCATCTAAACGACCCTCTGATATGGTAGTACCTGCAGGAATATTAGTTACAGCCAGTGTAGCTCGCCGGCTCACCGCAACATGCAAGTCAGACCACCACATCAAGGTATCAGTTATCGGTCGTTGTCCTATTGGACAACATCTTCAGTACTAATTTCAATGCGGAGTCACACTGGAAATTAGATGACTTTTCACTTAAGTCATTGACCACCAAGAATACAGCAATACTAAAAACACCGAAAGTTCTGCATACCTTGTGAATACTAATAACTGAATTTTTGAAAAATTGTGTCATACAATTTACTTTCTATCTGTTGATTTAACAATTTTACTTCAACTTGTATGAGTATTCTTCACTAGGTATTAGAGTCAATTCTTCTTAATATCACAGCTTCCAGGAATCCCTTGAGTAGTATTAGCTACGCTTAAATGCGAAGTGATCCTTAGCATTCGATATTTCAGAATGAATTAACAACTAGGAGGTGATTAAAACTTCACTCTTTGAAAAACTCAGCGATCTTAGAATAATAACTCTCTGTTGGGTTTTTAATCGCACTAATAGAAACTTACCCATAGAATAGTAAGGAATTACACTCAAATATAAAGGTTGATTTGGATTTTAATCTACATAACCAATGAATATAACACATCCCATCTAGTGGAAAGTCAGTGTGTCGGTGGCACAGTGGTTAGGACTCTCGCTGACCATGCACATGGTACGAGGCTCGATTCCTTGCCGACGTACACCTGATATCTATGGTCGGCCTGCAAAATTTGGGCTACCGATATCATATGTTGAAAATTCTATACTTGTACCAAAAATACAGTGTGGAATCAAGCTGTAATCAAAAAAAAATTTAAAAATAAATCCACCTTTCGTAACTTAAAATACTTAGGTGTTAATAATAATTCACTTGAACAAATCTTTTGTTTCTTGTTGATAATCTCATCCTTTTTCACCAACTTGTTCTTATTGTTGTTATTGTTTATTTGTTTAGCTATTCTCTGTGGAAGGAGTCCATCTGACATGGTTAAATCCAACTGAAACAGTAGGTATGCGAAAAAGTCATAAAAAAATACTTCGAAGAGGTGAGAAATCATTTAGACCATCAAGAAAGGATGGAACAAGATCACGAAAAGAGGTTAAATTTGATAGAAGAACAGAATAAAACATTTTTTCAAACTATTTACTATTAAGATAATCCTATTGTATGTTAGTTTCTAAATTCTTTTTTTTTTTCTTTATATCTGCTTCTATCTTTCCTATTTGATCATCTGTATTCATATGCAGTATATATACAAAATAGAAATATTTCACTATGAAGTCTTTTTTTCAAATGAACTATCATCAAGATTTAACAGAATAGTTCTAAAATATTTGGGCGCCGAGTGAGAAGTAGACATTTGTATTAAAAAAAATTATATTTGTAAAATCTCAGCGAGATTGAAATGAGTAATTCCAACGTTTCGTTCGGTAATCTGGTCCGAACTTCTTCAGGGAAATTAATTGAATAAAACAGCTTAATATTCAGAAAGAAGACAAAGTAATAAGTTCGACAGGTGGTTCAACTAAACTCTAATCCTAAACACCATAATTTTGAAAATACATCTAATCATAAAATTCTAGATACTAACAGATTGGACAGACATGAAGATGTGATGTTAGCTGATGCATAGGAAATCCTGATTAATAAATAAAAATGGATATGTATCACTAATTAATAATACTTGGTCAAAGTTCTCGACTGTCTATATCTACTTATGGAGACGTTAAGACATTGTTTTACGACTGTTTGTCCGCACACACACACACACACATACACAATGTGTTTAAAGTGTTTAACAAAAGTAGACCAATATTTGTAAGTCCAAGGTCAAATTTTGATCACAGCCTATACAGTTTTGTTTATTATACTTGTTGTTACTTGTTTTATGAATCATGATTGGACAAAGTTTTTAAAAACAAGAAACTTTTATTTTATATATAAATATCTGTTATGTTAATTTCGATTAATTTCTCTGAAGAAGTTTGGACCAGATTGCTGAACGAAACGTTGGAATTACTCATTTCAGTCTCGCTGAGATTTTACAAATATAATTTTTTACAGAAGTCTTTTTTTTGTTTTTGTCTCAAAAATAAGAAATATTTTCAAAATATTCAACATCCACAGTAATGGCTATTAATGAACCGTGTTCATGTTGTGGCACGTTCTACTGATAATATTTATCAGTAGTATATAAAGAGACATCCATCGGCATAAAAACATCAAATAACAAGGAGATAGATTCAATGTCAGAGAAAGCAAATTATACAGAGTTAAGACAAAACAAGAGAGATCTGAAAGGAACAGAAAGAAACACAATATAAAGGACAGAAGTAGCACAACACAAAAGATCTGTGCAAATGATGATATGAAGATAAAGTATACATAATTTCGCTATATAGAGATACCGAAGTCCCAAATAAACATTACTTTATCCAAGTCTCTTGTCTTCTACCATTAAAAAATTAATATCTAAGATATTAGATGATGAAAATTGTGAACTCAGTTACATCATTGAATGTTTCCTAGGTGTAACTTTAGGAATGCTGTATATATAAAGTCACCGTTTATCGCATCCACTCTGTACATTTGAAGGTTGTACTTAGCATTTCACAGGAATATAGAGCATGCATTTGTTTGCGATAAGATGTTAGTAGGGATTTACGTAATCTGCTTTTTTTGTAATATTCTTAATATATGTGACAATTAGAGCAGAAGCAATAAAATTCATTTCGTCAACTATTATTAACTTGAAATAAATGTAACAATAAAAAATCATTAATAATCGTTAAATAAACCTGTTTAGAACTAACTAGGAAACAATAGGAACATAAATCGCTTATTGTTTATAAACAAAAAGTTGGTCTGTCTATCTGTTTTCGACATAGAACTTTACACATATGTGCGACAGTTCAAGTCGCCACACTCTATGTAGCACACAAAGCAAGAGAAGAAAGTAGAAGAAATGAATAATAGAGACAGTAAACAGAGGTGCGAGACAAAGGAATAGTAATAACGAAGAACTATATAGTTTCATTTGAAATCATAAGTCACAAGGATTGGATGCATCTGCACCAACCATTGAGAACGATTTTGAGCCATGTTACCAAGTGCTTTCAACCATTGGTTTTTACCGTCCCGAGGACCCCAACCAGGGAGTCTACACTGCCCCACGTGGCTTAAACTAACTGTTGTGCATTTCATTGACTGGTGCAACCATGTTTTGGTTTGACCACCACCAACTCTTTTCCAATCTGACTCTATGTCAGTTAACACTGCCCGCCGAGGAAGGCGATGACTAGGCATACGTAACACATGTCCTAACCATCTCAGTCTTTGTAACTTCACAACTTCGTCCATTGATTTCTCCTGTTTACCTAGCACTCGACGCCTAACCTCAATATTGCTCACCTTATTATGCCACTTCACACGGAAGATAGAACGCAGGCACCTATGATCAAAGACAGCTAATCTTTTCATGTCTTCCACTCTCAGCTGCCAGGCCTCACAGCCATAAAGGAGGACGGAGCGGACTGATGAGCAGTACACTCGCCCTTTGGTCGACAGCCGACTGGATAACTCGTCTGTGCCAGAGACGGCGTAAACTGGAATATGCGAAACTAGCCCGTTGGGGCTGGTGGTACAAAAAGTTAGTACGGAAGACAAACCAATAGATGCAAATGAATTTGTTTAGATGACGAAGACTCTAGTGAACGTTTATTTTATACTGACAACCAAAGAAATTTGAAAAAGATAACTTCCTTCACCTATCTAGGCAAACTCCTTTCAACTACACGCAACACCACCCATGAGGATGTGAAAACACACTACCATCCGAAAGGAAAGACAAACATTTATCACTCGGAGATCAATTTGCAAAATTTCTACACTCAACACAAGGAATAAAATTCGGATTCTAAACACCAATGTTAAGTCAGTCATTTCTTCTATATCCTTCACAAACTTGCAACATACGTCACAAAAATCATTCCCACTAGGCTACTACAGACTTTTTGTCGACAGATACTCCCACTGTCTGTATAGTGAAGATCAGATGGCAAGGAATAATTACGAACGAGAAATTCTCGGAACAGACAAACCAAGAACCTATCGACTACAACAAATATGTAGAAGAAAACAGAGATGGATCGGACACACTCCGATATCGTGCTCCAGGTCATTTCTTGAATGGAACCCGAGTGGGAATTGATAAGTCGGTCGTGGGTCATAGTACGAATGGAGGATATCAATTGAGGAGTGGATGAGAGACAATGAGCAATCATTGGCAAGCTGATGAGGACCGGAGAATACAGAGAAAAATGGAGATGTAGTGATGAAGCCCTACATTTCAGTTGGAACCCATGGGAGTAATAATAATCTTCTACTCTAAAGTACACAAAATTATTGTAAGTAATTTCGTGACATCAATAGATCAGTAGGTCTGGAATTCGAATGACGCTTCACCTTCTGCAGTCAAGACAACTAGGTATTACCACCACCAGCCCTCAAACAATAAATGTGGCTCATAGTCTAGACATGAATTACCAGCCCATTTCACTTTGTCCTTCGTAGTCCTTTTTACCTGGCCGTATAAGTGCCCACATGTTTTTATTTCCTCAACTCACACACACACACAATCACTTCCACATCACCTTTGCACCCATATCCAACTTGTCGTTTCTTATTCCGGTTCCCCTCAACAGCCGGACGTCAGATGTCACTCGACGAACTGCTTAGCATACGTCCAGTCCTTCTCCATTTCTTTTGGAATATTCGCTGGGCAACGGACTCTTGTTGGTAGGTCGCCAGAGCTCCTTGTTGCTTTATATATATATATATATATTAAATGCTCTTAATAAACGTAGTGCCTTCTAATCGTATAAACTAACTGAAAACATATCAGGAAGCTGATTAAGCACATCGTCTAGAGCAGTACACACATTTATTAGAACATAATAATCATTTTATGCTCTGATCAATATTTAGTTTGGAAAAAAAGAATGAACATTTTTTTAAAGTACTGTTAGCGCTTATTATTTATCAAAAATTTTAGGTTATTTTTTTCACTCATATGATCATCGCATACTAGAAGTCGTCACGCAATTATAAGCGTGAAAAAAACAATCTTAGAAAATGATAGTTATTGATCTGATTAATTTATGTAAAATAGACTTGATTGATATATTATTATTATTATTAAAATAGGACTGTTAATTCATGCGGAAATTCAAGTTACAGAAACATTTGCGTCAATGAATTTAAATTATCATGATTGACTATACACGTAAAACCGAATGTGACGCATATATGAAAATCTTGCTTTCCATGCACACAGTTTTCTTTCTTTCAAATAAAGCTATCAATGAACAGCTCTTTTGCCTTAACTTCATAACTGAATACACTTAGTCTTTACCGTTGACGCTGAAGAAAGTAAACATGGAATTACACCGTCTTATGGCAAGAATCATATACATACACCTTATACATCTCATCCAACAGCTATATGCTGCCTTCGAAGTGAGGACGGGAGTAAGACAAGGCTGTCTACTATCGCCAATGATCTTCCTGATTGCAGTAGATTGGATAATGAGACAGACAGCGTCGGGCAGTGAGGAAACAAGCACAAAATGGACTCACACAAAAAGAGACTTGGAGGATCTGGACTTCGCCGATGCGATGCATATGTCTGATTTCCCACAAACTGGAAGATATGCAAGTGAAAAGCAACAAGCTGGCAGAAGAAGCACCCAAGATAGGACTTCAAGTGAACATACAGAAAACAGAGGTGATGAAGATTCCTGACCAACACCACCAACAGACAACAATCAGCCTGCATAAATGGGAGGAACCTGAAGGAAACAACCTTCTCTACCTACCCTACCTGGGAAGCATCGTTTCAACTACAGGCCAGCGGAACTGACGAGGACATCAAAGCCAGAATCGGAAAAGCTAAACAAGCTTCCATTACTCTTAAGTCTGTGTGGAGGTCAACAGCACTCACCATCAAAAATAACATCCGGATTTTCAACTCCAATGTGAAGTCAGTCAGTGCTACTCACTATACCGTTCAAAGACTTGGCCAGCGCGTCATAAAGAGCATCTCAAACAAACTTCACACCTTCATC